AACATCTAAGGTCTTGTGACATTTGTTTTGTTGTATGTGTTGTGATATTGGTATTAGTGAAAACACGCAATGGTACTGATTTTGTTTCTGTGGAATTGGTATACAATTTTACAGATCAAGTGTATAAAGTGGTATCGGACGACAAATCGATGTGGAAACACTTGAGATTTGAAAATAAGGAAACATTTGTCAATTTCTACAAGGACTTTGTGCACTGGAGGGGGTTCGTTGTAAGAAGGATCAGATTACAGATTAGGAATCCTAAATATCTACAAGAACCTAAAAGCTACTACCGTTGAACCAATATCATTATGTAAAGTATAAACTAATACCAGATTTTATTGTTTCTACCAAAGCGAAAATATCAATCTCCTTAACAAATGCCAAAACCAATACTACATGGACTGATACCATTATGTAAACTTACAACAATGCAGTCAAAAGCGCGATTCTACCTAGAAGCGGAAAAGGGTAGAATCATAAAGCATAGAATTAAAGTGTAAAAGCGTAAGTTTTTATGCATATAGTAAACTAACTAAAAATATGTTAAGTACGACAAATACTATGTAAAATATGAGTGCACAGAGTTTGCATAAGTTAATAAATGCATGCAATTCATGTCTAAAGTAGAGCAACTCATAGCATCTTAACAGTAAGTTCATAAACATGGCTCTTAACAATAAGCCACCTTGCCCTCTATGCTAACAAATTTGGGGAACCTTGTTTTCAAAGAGGTGGTGTTGGCTGTTCAGGACTTCTTCAGATTTGGTCATTTATTAACAGAGGTAAACTCGACCTACCATGCACTTATCCCTAAGACCCAAAATGTTGAAAACATGAAACAATATCGCCCTATTTCGTGCTGTAATATCCTATATAAATGTATTTCAAAGGTCATAGCAAATAGAATCAAAATAAGTCATGACCCTAGTGATTAGATTAAACCAATAAGCTTTTGTTAGGGGAAGAATGATCAGTGACAATACATTGTTGGCTCATGAAATGCTGAAGCCGTATAACAGGAAAAATATATCTCCTAGATGTGCTCTTAAGGTAGATGTTATGAAAGCTTTTGACAGTGTTGACTGGAACTTTTTAGAGACAATTATGGAGGCCATGGGATTCCTAGTTCAGTTTATTCAATGGATTAGATCGTGCTTAAAATGCACTAGATTGAGTGTGTGTTTTAATGGGGGACTGTGTGATTATTTTCCATAAAAAAAGGCTTGAGAAAGGGGATCCACTATCCCCTTCTCTCTTTACAATCTCCATGGAAGTCCTTTCTTGTATCTTAAATAGAGCCTTTTCCATTAAAACTCTCCCTCCTCATCCTCAAACACATAGAATAGGCCTCTCACATTTGTGCTTCGCAGATGACCTGTTGATTTTCATAAAGGGGACATGTGAAGCTGTTACAGTTACTAAGAGAATATTGGATGCTTCCAATGAGGTGTCAGGTCTAAAGTGCAACCCTTCAAAGCGCAAAGTTTTTTGTGTTGGGATTGATTCTGCAACTCAAGATTTAATTGCTTCATCTATTGGTTTTCAAATAGGGAGTCTCCCTGTGAGATATCTTGGTATTCCATTAGTATCTGGTAAGTTGAGTTCTATGGATTACAGAGTACTTGTAGAAAAGATTACCGACAGGATTATCTTATGATGGCAGGATGCAATTGATTTCTTCTATCATTACCATCATAGCACAATATTGGATGAACATAATTCAACTTCTAGTGAAAGTGACTAAAATGATTGAAAGGGTGTGTTCTGCTTACTTGTGGAGATTTGAAGATGAAGGGAAAAGAGCAAAGATAAAGTGGGAAATTATTTCTCTGCCTAAATATGAAGGAGGCCTTGGCTTTAAGGACCTCAGAAGCTGGAACTCAACTTGCCTTATTAGGCACTTATGGTCTATCCTCTCCAACTCTTCCTCTCTTTGGACTAATTGGGTGAAAAGCTACCAAGCTACAATACACTTCGATTTAGGATATATCATCTGATATCGAATATTCTTGGGCATGGCGAAAGGTTTTAAAAGCTAGAAGATTGGCTGAAGGCAAGATGCAGATCGGGTTTGATGGAGTTAACTGGAATGGTAGTGTTATGGTAAAGTTCTCTATAAAGAAGGTTTGGGAGGTTATACGAATCAAGAGAAGGAAGTTTCCTTGGAGTAGGTTGCTTTGTCAATCTCTCTACACCCCAAGGGACAAGGTGGTTGTATGGCTGATTATTCACAATAGGATACATACTCTAGACAAAGTCCAGAGGTGGAATCCTTCGGTGATCAACATTTGTCCCCTATGTAAAGGCTCCCCTGAATGTAGAAATCACATTTTCTTTGTTTGTCCTTATTCTTGTAGGGTTATGCAGGTTGTATTTCATTCCTCTAATCTAATAGGTGGTGATTAGAATGATTCACTTGATCTACCAGTTGATCAACTAAGTTCTGGTAGTATTACTGCAATGAGGGGAAGGCTGTTATGGACTATGATGGTTAGCGAGTTATGGCGAGAATGTTGTAGAAGACTATATGCTAATAAACCTCTCTTAGAAAGCCAGGTCTTGAAGACACTGCAGGAACTCCTCAAGCTTCTACACTATGGGATCCCTTTTGTTGCTTCTGCTATTTAGATTGGAGACATAGATACTTTTGTAATTTGAGAACTTTTTATTTTGTCTAGTTGTGGAAACTGTAGTATAAGTGACTGGCAACTGTACTGTAGTATAGGTAATGACTTTAATGGTAGAGTTGTCTTGTATAGGTGATGTACATTCAGGGGTGATTTTGAGGTTCCAGTTAGGATGATAATTTGTCATCCTTTCTTGATGAATACAATGCTTATTCATAAAAAAAAAAAAACATATTTGGGAAATGCCTAGTTGGCGAATTAGATTACTCTATTGAATCTGAGAACGCATTTAAATGTCTGGTATGTTTTAAATGTACATTGATTACATATTTAAGTTTTTGACGTAAAATATATTAAAAATGCATTGATAGAGGAGGAAAATGTATCAAATATGAGCATGATAAAAACTATAATTTGACTGCAATCAGAAATACCACACATTTGACTTCGCTTTTCCCCAAGCAAACAATACTCACAATCATACAAATTAATGAAAACCAGACGATTTTAAAATATAATTCTAACTCGGAAATTATAACTTACAAATCACAAAAATTCATAAACAACCTATTTAGGCAAAATGGTGCAATTACTCCTAAGTAAACTTATTTATCTTGTTACGCAAGAGAGCATAAAAGCGGAGTAAAAGAGTAAAGTGTTTCAATGAACTAGAAGCGTAAAAGCACAATTTAGTTCGATTTTATATGCTAAAAATTTTATATGAAAACAAAAGCATTTTGGTGACCTAGAAGTGTAAAATCATAAGCTTTTAAGTTTTAAAGTGTGATTTTGACTACATTGCTTACAAATATCATAAACCCATAACCAATACCATAAAATGATACCATTCCACCACAAACTCAATACTATTGCACACAATATGACCACCACAAGAACGCAAAACATAACATACCATTCTACACATAATAACCAATACCACCAGATCACAAACAACATATCGTTCCACCACAAACAGATCAACACAACAACAAAAAAACTAAGTGCAGGATGAATATCATTCCACAAAAAACTCAACAGTAGGGCAGAACCCTACTAACATGCAATACCACAACAAACAGCTAGATAGATGCTCATCAATACCACAAGAAACTTATCATTCATACTAGCATTCAAGATCGATACTATTGCTCACAATCATACCAATACCACAACCACACAACAGCAAACCATACCACCAAAAACTCAACAATACGACAAGAAAAGTGGATATAAATATCATTTTGCACAAAAACCTATCCCAAACAATATACAATTTGGAGTCTTCCATTCAAATTCACAAAACCAAACTGATTCTGCCTAAAATAGACATGCAAGGTTATACCATTCCATGACTAGATGTGCTAACACACTCGATCGAATTGGGACCACAATTATATAAAATGCAAAAAGTGTGGTATTAGTAGAGGACCAATCATTGAAGCACGTTGAAGCTTTGGTTGTCGGCGAGTCGGAGGAAAAGAATCGATTAAGGAAAGGGTTAGAAGAGAACCAATCATTGAAGAGTTGGTCGCCAACAATTCGGAGAGAAAGATCTGACTGAGGAACGACGTTGAGAGGAAAAGACCCAACCTTGAGACAAAAGGGAGACGATGAAACCCTTGTTGGTACGCCGACTATTGTGTGAGAGGAAGATCAATGTGATGAAAGGAAATAAACAGTCATCGAACGGGATGGGAGAATGAAGACGTCTAGTAATGGAGAATGTCCTAGAGCAGCAACATGGAAAAGATGGAGGAATGAAGAACACTTAGTGTTGTTGCTGAATGAAGAACACAAAGACCATTGATGTTCATATGATAGCGAAACGACAACGATCTCTCCAATCTGGAAACTAGTGATAGTTCTAGAACGATGGCGTTTTCCCTTGGTCGAGTGTAATTAGTTAAATGGTAGACATGTGTCTTTCAGTTAGTGGCTAGTTTGATTAGTTAGTTAATAAACACTATAGATTAGTCGTTAACTCTGTTTATGATATATATATATATATGGACCACAATCTTGATTGCTAAACCGAGGTGAGGATGAAAGGTCGTGTCACTCAACCCTCTCGGTTTAGACATCGAGACTGTGGTCTCCGACCACATACGCTTTCCTCTGCGGTTCATGATTAACGTGCCTAAGGAAATCGTTCAACCCACGTAGCATGGTAGCGGTTAAGGGGGAAGCGAAACCCAAGTGACTTCCCACAAAAGAGTTATCAAACCAAATTACTTTTGCTTTCTTTCGTTTCAATTGGCAAACCTGTAAACCAAAGTTTTATCGCTAGATAATGATTTCAGCAACCGAAGCAGGGGTAGACGGACCGGCCCGGGTCGATATATAGATACTTGCCCTATACTGCACCCTATTAGAGTTTAAAAACTTGGGCTCTAATTGAGGGTTAATTGTGGTGTAGTTTCGTGCGAGTCAAGTTTTTGGCGTCGTTGTCAGGGACAATGGTCTGTTATTCTGAAAAAGTTGGTGGTTGTTAATCTAGCTTTTAATTTCAAGTTTTTCAAGTGTGTGTGTTCTTTGCTTGTGCTAGACTTGGTGTTTTTCGATTGTGTGTAGGAGGTGCATGACCCGGAGCAACATGGAGGCAACCGAAATGCAAGAAAGGTGCTCCAGTCTGGATTCTATTGGTTGAGCCTTTTTCGGGATGCCTACAAATTCGTGAGCCATTGCGACAGATGCCAAAGGACAAGTAATGCTTCTAATCGAAATGAGATGCCCCAAACAATTTCTATCACTTGTGAGATTTTTTACGTTTGGGGCATTGATTTTTATGGAACCTTTCCCCTCGCCTTTTGGTAACAAATACATCCTTGTGACCGTAGACTACGTCTCGAGGTGGGTTGAGGCTCAATCTCTCCCCACCAATGATGCAAGACGAGTATGTGGATTTCTGAAAAGGTTGTTTTCACGGTTTGGGACCCCGATGGCCATTGTTAGCGACCAAGGAACCCATTTTCATGGGCAATTCGATAAGATCCTCGCTCGCTATGGTGGCACCCACCGGATATCCATGGCCTATCATCCCCAAACTAATGGACAAGTCGAGCTATCAAATAGGGAGCAAAAACGGATACTGGAAAAGACCGTGGATCAATCCCGCAAGGATTGGTCCGCAAAGCTCGATGATGCTCTATGGGCATACCACACGGCCTACAAAACACCAATAGGCGTCTCGCCTTACCATTTGGTGTATGGCAAAGCGTGCCACTTACCCGTAGAGCTAGAGCACAAGGCTTTGTAGGCCACAAAGCTTTTGAATATGGACCCTAGTTTGTGTGGAAATGAAAGGAAGTTGCAGGTGCTCGAACTTGAGGAGTGGCGTCTCCAAGCCTATGAGAACACCAAGATTTACAAGGAGAGGATGAAGAGCTTGCATGATGCTCACCTGAAAGAAGGGAAGGATTTCCAGCCGGGAGACCGGTTCTCTTGTACAACTCTCGGTTGTAGTTATTCCCTGGAAAGTTAAGGTCGAAATGGTCGGGCCCATATGTGAAAACACAAGTATTCACATACGGGGTGGTTGAGATCTCCCACCCAGAGGAAGGAACTTTCAAAGTGAATGGACAGCGCCTGAAGCGTTACCTTAGAGGAGAGGTAGTGCCACACAAGGAGGTGGTGCTCCTGCAAGATGCATGACCCGGAGTCTCCGTCTAGCTTAAGATGTTACAGAAACGCTTGTTGGGAGGCAACCCAACGAAGGTTAAAAAGCTTGAACTACTACTACTATGTATTGTGCTTGTAATAACCTCGCCTCGAGCGAGTCATATTGTGCTTGTGTGTGTTTTTTGTTGTCTCTCCTTGAAGCTTCAATTATCCTACCCCGGTTCGATTCCTACATTCACTCACCAAGCCCAAGTGGTAACATCACTCTACCCCTTTCTTACGCCATTGAGGGCAATGCCGAGTTTAAGTGTGGGGGGTAGTCTACTAGTGTTCTTGTGTGAGTGAGATGTTGCTTGGAGCCTTTTGTATGCCCAAATTTCAAAAAATTGAGGGCTCCAAGCTACGTTTGCATGTTCAAAGTGACCGGATGGTGGGAAATTCTCGTGTTTGTGGCATTAATCTTGAACTGTTCATGTGATTGAGTATATCCTATGATGATGACTGATAAGTTCATTAGGATAGGGCAAGAGTTTAGTTCTCAAAGTGTGCATAAATGAATGGAGGCCTTGACTTGATCACTTGTTGTTTACAATTGCCATGCATCGTGTTTATGAATTGGAATAGATGGTTGGGTAACTAGGTAGTCTGTGAGATTTGAGCCGTTCGTTTCTTTTGGTGTAATAGTTCCCTCTTACCACAGTGTGTAGCATCACAAGTTATCACTAGCAAGTATGATGGAGGCATAGGATTAGTCCACGCCCCAAAAATTGATTGTCCCGAAATGCATCATCCCTTAGCCAACCCCTTTGAGCCGTGTGATTTCGTGGGTCGTTCTCAGTTTAGGAGCTTTGTTCGTGTGAGCTTAAAGGTGTTAGTAGAACGACCCCTAAATCCTTTCTTCGTGTCCAAACATGAGTCGCATGTGTGTCCCGGAACTCTTACCGTTGAGTTTCCATAGAGGTTCTACATAGGATGTTCATGTGTGGTTCTTGCTAGGAGTGCAAAATGGAGTGTAGTGTTGGAGTTAGTTCCTCAAAAAGAGAGCATTGGTCGATAAATGTTTAGGTGGCAAGTGCTTTTACTCTCTAATACCCCCCTCAAAAAGAAAAGAAAAATGAAAAAGAAAAGAAAAGAGAAACAAAAAAGAGGTAATAAAATGGGGTAAATAAAGTAGAGAGTGTCACGAAAAACCAAAGTACATGCTCTAGGAAAGGGTTTCTTGGCACCCAAGCCATCGAAACCCCCACATTGTTTAGAACTCCTTCACTACCAAATCATAAAGAACTAGCAATAGTTGACCGAGAAAGAGTGCTTCAAGGTAGTTCATGATTGGTGATAGTTGGAAGGGAGAGATAAGGGTTTTGGCCAATGCTAGTGGCCTTTGATTGAAGAGAAGGGTTTTAGTCGAAACCATAGACCCTTCGGGTTTAGGTTGAAGATGTAGTGATAGACCATTGATTGCACATATTTTAACCCTTATTCTTTGATATGATCCAAATTGGCCACTTCTACAAGTCACAATTACTTGCCAAAGAAGCTATCAAGGTTGGAAAGAACAAAGGCAGAATTTGGTTAAGTCAAAATCCGTGTTCAAGGTACATACTTTGGAGGCATGGTTCTCTCAATTGGCTAGGTAGAAATTATATTTTAAGGACCTGTTTTGCAGATAAAGTTACCATCTTTCCAATGGTATGTTTGGTGGATCTAGATGATGTCCTTAAGGTTGTTTTCCAAGGCCTCAAAGTTGCTACCTCAAAACTGGAAAACTGCCAGAAAATGGCTAAGGCAGAAAACTGTTTTGTGAAGCCTACTTTGGAGCTCAATTCGAGGAGTATGGATCTGATTCAAGTCCAAAGGCTTCCACAAAATGAAACTAGGTATGTTTATCTACCAAGGGAAGGAATCGGATGAAGAATTGGAGTTCGGGAAGGCCTCGAACAAAAGGCGCGAAGTTAGTACGAAAGCTGCCTCTTGACTGTTTTGCGGGCAGCTTACTTGTGCTTCAAGAAAGCAAGTTTGTGTCCGAATTTTGTAACCTTTTTAGAGTATAATTTTACCTTATTTGTTTTCTTGTTCATCTAGGTTTGTATTAGGTTTTCTTGGCTATAAATAGCCTTCTATTTACGTTGTAAAAACTTGGACTTTGATTAATCGAAATTAAGAACCGTTTGGTTTGTGCAAGTTGCGACTTGTTTTGGGTTTGGTGGATTCCAAACTTGCTGAGCTTGTGTATCGATTGAATAGTCACTTCAATCGTGGTCGAGCAACTACCCTTTTATACCAATCGAGCTATCCCCAGGTGTGGATTTGTCCTTTTGGTTCCGTTTTATCCAAGTTCGTATTAAGAACGCTTTGTTCTTGATTCGAGCTCAATCGATTCTTCGATTGAGTCGTTTGCTGCGTGACTTTGATAAACATACACCCCCCAGGGGCGTATTATTCTTGAGCCGTTTGAGATGTCGATTCTCGTGTTTTAGGCCGATTTCACGCTAGGTTGTTCTTGTGTGTGATATTTCAGGTCCTAGTACGTTAATGAAGGCTTGGGAATGTGTTCGGGGTCGATTGGACGAAGATTGGACATTTGGCGAGAAGCTGATGGAGCCACACGGGCACACCTAAAAACCTACACGGCCGTGTGACCTGGCCATGTGACATCAAATTGCACGGGCAAAATCACACGGGCCGTGTAGGGGACCCCTTGTGGCCGTGTGGAAATTCCAGGGAACTCACGCGGGCAGCCTGGAAATCCACACGGTCGTGTGGTTTTGGCCGTGCAGCAGGCCTGGAAGTCACTTAATCGAAACTCTGTGTTTTGACACTCACACAGGCAGCTGGGAAAGTCACACGGCCATGTGGCCTGGCCGTGTGATCGGGAATTTCTGGGTTTTAACCCAATTTCCAGCCAAAGGAATGGGGGTTTTCTGAGTATTAGAGAGAAAAAGCTATACCTAGAGAGAGAAAGTGACGAACCTGACTCTGCAAGTGTCCTTGATCGATCTCCATCACCATTGGAGCGCAGTTTGGGCTTCGAGAAGATCTGATTGAGTGCAAGAAGCAAATTTCCATCCTTCACATAATGGTTTCCGCATCTGAGCTAGATTTTCCATCTTTCTCTATGGAGTAAATTTCTTATTCACCTGGGTATGAAGAACCCTAGATTTGTATGTTAGGTCTAATTGTATGAATCCAAGTACAGATTCATTGGTATGATTATGTTCAATTGAGGTTTGATTTGTTGAATGGCATGAATCCTGATCAAATTCCTGTTGTTCATGCTTTAACCTAGAAAGAGAATATCTTCCTAGGTTGATAGAGCACCCTTGATTGAAGGTAGTGAATTGACGAATTTAGTCGAGAAGTCAATTCACTATTCTGTACCGAATTCACTTCGGTAGTGGAGGTTTGGTTCGTTAGGGCCTCAATCTGTTTACTCCGGTGTAGGTTAGTCGCCGGCTGGAGACTCAAATTGAGAGGGTCTGGAGACCTTTAGTCGAGACTTCAGACTGTTTAAGAACCTCCCGCAGTATAACTATCAATGAACCTGAACTTGGTAAATTACAATCCGGCTTAACTGCAGTCTAGGGGGAACCGTATCCGGGTGACCTCTCTCGACTTGAAAACAACCTCTTTACTTGCTTGCTTGTTTGCTTGTTTGGACCTTCACTAAAGTTTCACTGCTAAATAATAAGAACTCACGGAGTAGTCATCACATCTAGGACCCGGGTTGACATTAAAACCCAAACCCGCTATACTACGCTTTAGGAGGTGGTTACACTTGGCCATTTTCTAGAGTGACATAGGAGCGAGTCAAGTTTTTGGCGCCGTTGCCGTGGACGGCTAGGTTGTTGAAGAAATGTGAATTCTGTTAATTTAGCTTTTCTTTTTTGCATTGTTTGCTTTGTCACACTTGTGCCTTCACGGGTTTGATGCTTGATTGTGTGCAGGTAGTGCATGACCCGTAGTCAGTCAGAAGGTTTACTGTCGTTGGATCCAGAGCTTGAACGCACATGTCGCCACCTTAGGGAACAACAACAAGCTAGACTGGCTACGGAGGAGCACATAGACGGCCACTTGAGCAGCGATTTCGAGAAAGAGTACGAGATGGAAGGAGACCATAACCCGCCTCAGGGGATACCTGACACGTCCTGTCTCTTTTCAAAAACCAAACCATAACTCAAACCAAAAACCAGTTACTCCGGAGCAACCCAAACCACATTTTAAAATAAACTATCTGACATTATTTAAGAATTTTTAACGAAAAGCCCCAACACTTGGGCAAAATTCTCAATCTCAAACACTTAAAACGACTTAACACAGAATCTCCAGTTTATACTAATAACCAGTGTTATTAAAGCCGAGCCGAGCCGCTCGGTCCGACCGGTAAAACCGTCACCCGGTCACAAAACCGGCTCGGAACAGTCTAAAAGCCGCTCCGGTTTTATGTAGCGATTGAAGAGCGGCCGAGGCGGTTAACCGTCCGAGCCGATTGAGCCGCTCTTCCGGTTTTTGCCACTCAGCCACTAAATTTAATTAAAAAAAATTGCAGAAAATTGAAAATTGAAATAAACAAAAAACGTCGGCCTCTTAAACTGAATCCTTATTTCCATTTCACAATTTCGAAGGAAAGAGATGAGCTCTGATTAAGAAATGTCCACTATTTATACTGATAACATTTATTAGGTACCGGTTCTTTAACGGTTTTTAAACGGTCTAATGCCGGTTGGACCACTAAAGTGCGAGCCGTTCGCATTACCGGGTCATGCTCCGGTTCGGTTCTGACAACATTGCTAATAACCATGAAACAAAATAATTAACTAATCTAACTTGACTCCTCACGAGCTTTCCGATATCCCGTCGACGCTGATACTGCTGCTCGCCTCACCCTGCTTCTCCTCGTGATCCACTTTTGCTAGACTATCCTCAACCTGGTGAGTGAGAAGGGGTCAGTCTCGTTGTTACTTCCTAAGGTCTTTGCCCTAGGCAAACTCCTTACTAAACACATTATTAGGGGAATGCCTTCCTTGGATGAAAGTCGTTCTCACTTTCATCCTTTAAACTTTACTATCAAATAGTCTGTGAGAGATCTCTACTCTGATCTTATCTTTAAAATTCCCTTACTCAACTTCTTAATCCAAAGACACCAACACAAGGGACCACCGCGTTACGTCTCGCTGTCCGGTGTCCCTACCCTAGTATGCCAACCGCGTTACGTCTCGCCGTCCGGTTGCATACCCAAACTCGGCAATGGCACTGCGTTACGTCTCGCTGTCCAGTCCATGCCCGTCAACTACTGCGTTACGTCTCGCCGTCCAGTAGTGACCCAACATACTCGATCAACTGTTGCGTTACGTCTAGCCGTCCAGCAGTGACCCGACCATCTACCGCGTCCAGTAGTGGCCCAAGCGCCCAGGGGTTCCTCTTACCATTAACCAACTATTACAATCATACATCCATACATTCATACATAGCACAATGCGTGCCTCCACCCTTACAGGCGGTGGGATGCCTCACACAACATATCGCGCTTACTTGAAAATAACAAACATAACTGAAATAAAAGGCATAAACTAAAAGACCTCAACAGAGATTTTACCCCCTTTACACTCACCTCATTAGTCGCAGCAACGTCTGCCTTCTCAAGGTCAAGCCCCGCGCGTTTTTCCTCTTTTGGCTCCTCCTCTATCGGTTCATCGTCTTCCTCTTCAACGACCCTAACCATTGGAGCTCCGCCGCCATTCTCTTCAAGGTCCCTCCTCGGGCCAAAATTCGGCGGCCAACTTCGAACTGCCGACACCCCGGGTCGTCTGGGAGGGTAGGGTCGTGGCCTCTCCATTACTTTACCCCCGCCAGCTGCGATCACCGATGTCGAGTTCTCGGCCTTCCTTCCGCCTCTAATAGACGCAGCTCTTCCCCTCCTACTAATCGGTGTGAACCTCTTCATCACGCGAGACTATGAAGTTCGATTGACTGCTAACTTTCTCGCCTTCTTTCCCTCCTTAGCCGGATTATCCCAGGACACCTATTAATGAGAAGTTCATAATCTAAGACAACCTTTCTCGATTTTAAAACCTCTTTTTTATCTACCCAGACACCCTCTACTCAAAGTCCCATCCTCAAACCTCACTCCAAAAGTCCTTTAACCCCCATTAAAAATTTCTAGAATTAATCCCTTAAAAAACGACCATTTTTCTTAATTATTTTTATCTTGGACGAATTTTTCACCTAACTTGAACCTTCTTAAAAATTCATATAATAATTTTTCTACATCAATCATGAGCACCTAAACTCTGAAAAATCATCAAAACTTTAAAACCCCCTCGGAAAGATTTTTATTTAATTAAAACGAATATTAGAACAATTTCTAAAAATAGAAATACATCTTCAAAAATTCTCAAATTAAATTAAAATCATATCCTAAACGTCGCTCAATTTATAAAATTATTAAATTCGGAAAAAAAAACCTTCTGAGAGGCTCGAAACAATTTAAAACATCTAAAAATACGCTTCTGAAAATTCCCAGCAGCTTTAGTGACCAATCAAAATCTGTCACTAAAAGCCTGAACGTCTGTCGCTAAAACCTAAGAATTGCATCCTCACGAAAAATCACCAAATCGATTGATCTAACTCAAAGGGATCGAGTTCCCTTACCTCTAGAACGGGCCTATGCCTAGGTTGGATAATCCGGGACCTTGCTCTCCTTGCTGATCGAACCCTCAACGTCACCGCTAATAAAATACGAGCTTCGGATTAGACTATCGATAAACTGAGTTTAGAAATCGCGAAGGGGTTCGTGATCCTTACCTAGAAACACGAAAGGGATGAGATTCGGATTGGGGTCGGGATCGGAATTGGGATTGGGATTGGGATCGGCTTGGGCAAAAATTGGAGAGGGCGGCGGGGTGGGGATTAATTTTGGACGGAGGGTTTTTTTTTCTCCTTGGGCAAAATTGTTGATGGGCAATTAAATGGGGCGGGGGGAGGTGGTTTGGGTGGGGAGGGTTTGGGGAGGGCCGCTCGGCCCCCGTCCCATCATCCTATTTTTTTTATTTGTAATAATTATATTATAATAATAATAATATAATATTATTATTCTTAATCCGTGGTTGTAACTCTTAGTATGTAACCGTCAATCCAACCGATCACATATTAAAGTCGAACCTAAATCTGAAATACCGGGGTGTTACAATACCTCTCCAGGTTCCCCCAGTGAACCAGATACTGGGGAACAACCCAATACCCCAGGCCGATGGGGTTCATCATCAACCACCGCCGCCGGGTCCCACCTAGGAGTACTACTACACTCCACGGATTGCTGATATCCGCCCTGTCATCATCTACCCGCCCATGCCAGCGAACAACTTAGAGATCAAGCCATGCTGGATTCAACTCATTACATCCTCTATCCAGTTTCATGGCTTGAAGGATGAGGAGGCAAGGGTTCATCTTTCCCGTTTTCTGTAGCTGGCGAACGGGTTCAAGCTAAATGGTGTCCTGATGACGCAATCCGCCTTCACCTCTTCCCCCATTCTCTGGCGGGGCATGCTAAGAGGTGGTTGGAGACCCAGCCCCCATTGTCCATCACTTCTTGGGACGATCTGGCCGACAAGTACGTGCACAGGTACTATCCAGCATCGAAGACCACAGAGATCCAGCAGGAGATCACTCACTTTCGCCAAGAGCCAGACGAGTCACTTCGTGATGCATGGGAGCGGTACTCGGGGTATTTCTGGCAGTGCCCCCATCATGGTTTCAGTGATGCATTCACCGTGTGGAACTTCTACAGTGCTCTCTCTCCGGAAAGCCAGAGGGTGATTGAGTCTCTATGCCCAAGAGGGGATATTCTTACTAAGACTCCACCCGAACTAAACCAGATGATCAGTACCTTGGGTGCCAGAGATCATTCCTGAGGGAAGAGCACCAGAGGCAGGAATTCCCGAGATCGTGGTGTGCACGCCATGGAGGCCAGGTCCGGGCTCGAGTAGTAGGTGGCCGAGTTAGTGCAGACATTGAAGCAGCCCAACAGTCTTATCCCGGGCAGAGGTTTGGCGGCACCTCCAGTAGCTCAATGTCAGTGGTGTGAGAGCTGAAATCATCTGGTGGAAGACTGCCAGGCTATGCGGGAATCCTCTACTCCCAAGAGCAGTTGGACTTCATCGCCAATGCTCAGCGCCTTGACCCATACAGCAATACATACAATGAAGGGTGGCGCCAGCATCCCAACTTTGCTTGGAATAGCAACACCACTAAACCACCTGGTTTCCCAGCACCAACGGGTGGTTTCTAGCAGAGGCAGCCTTTCCAGGCTAGACAAGGGCCAGCTCCACAGCAGCAGCCTTACCAGCCTAGGCAGGGGCAACCGTTTCAGCAGCCTCAACGTCAGTATGCCGAGCCATCAGCAGCTCCATCTCCAGATAATCATATGACGGAGCTGAAAAACTAACTAGCGGCATTCATGACTACCAGCCAAGCGAATTTTACCAGGATAGACCAAAGCATCGCCTCGCTGGAGGCAGGTCAGAGGAACCAAGGTGCTATACTGCAGGACCTCCAGCATCAGCTTGGAGGAATAGCTCGTCAGAACAATACTCGGGCACCGGGAACTCTACCTGCCACTACCATCCCCAATCCACGGGAGCCGCACCAGCAGCTGAATGCCATCACCACCTGGAGTGGCAAGTCCACATCGGTGGTACCTGCCCAGGCTAGGCAGGAATAGCCACTACCTGCTTCAGCACTTCCAGTCGACGATGCAGAAGTGAAGGTGGAGAAGGAAGCCCCTGCTCCCAAACCACAACCAGTGGTTAAGGAGCACGTACCCCAGCTTCCCTTCCCCACTCGACTACACAAAGACAAGCTGGAGACTGAGTTTGCCAAGTTTATCGCAATGTTGAAGCAGCTCAACATCAGCATGTTGTTCGTGGAGGCAGTGTCGAAGATGCCCAAGTATGCCAAGTTCATGAAAGATCTCCTCAGCAACAAGAATAAAATTGGGGATCTTTCGACAGTGATGCTGAGCAAGGAGTGTTCTGCTATCCTGCAGAACAAGCTGCGCGAAAAGCGCAAAGACCCAGGGAGTTTCACTATCCCTCTTGATATTGGCAGCATGCATGTAGGGAAGTCCTTGGCGGACCTAGGCTAGCATAAATATCATGCCATACAATTTGTTTAAAAAGCTAGACTTAGGTGAACTTAGCCCTACTAGGATGACATTCAGTTAGCTGATCGCTCTATTGTGCATCCTAGGGGTATCATAAAAGATCTGCTTGTTAAAGTAGGTGCATTCACATATCCTGTTGATTTTGTTATTCCGGATATAAATGAGGATGTGGATGTGCCTTTGATTCTGGGTAGACCATTTCTTGCCACCGCCAAGGCACTTATTCATGTGCATAGTGGTAAACTGACCTTGCGTGCTGGGAATGAACAGGCTACTTTTTCTGTGGCTGAATAAGATCATTGTGATATGCCTGCTGTCACACCTATGCATGCTATTTCTCACCAGGTACACAAGCATTTCGTGTACCACTCGGTGCCTCTCGTTTTGCAGGACTCCCCTCTCACGCCTTCGCCGCCACTCCCTTCAACCTCACCTCCAAATAAAAAGCTCAAGGAGGAGTGGCGGCCGAAGCTACAGGTGGCTAAGCCTACTCAGAAGAAAGGTGGAGACCACTATGAGCTGGTCCCACCTCCTGCACCACGACCACCCTGGCCATCCGAGTACTCACTCGTCTGCATCTTACCGGATGGCCAGGTCGAGCTGACCAATGCTGGTGGTCGCACCCGTCGGGTGCATGGCCGCAATCTTAAGTTGTACCTCAAGAGCGATGTGGATCCGCTCTTGGAGGCACCTGTTCTTGCACCCCTCTGAGTATCCACCATGGGCGTCCAGCTAAAAGACGGTAAAGAAGCGCTTGTAGAGAGGTAACCCCACCACGGTTTGCATTTATTTCTTTTGTTTTGGGCTGGATTGCAAACTGGTTTGGTTTTGGTTTGTTTTCTTTTGTTTTGGATGATGTACTATTGGGCTGACCATTGGACCTAACGGATTGTGTTTGAGTTCTTCTGTTCCCTTTAGCTGTGCTTTGTCCTTGACTGGTCCCCTCTCCAGTCCGCTTCACTCAGACTGGTCCGCTTCCAGTCTCATGCAGTCCATGCACCCTAGGGAGGTAGTGTAGCACTATGGAGGATGTTGAAGTATAAGATTTTTCCTATCTAGCTCTCTGCTGTGCTAGTTGATTTTGTGAATTATTGGAGCTAAGATCGTTGAATTCATGTCGTAATGGTGACTATGTTTGGATTGTGTTATGGACTCGTGTATCGAACAGGGTGCTCATGTGGGAAATGAAAAGCAGTTGGTCCTCCATGTCGAAATCATCAAAATCTTAAACATTGGGTAAGCCCAACGTGTGTGGCGCCGTTCATTGCAAATAATCTGGTTTTGGAGGAGATTTTAGTGATCCTTAGTGGGGTACTCCGACAAGGTGAAGCTAAGTTGTCTCTAGTACAAGTAAAACTTCCACCCGTTGAACGGTTTGCCTACTCGAGGATGTGTTTTAAGGGCACGGATAGAGCTTCCGACCCCCCTTACTTTCATTGACCCTCCACACGAGTTGAGGAAAAGGAGTTCAAAGAAGTACTCTGGCGAGCGCCAGATGTACATAAATTACTCTTGCTCGACTAATAAGGGTCGACCGTGCAAAAGACTGTAGTTGGAACCCCCGCCAATTGAATGAAAAAATAAAAAAAAGTAAAATGAAAGTAAAAAAAGGGGTTCCAACGATGAAATGAAGTGAAAGAGCACCCCGGTACAACGAGCCCTTGGTTGTGAATGATATGAGTCCCTTTATCTATGAACTGACTGTATTACGTCTATTTCTTCTCATGATCCTGGTTTGAGTCTAGTACTCGCATTGAGAGAGAAAGGGAACGTCTTAGAAGACCAGTTGACCTCGAAGCTGCTATATGATCTAGGAAATCCTCTACCGACGATAAGGGTTGTTTGTTGCTATAGTGGTCTGGAGAGTTGCATTGGTTTGAGTTAGGTTTACTTGGGGACAAGCAAACGGTTAAGTGTGGGGTAATCTGATAGACCATTGATTGCACATGTTTTTACCCCTATTCTTGAGCCGTCTGAGATGTCGATTCTCGCGTTTTAGGACGATTTCATGCTAGGTTCTTCTTGTTTGTGATATTTCAGGTCCTAGTACGTGAATGAAGGCTTGGGAACGAGTTCGAGTTCGATTGGACGAAGATTGGACATTTGGCGAGAAGCTGATGGAGCCACATGAGCACGCCTAAAAACCTACACGGCCGTGTGACCTGGCCGTGTGACATCAAATTGCACGGGCAAAATCACACGGGCCGTGATGGGGACCCGTTGTGGCCGTGTGGAAATTCCAGGGAACTCACACGGGCAGCTTGGAAATCCACACGGCCGTGTGGTTTTGGCAGTGCAGTAGGCCTGGAAGTCACTTAATCGAAACTCCGCGTTTTGACACTCACACGGGCAGCTGGGAAAGTCACACGGCCGTATGGCCTGGCCGTGTGATCGGGAATTTCTGGGTTTTAACCCAATTTCCAGCCAAAGGAGTGGGGGTTTTCCGAGTTTTAGAGAGAAAAAGCTATACCTAGAGAGAGAAAGTGACGAACCTGACTCTGCAAGTGTCCTTGATCGATCTCCATCACCATTGGATCGCGGCTTGAGCTTCGAGAAGATCTGATTGAGTGCCAGAAGCAGATTTCCATCCTTCACAGTATGGTTTCCGCATCTGAGCTAGATTTTCCATCTTTCTCTATGGAGTAACTTTCTTATTCACCTGGGTATGAAGAACCCTAGATTTGTATGTTAGGTCTAATTGTATGAATCCAAGTACAGATTCATTGGTATGATTATGTTCAATTGAGGTTTGATTTGTTGAATGGCATGAATCCTGATCAAATTCCTGTTGTCATGCTTTAACCTAGAAAGAGAATATCTTCCTAGGTTGATAGAGCACCCTTGATTGAAGCTAGTGAATTGACGACTTTAGTCGAGAAGTCAATTCACTATTCTGTTCCGAATTCACTTTGGTAGTGGAGGTTTGGTTCGTTAGGGCCTCAATCTGTTTACTCCGGTGGAGGTTAGTTGCCCGCTGGAGACTCAGATTGAGAGGGTCTAGAGACCTTTAGTCGAGACTTCAGACTGTTTAAGAACCTCCCGCAGTATAACTATCAATGAACCTGAACTTGGTAAATTACAATCCAGCTTAACTGTAGTCTAGGGGGAACCATATCCGGGTGACCTCTCTCGACTTGAAAACAACCTCTTTACTTGCTTGCTTGTTTGGACCTTCACTAAAGTTTCACTGCTAAATAATAAGAACTCACGAAGTAGTCATCACATCTAGGACCCGGGTTGACATTAAAACCCAAACCCGCTATACTACACTTTAGGAGGTGTTTACACTTGGCCATTTTCTAGAGTGACAGTAGGAGCGACTCATGTAGAATCTCACATCATGATTGCCACCATCCAAAAAGCCTTTTCCCCTTGTCCAAGACAATCGCCAGTCATCTGAACCCGTGTCTAAGACCTCCGGACGAGCTAGTAGTGACAACCATCCCTTGAACTCTAGCGTTTAGAGGTTACCGCCGTGGTATTGAGACAATAGGGCCGAGAGGTTACGATTGTGCACATCTTTTGCACCAAAAAGGTCCCGACCCCACTGGTCTTGAGAGTGAGCGATTCATTCTTGCTTTGCATGTCATATCATACCCGGTGAGGACCTTTGTTGCCTTTCCATTTGTTCCTCGGACTTGAATTCCATGCATGGTTGGTTGTGGTCGATAAGTGGTTTTGTTGAGACTTTCATTTATCCATGAATAAGTTGAGAACTTTTCGCTTGCCTGTTTTGGTGGCTTTGAATGTCGTTTGTGGTGGATGTCGGTATTGCTTGCAACGGTTCATGTGTTGATTGTCAATGAACATCGAGAATTCCCGCTTCGTGTCCTTTGAGTTGTCCCCAAAGCCTTTGTGTAGGCTGAAATATTACCGTGTGCATGAAATGGTTTGCTTGGGGACAAGCAAACGTCTAAGTGTGGGGGCCAAAAACTTGACTCGCACGAAACTACACCACAATTAAACCTCAATTAGAGCCCAAGTTTTTAAACTCTATTCGGGTGCAGTATAGGGCAAGTATCTACTTATCGACTCGGGCCGGTCCGTCTACCCCTACTTCGGTTGTTATCTAGCGATAAAACTTTGGTTTAAAGGTTTTCCAATTGAAATGAAAGAAAGCAAAAGTAATTTGGTTTGAAAACTCTTTTGTGGGAAAGTCACTTGGGTTTCGCTTCCCCCTTAACCGCTACCATGCTACGTGGGTTGGAACGATCACCTTGGGCACGTTAATCGTGAACCGCAGAGGAAAGCGTATGTGGTCAGAGACCACAGTATCGATTGCTAAACCGAGGTGAGGATGAAAGGTCGTGTCACTCGACCCTCTCGATTTAGACAATCAGTAATCGGCTTACTTCCTCGCTCAACTCTAAGGTCGGACGATTTAACCACGATCAATCGAGTTTTTCAATTCAATATTGAGGATTGCCCTAACTCAACCTAGTTTAGGTGGCTTGGAAAGTGGAAGGAAAACCAACTCGATCGAGTCTCCCTTAAAAAGGGGGATTTTCCTCTCTAAACTAGGCTAAGTTGGCAAATTAGATTACTAGCACCTAAATTCCATAAAAGAAGTGGGAAGAACAAAGGAGAAAAAGGTGGAAACCGTATTTTGGGGATGCCTCCTCTCTTCTTCAACCTTGAGCTGGAATTTCCTTGGGGAAATCTTCCCAAAACCTCCTTTGAAGCCAAGCCATAACCTCTTCTTCTCTTTGGTTCTATTTCTCTCACTAAAATGCAGAAGAAGGTGTTTCTCTCACAAAACTGGCTCTCTCCTCTCTCTTCCTTGCAACTCAGCTTTTAAACCCGAGAAGAGCTGAGTTCACGACCGTGAACCATCAAACGCGTCTGTGAACTCACGCCTTGAACCAAAACGCTCTACATCGATCACGACAGTTAATGGCAACTGCTTGTGTTCACGGTCTTAGTGACCGTGAACTTGCCTTGCGTCAGTAACCTTCAACTTGGCTCTGGACGCCTTGCGCTTCACGGTCAACTCCACTTCTTCACGGTCTTGCACGACCGTGAACTCCTGCCTTTAGCCGTGAACTTGCATTTTTCACCTCTTCTCCCGGTTTCCGATCCTTTTCGCCAATCCTTCGACTCCGAGGCTGGTTCCACCTGTTAAATCCTAAAAAGCACTCAAACACGAAGAACCTCGCGTAAAACCAACCTCTAATGAGCAAATTTGGCACAAACATCTAAGCAAACCGGGGGCAAAATATGTGCAATTAGGCCCGAATTAGAAATCTATTAGTGAAGTTTGGTCCCAATGTCAAATCCCATACGGTTGAATATTATGCAAGTATTCTAAAAAGAAAGCTACTAGCAAATTTGATCCTAGGACTGTATGCTCCTGCGATTGGAGAAGAGGTTAGGAAGGTGATGTTTAGTTTCTCATGGAAAAGAGCCCCAGACCTGATGGTTACCTAGAATGTTCTTTTCAACTCACTTGGGATATTGCAGGAGCTGAAATCACAGAAGTTATCCAGCATTGTTTTCATCACTATTCACTACCGAGAGAGGTAAATTCCACCATCCTTACTCTTGTTCCTGAAGTGGCAAACCCTGAGGATATGAAAAGCTTTCGGGTTATATCCTGTTGTAATACTTTATATAACTGTATGGATGAGATATTGGCTACTAGACTTAGTGTGTGTTTGCCTAGGTTGATTAGTAGGAATAAAACTGCTTTTGTAAAGGGAGGCTAATAGGGGATAATATTTTGCTTGCCCGCGAATTAATTCAAAAATACAACCAGAAAAATATCTCCACTAGGCACACTTTAAAAATAGATCTTATGAAAGCATTGGATTCAGTGGATTGGAGTTTAATTATGAAGGTTATGGCTAATACGGGGTTCCCTATTCTATTTGTTAGATGGATCAACCTGTGTATTACAAGTCCAATGATGAGTATTGCTCTGAATGGTGGGTTAATAGACTTTTTTCCCTCTAGAAAAGGATTTAGCCAGGGGGTTCACTATTCGCTTACGACCTTATCTATTTCCATTTCTATGAATTTTTTTACTTGTTTCTTGGATGAAGCTGCTCAGAAATATGACTTTTACCACCCTATGTGCAAGAAGATGGAGCTCATACATATGTGCTTTGTTGATGACTTGCTCATCTTTACAGTTGGGAGTAATATGAGATTAAACATGTTAAAGATGTTTTGCGTAAGTTTAGAGTCATATATGGTCTGAGATCTACTCCTGAAAAGTGTGAAGTATTATGTGGTGGTTTGCTTGGAGGCTAGACACAAACGCTTGTTGTTTTCTCTGGTTACAAGTTGGGGAGGTTGCCTATTCGATATTTAGGATTTCTTCTTATTTGTGGTAAGGTTTTTGCAAAATCCTATAAGCCACTAATTGACAAGATAACAATTAAAATTCAAAGTTGGCAAGCAAAAGGTCTCAATTATGCAAGTAGACTTGTGTTGATACGGTCTAGCTTGTATATAGTGTATCGCAATATTGGATGACAATCTTTATTTTACCAAGAGCAGTGACTAGAGAGATAGAGAAATTATGTAGTGATTTTCTATGGGGTGTGCAAATTGGTTAGAGGTTAAAAACTATGGTAGCTTGGGAGAAGTCCACATACCTTAAGAATGAAAGGGGTTTGGGGCTAAGCAACATGAAACAAGGAAACCTAGGGTATGTGATTCATCATATCTGGGAAATCCTAATGCAATAGGGTTCTCTGTGGGTTGCATGGATTAGTACGCATAAACACAAGGGGGTTGATCGTTGGAGTTACTTTGGGAAGGAAGGGTCGTGGAATTGATTGAAAATTCTTAAAATTAGGAGCTTGGTACTGTCTCAGTTCAAAATGTGTGGAGGGGAAGTACTGTGGAATAGTAATCCTGCCTACATTCCAGATAAAGGTTGTTTGGGAGGTTCACTAATTTGAAGTAGACCTTCTATTTCCCGTAATCAGTTTATCGCTTGGCTAATCACTAGAAACTCTTTTCAAACTTATGATGTAATGTTAAGATGGGGGTTGTAGGTAGCCCTATGTGTGTGTTCTGTATGCAACATATAGAATCTAGGGACTACTCGTTTGCGGGGTGCTATGACTTCATGAGCTTACATCTGCAGATTTTTAGTTTAGATCATATTCTTGGACAAAAGTGAGAAAAAGAACTGAGTTAGACTATAAATGTATTTAAAGGTAAGGACCCAGCATAAGTAAGAGTGAGACGGTTTATGGACCTCTTTGGTGAGTTGGTTTTGGAGGGAAAGATGTTTGATTGCATTTGGAGAACAAAGAAGAAAGTTAACCGAGATTTGCAAGCATATTCAGATTAAAAGTGAAGTCGATATTGTGATAGGATAAAGTGAATGTATCGGGATGATTGGTTTCCTAGGTTAAACGATTGATTTGATTATCATTGAAGTAAGTCTAACCAACCTAGTTGGCAATGGTTGTTGCCACAAGTTTTTGGTTTGATGAATTTAGCAATACCATTTTTTTTTTTAAAAAAAAAGGAGAGTGCAGAGGAGCGCTCTAACCCTTACCTATTAATCATACGCGAGGTCTGAACCCCAATAGAGCAATACCATTCTTTAACACTATGTTTCCCAAGGAAGGGAGGAAAAGGAGGGGAGGCGAAGGAAAATTAGGAGGGGAGGGGAGATTTGGAGGGGAAGGGAATTGGAGAGAAAATGTTGTTTTATGGGGAAAGTGAAAGGGATAAGTATATAGGAAAGTGTGATAGATATGTTATTTTATTGATTTTTTATAAGAGTTATTTTATTGATTATGTAATAATAAGTATATGCAAAAATGCGAAAATGAATATTATGAATAACCTATTTCTACATAACCCTCATCATTTTTATTATTTGTTAACATTAGTTAACGGAACAAAAGTTGTTCATTTAACTCTATTTTATTTTTTCATACAAATTTGATTACCTTTGTAGTACAAGATGACGTTCATTCTATAAAAAATGTAACACCCGAAAAAATTAATTATATGTGTGTGAGCGGGTACCCATGCTGCGAGTTTACCTAAACTCAAACCCAACCCAACTCGGTGAACAGTGTAGCGGGTTTAAACCCAAACCCACCCAAAACCCGTCAACACGTGTTTTATCAGCGTTAACCCGCTTGGATCGGGTAAGATACATGTGAGTTCGGGTTTTGTACTTTTGTTGCCATCCCTATCTTCCTTCCCACATCACACGCACAAAAAAATTCCTATCCCGTAACAATGATTAAATAATTTAATTATTTCATCATTCCACTAATTAATTCGTGTTCATTTATACGAGTATTAAAGTATCTCTTTCTAGTATTTGATTAAATTATTAAATTCTCCTTTATCCCTATTGAATTACAACCAATTATTCTATTATCTATTAATTGCTATCCGTTTCTCTCCCCAGGCCAACCATTAACTTCCCAATTATCATATTTATTAATTAAAAACTAACCTTCCTATTAATTGGCCCACCATTAATCAGTTTCCCTCCAAAACGGAGAGGAGGATGGAACAGTAAAAGTTCTTTTTCATTTTCCGTCCTTTGCCACTGTAACTTGCTTGGAGAACAGCGGAAAACTTATAGGGAAGTACAATTCCTTCCCTTTCCTTCCTTTCCCTCCCGGGAACGGTTACGGTGCTAATTGTACAATAGTTAGCATCGTCCTAACCAAGGGAAAAACTACTACTAGTTTGAATTAGTAGTGATTTAGCTTAGATGTTGTATTGATTTTATAATAATCCGTAGTGATTTTTGCTAGTTATCGCGGTGCTAACCCCTATAAGGGTTAGCACCTAATCCCATTCCTTCCCTCCCCTTTCCCTCCTAAAAGAACAGAGGGTAAAAAAGGGAGAGCTAAAATTTGAAAATAATGACCAAAACATGAGTCATTTGTAAATAAATAGATATAGTAATTATTGAATTAGTATAATCATTTATGACCTGATTGAATGAGAATCAATTTTTTTATTTTTTATTTGGTTGTAATCCAATGACTCTTTTTATTTTCACTTTGCAATCCAATTCAACAACCTCCACTTCCATTTTGTTAAAAAGTGTTACTGTTTTCGTTAATAACTCACATATCAGGAAACTAGTAAGTAGTGTTACATCACAGTCATAGTCAAATTGAAAACAGTGACTGTGCCTCAGTGCTGCTGAGCCTCCATTATTTGGGAGAGGGAGCCACATAGAAAGCAGAGTGAGAAAGAGAAAGAAAGACAGTCGCTTTCAGTGAGTAGTGAGTCACTGCATTGTGGGGTGCTTTCCTTCCCTTCAACAAAGTCAAAATAAACCAGAAAGCAAGCAAGCAATTCTCTCTCTCTCTCTCTCTGTGTGTCTTTCTGAGTCAGTCTGGTAGCTCTGGCTGCCTGCCATTCCCAAATATATATCAATGGCCCATCCATCGTCAGCATTTGCTCTGCTTGCTTTTCCCCTCTTTCTTTTTAAAGTGAAACTACTTATTCACAGCTTCCCCTGTCCGCAGCTTATTAACCAAAACCAAAACCAAAACCAAACCATCATTCCCCCGCTTTTTTTTATCTCTCTCCGGTCTCTCTTCCCTATTCAATATCAGCAGAGCAATAATGTATTAACAACTTTGCCTTTTGTCCTTACTTTTTTCCTCTTTCTCTGTGCTTCCCCTCTTTAGCTTGACTGATTGTCGCTGTTGGTAGTTGCAACTTGCTCAGCCCTCCCAACCAACCATGGGAGAAGCAGAAGCTCTGTAGGCAGGCAGAGAGAGATTTGGTACGGGGGTTTGCTTGCAGGCACCAATTATGGACATTGGGGGCTCAGGGGGGAACACTTTCCCCTCCCACTCTGTTCCTTCCTTCTCTCCTTCCTCTTCCGTTACTTCGGCAGTTGAGTCCAACATCAATGGCTTGCAATTTGGGAAGAAGATCTATTTTGGGGATCATGTGGGTATGCTCTCCACTTCTCCTCCTGCCGCCAAGCCGCCTTCCGGCGCCGCCAGGCAGCAGCAGCAGACTGTTCCGAGGTGTCAAGTTGAAGGGTGCAGCCTGGATCTGAGCGATGCTAAGCCTTACTACTCCAGGCACAAAGTTTGCGGGACTCACTCCAAGACCCCTACTGTCATTGTTGCTGGCTTGGAGCAGAGGTTTTGCCAGCAGTGTAGCAGGTTAGGTTACCCTCCTCCCAAATTTCACTCCTTCTCCCCCCTTGTTTATGTGAATTTCATTGATCATTGGTCCCTGGTGCGAGGGAGAAGTGTACATATATACATGTTAGGATATTCTTGTTAGTACGGTTGGGTGGGGGATTGTTAAATTTTTTACCTTTTTATATTGTTGTGGACGATATTTTGGGGTCTGTAGGTTGTTAGTTGCAGCTACTGATGGAGATTGGAGGAGAGAGTACTTTAAAGCTACGAGCTATCACCTGCCTTTTTTAGGCCTTCAGTTTTCAGCTTTGCTGAATGGTAGCTTTCAATGGCTTTCTTGTTTAGTAGCCTTCCCTTTACTTCTCTCTCTGGCCCTTTCTGGGGCGCTTCCTAATTTCTTGTCTGCCATTGATAGCCGACTTCAAGCAAGGTTTGTCTCCTGTCTTGTGGGTTTGCTTTGGATTTTTGTAAAGCTTCTATTTTTCCCCCTTTCTTGTGTTCCTCTGTTTCTACCGTTCGTAATGCTTTACTCTTCGCGGATGGTTTTATCGTCTTCTTCGCTTAGCAGCCAGGCATTGCGTGTAACAGGTGTTCCAAAGTGTGCTAATGCTTATGGAGTTATCAGAATTTAGTTTCTCCGTACTAGGGATAGATAACTAAATTGCATATGCTGATTGATACTTTTGGCTTCTAGTCATAATAACTTAACCTCCTGGAGCTATTGAATGTGACACTTCCAATTCTAGTACTGCTACTGGGTTTCTGTGGGGAGGAAAGTTGAGAGGAATCGAAAATGAAGATATCTGGATCTTACATCCCATGTTGTTAACTCGTTTCATTGTGAGGAGCATCTTCTTTTACTCGTCCCTGCTTCTGTCATTCATTTGACTGGGCTAGGAAAGCTGCAGAACAATTATTTTGTCATGCCTCAATGGCTAATGGCCTGTTTTACTAGTTTCAGGTTTCATCAGCTCTCCGAATTCGACCAAGGGAAAAGGAGTTGTCGCAGGCGGCTGGCCGGGCATAACGAGCGCAGGAGGAAGCCCCCAGCTGGTTCGTTGTTGTCATCTCGCTACGGCAGGCTCTCATCGACTATTTTCGGTATAGTCTTGGGCATAATCCTTGTTCAATTCTTTCTCGGTAGCTTTGCTCTCACGTCCGTGTTCCTTGTGTGTCATTCCAATGCCGGCAGATAACAGCAGCAGAGGTGGAGGCGGTGGCTTTCTGCTCGACTTCAGTGCATTCCCGAGGTCACCTGGTAGGGACGCATGGCCGCCATCTGGGAGATCATCTGAAACTGCAGTCAATGCTGCGGGAAGGTCGGTTCCCCATCTGTGGCAGCACAACAGCAACTCTCAGAATCCTCCGCCCAACATCTACCACGGTGGGACTGGGTTTCCGGGTTCCGGAGAATGTTACAACAATACAGGGGCCAGCAGCATCGTGGACTCGAGCTGTGCTCTCTCTCTTCTGTCAAATCAACAACAATGGAGCTCTAGAAGCAGCGCATCGTCAGCAAGTCACGCCGCTAGAGGCAGCAACTTGGTGGTGGATTTGCAAGGAGCTCCCGTCACAACTGTGTCAACAGCCGTTGGTACTACTGCGTACCATAACAGTTGGGGTTTTAAGGGCGGCAGTGATGGTGTTACCAGTTCCAATGGGGTGATGCATTCGGATCTCGGTCTTGGTCATGCTCCACCGCCATCGGGTACCAGCTCCCAGCTGTCGAGCGAGCTCGACATGTCACTTTTCTCGAGGAGGCAGTTTATGGATATGGAGGAGCACTCCAGACCATATGACTCCTCCGACCATCAGCACATCAACTGGTCGCTTTAAGTAGCCTGCCAGTTTGTCGACTTCCAAGTTTTCCGACGATGGGAATGAATCTCCATCTAGTTGTTTGCCAGCGAGTTAAGAACAATGACCAGGAAGAACTAGACTTTCAACTATGTAATAATTTGTTGGCTTGTATTTGCTAAATGATGTACCATGATAATGGATGCTACATTTGCTATTGACTGATGTATCAGGTACTAGCTAAACTATTGTCAATCATCGTGTCTTAATAAGTTACAGATATGAGCCCTGAACCCCCTTCATAAACCTGGAGACAGGCAACTGATTTGACTCCCAATCAGCTTTCACTCTGCATGAGCCTGCTGTTTTTCATCAATGGATTATGTGCTACCACCGAATCAAAATGAAGTGATCCACAAAAGGGTCGTCGAGACTTGAACAGGTCTTGGACGGTGATCAATCAATAGGTTCTACGAGCCTCTGCCTTCTAATCTCACTTGTTTTTCCAGAAAACATCAGAAAAGCTAAGCAACTTGTTTTTCCAGAACCTGTTCTAGTACTTTGTCCACCGTAAATATATATCTAGTGGTCTTCTTCATCTATTCCAGGGCAATTCGATAAAAGTGCTTCCATGGTCTCGTACTGAAACAGGTAACAAGTTCATGTATTAATACGAAGAAGTTTACGAAGCAATTGCACTGTTAAGCAAGAGCAGAGAATAGACAGTAGAAGAAATTACCTGAAACCCACAAAACAAGCAGTACTGATGTTCTTCTCTAAGTTTCATCAAAATTTCTTGCAAATCCTGCATCCAGTTAAGAGCAGCTATTAGACTTAAGTACTCCGATACTTGCACATAACAAATACTTGTCCTAGCTATGAGAGTAACAATTGCATCACATCAGATAAACAATCAGACCAAATACAGCATCTTAGGCATCCCAGATCTAAAGTCACAGCTATGTGGAGAAACAGTGACTTTTTCAATCTGCAAGCATTTTCTCAAAGTTACTACTGGGTACTTGTGTGTAATTTGAATCTCAATCATCTGAGCATAGATAGACATGTAATTTACATTTATGTTCAAAATTGGCATTCTTGGTTGAGCTATATGTCACTTATGGAGATATGGATTCACAAGCCAGTTCTAACAGCGACTAACAAATTCTGCAATTACATCAAAGAGCAACAGAATAAATGAAACAGCTACTGTCCGATACTTGGCACCAGAATAATTTTCAGCATGATGAACACTAGTAGCCGAATTCAAACCTAACTAAAAAAATCAAGTGAAACATTCACTGAAAAAGTAGCCAATTTCAGATATCTCGCCTACTGTTCTGCCCATCAACTAGAAAAACAGTGGGACAATACGGCAATGGAAGATTTTGTGAATGGACAGTAAAATAAGTATTACCTCTTCCGTCACCACTTCTTCTTCTTCCTCGCCCTGTTTATCTTCTTCTTCATCCTCATCCTTCTTGGGTTCAACAAACTCTTTGTTCTCCAGTTGATCAAGAGCTGCTTTGGCTTTCCCAAAGTTCACAACAACCCTCCTACTCCGCCATTGGGACTTCACTCTAGAACCGAAATCAGCCATCATAGCCGCATCCATTTTTGTCTTCCATTCTGCCTCAAACTCTTCCCTCTTCCTCTTCTCCTTATGTGGGTCTTCCCTTCCAATCCCCATTCTGGTCCTCCGAATCTCGATCCCAACAGGCTCAGCTCTCCCTGAACCCTCTTTACCAAGCGCGGAGCCAGGAGTGTAACCCATTTGCTTTAGCAACTTAAACCCTATGTTAGATTGAGGGATTGGAGCCTCTATTCTCGCCAGCATTTGTTCATCCTCTTCCTTTTGCTTTCTCTCCCTTTCAATTCTCCGTTGCTCTTGCCAGCTTACAGCTGCTTTCGAGTTCTTCTTCTTCTTCGAAGATTGAACTGCTTGGGTTTTGATGCTAGCGATCTGCCAATATAAAAACAAAAGGCAAATCACATTCCAGCACTGAATCAAAGTTGAGCTAGGGTTTTGCTCGCCAGAAACAATTACTCAATAGCTGAACAGCACCCGAAGTCCCACCGCGCTAACAGGAACTTTGGCTGACTTTTCTTTCTCAGATTCCACGGAAAATATCACAAATGCTGATACACTGCGAAGGGAAATTAGAGCACGGAATTGGAAAACAGACCTTTTTGTTCGTTAATTTGGACTTTGGGGGTTCGGATGCTTCCGGGGGAAGGAACTGAGAGAGGTCTCCCAGGTAGTCGTCTTCTTCATCTTCCTCCCGTCGTCCGGCAGCTCCCAGACCGACGGTTTCGGTTTCGGGCGATCCCGCCATTGTTTCAGACCTTCGAGAGGAGAAGAAGAAGAAAAGAGAAGCAAGGCATTGAAAAGACGAAGCAAGGAATGAATGGGCCGCTATTGGGCCGAGCTCCGTAGCCTGGGTCACTGGGAGTCGTCCTTATAGTTTTATAGCAACCATAACGGTTCTACGGTGACGTGGCATACCATATAAATAGGCATTGACCGTCTTCTTCCTCGCTCTTCTCTTGGACTGAGCTTCTGTTAACTGCATCATATTCTTCCCGCCCGTCCTCACTCCCTCTCTCTCTCTCTATCTCTAGAGGCAGGAGGGAAAATCTTCTTCGAAATTTAGTACCTCAAAAACCTAATTTCCCTCCTCTTCGTTCTCTTCTCTCTATCTCTACTAGTCCGATTTTCATTTTTACTTCCTCTGTTTCCTCCATTTCTGATTTTCCTGCTCCTGCTAGTGATCTGAGCTTTCTGGATTCTGCTTGAGTGGAGCGTTCTTTCGTTTTTCTTTCTCTCCTTTGATTCTTGAAGGCCTATCAAGGACTGTTTGGTTCCCAAGAAAGTGGCGCGGAAGACTGGAGAAAGATTCTCGTCATCTCATCCTCAAGTCAATTTAGTCTTTGGAGTCCTTGGTAGATATAGCGCGACGGATTCAGAGGCTCTGAATCTTGTTTTCTCTCTCTCTCTCTCGTGATTTTCTGTGGATCAGAAGGAATAATTCTTGGTTGTGAACTCATTTTCTTCTCGTTTCCAGGGAAATATGGAGAAAATGACGAAACAGAGGCCACATACCTTCTTCCTAGTGATTGCTTTCTGGATGATTCTCGCTTCACGAGTTCGGGCGACGACGGATTCCCCAGATGGTATATTCCAATGCATCTAAAACTCCTTCGTTATCTGGATGTTATTATGTTTAATTGAATTAATTGTCAGTATTCCGTCTTCGTTACTGTTATTGTGGTTAGTTTCTCAGTAGAATGATCTGAATCCCCTGTTTGGGCGCCGAGAAAATGCGGGAAGATCTAATGTGTTCTAGAATACTTCACATTCTTTTAATTGCTCTATCAACGGTTTAGTGAAGAAACAGGGGTTAGCTTGAACAGTCTGCGCAACTGGGTGATTCTTAGTTGATTGAATCGTTTAGTTCTCGCAATCTCTTACTCACTTGATCTTCCAACACACTGGGTGAGCGTGTGTTTGATCGATACGGGCTGGTTTCTGGCAGTGCTAGCCCTTGAAGATCAATATAGGGCTCTGAACAACCCACCTCAACTGAAGCGGTGGAGATTGGATGGAGGAGATCCATGTGGAGAATCATGGATGGGCGTCTCGTGTTCTGGATCTTCTGTTATCCGCATGTAATTGCACTTCTCTTTACATCTTTCTGATTTCCTTCCTCTGCATTTGTTCAAAATCTGATACTGCGTCTGTTTATCAATTTTCTTGATATATTATTCACTGTTGCAGTAAGCTTCAGGGTCTGAACTTGAGTGGATATCTGGGGAGCCAGTTCCATCTGCTCCATGGGTTGAAGCAACTGTAAGTTAAAATTTTCTAACTGGATTTCAGATTGTGGAACTTCCCTGGATTTATCTTTTCTGCTCTCTGCTCTTGGTTCTTATCTTAGGGATCTTAGCTCTAATAACATCACTGGTGAAATTCCATACAGCTTACCTCCTAATGTCACCCACTTGTGAGTTTTCATTTCTCATGTCTCTGGTTCTGAACTTTAACAAATATGAATGCTTGAGACTCCTGTTGATGTTTTACTTTATGCAGAAACTTAGCATGCAACAAGTTAGAGCAAAATATACCTCATTCTTTGCCCAATTTTAAACTCCTCAGAAATCTGTAATTTTCCTATCGTCAAAAGCTATCCACCTGTTTTATTTTGTCTTTCCAGATTCTTTTCTCCTTCTGTTAGTGTGTAAAAAGCTATCTTTGATTGTTATGCTGCAGGAATCTAAGCCACAACATGTTGTCAGGTCCCGTTGGGAATGTGTTTGCTGGTCTGCAAAGTCTGAGAGAGATGTATGAATTCTGGCTCTCTCAGTTTCAGAAATTGGTAGTGTGGCTGAAACAAAGCAGGCTTAACTTCGTTTCTTCTTTATGTAACAGGGATCTATCATACAATAAATTCACTGGAGACCTGCCTAGTTCATTTGGATCTCTGAGAAATCTAACTAGATTGTGAGTTTCTGATCTTTGTGATCCTCAGTTCAGCATACTAAACTAGGCTCATGATCCTTATCCTTTTGAAATGTATCTGCAGGTTCCTGCAGAAAAACCAGTTCACTGGATCAGTTGTTTTCCTGGCTGATCTTCCTCTTTCTGACCTGTTCGTTTTCTTTTTAGTCCCTCGCCTCTTTCCTGGTTCTCCATTTCTGGCTGACCTTCATCTTCACTAATCCGTTTGTTGCACGTTTGCTCCTTCAGGAACATCCAGTCCAATAACTTCAGTGGTGTTATTCCAACTAACTTTCAAACTATACCAGATTTGTGGTATATCATTGTTTCAAGTTTTCTGTTTTCTTTTAGCTCTCGACTTATCTTCCATGTATAATTCATTGAACCCTTTTTCTTTATGTGTTCCTTCATGGCTAGGATGGACGGAAATCAATTCCATGTGGAACCTGGCTATCCACCTTGGAGCTTTCCAGGGGAGAATCCAATTACGCAGAACTTCAGCACTCGTCCGACGACGGAGTCGAGTGCCATAGTTGAGAATCATCCTGCCGCTATAGTCGAGAACCATCCATCTTTCAGGCTGGCTAAACAGAAGAAGAAATTGTTGAGCCTGGGTGGAGTCGTTTTTATTGTTGGAGGATTAACCCTAGTGGTTACTGGTGCAGCAATTTTCATTGCAATGCGTCTGAAGCAATCTGATGCCTTTCCAGCCGAGACAACCAATGGTAAACCAAACTTCAATCTATGTTTAACATTCTCAATCAGAAACGAGTTGGTAATTCAAAATTTATCAATTCATGCTTGGAATAGCATACGAAGCTAGCCCACCCACCTTTCTGAGTCGAAGCCGCACGCCATTTAGTAGACAAGCGAGAGCTAAAAGATTATCTGGGGGGAGAAGTTTGGGTAAGAACAACAGAGCTCCAGCCAGCGCAAGAATTTACACAGTGGAAGAGCTCCAGTATGCAACCAACAGCTTCAGTGAAGACAACCTTATTGGAGAAGGATCTCTCGGTGCTGTGTACAGAGCTGAGTTTCCTGACGGCCAAGTAATCCTCCTTTTCAAAAACTGAAATCATTAGCTTGTTTGAAGAGTTTTCACTTATGAACTTACTCCTTTTCGTTCAGGTATTGGCAGTGAAGAACATAAACACAGTGTCGCTATCTTTCGAGGAAGAAGAACGGTTGATGGAAGTGATATGGACTATATCTCGACTTCGGCACCCAAATATCATAGCCCTACTCGGTTACTGCGTTGAACACGGCCAGCACCTCCTTGCCTATGAACACGTGAGAAGCTTGCCTCTCGATGTGGTTCTTCACGGCCAGAGTTACAAACCACTACCATGGATGGTCCGTCTCAACGTCGCACTCGGAGTGGCTCGGTCATTGGAGTATTTGCACTGCACTGTCTGTCCTCCTGTGGCTCATGGCAACGTGAAAGCCTCGAACGTGTTGCTCGACGAAGAGCTGGTGCCGCGTGTCTGTGATTCTGGGCTGGCTATCCTGAGGCCCCTGACTTGCAACAGCGTCAAAGTCAAGGCTTCTGAAATCGCACTGACGGAAACGGGCTACATCGCACCTGAACATGGGGAGCCAGGAATTGATAGTACCAAGAGCGACGTGTTTGCGTTTGGAGTGATGCTTCTGGAGCTGCTGACTGGAAGGAAACCTTTCGACAGGTAAATGTACCAAAAGGGTCTCTTCTGTCTTCTGACTTCAGAGTCTTTTCCCCTTTCGAAGAGCTTATTATTTAATCTCCGTGGCTGTCTTCCTTTCTTTGTATTAGCTCGCGGCCGAGGAAGGAGCAGTCTCTGGTGAAATGGGCTTCCCGCCGGCTTCACGACAGTGAGTGGTTGGTGCAGATGGTTGATCCATGCATCAACAGGAGAAGCTTGTCTTTGAAGTCTTTATCTGGATTTGCAGACATCGTCTCTCACTGTACTCAGGTAATTTATATATTACGCTTCTTCCACTACCAGAGACTCGTAAGTAAATGCAATGCTGTTTCCAATTTGACTGTGGAGAGTCCTGTTTTTCAACAGCCGGAGATGCAGTTCAGGCCTCCGATGAGTGAGATCGCAGAATCTCTGAGTCGTCTGGTTCAGAAGAGCGGAATTGCAGCTGCTGGTGAAGGGATCGATGATCCATTCGATAGATCGTTTCGTTCCACCATTACAGGATTTGTCAGCTCCCCCACAGTCAGCTACTACTCTCCCTAGCTGCTGAGTATTGGTGCCTCCAAACCCTCTCTGATACTAACCACTGTTAGTCAAAGTTTTGAGTCTTACATGTAAATCAGATTTACATGCTACTGTTACTGCAACACCTGAATGCAGCAAATTTTCTGAGCACTAAAATGTTTTCTGTAAAGTTTCATCTATGGTCGAAGCAAAGAACTCTGTAAGGTTTCACAATTTCTTATCGTGGTTGGATAACAGTAGCTCAGCCATTGGATTTAGAAATCCAACATAAGGTTGTCAATATCCTACTTGAAACAGATGAGCCACAAAATGTGTGTTCTTCTAAGATAGCTGAAACTCATAGTTCGCCTCCATTCAGTCCACCATTGATTTCGACATTTCCCCTTGCTACAACTATGCCCCAACGCCGCTGCTGAGCAAAGCATTGATCCCTCCGATTATATTAACGGGTCTCCCATCAAACATGGAGGACAGTGTGCCCTCACAAAGCTTCTTCAACTCGCTCGTTTTGGCAAGAGCTGATTCCTGCAATAAACAGAACCAAGATAAAAGTGCTCAGAGTAGAGTATATTCCGGGAATTCGATCATTTCTCGAGCTCACTCCCATGCAACAAGTTCCGGAATATAACACTTTACCTGCTTTGGCCATAAAGAGGACAAAGAATTGTGAAGCTCCAAGCGTTTAATAGCCAAGTCTTTCAGTCCTTCTTTTAGCTTGGACTCATGATGTTTCTTCTCTTCCAAACTACTAACCAGTCTGTCCAAAAACCTGAAAGTTCCCAAACCACCCACCACTTACTTGAGTTACAACCAACGCAAACACTATAGCCCTCTCACGATCACTGACCAGGTTATGCAGAGCAGAGATATTCGTCTATTTCAATCCAAGTAATTCCTGACTAGTCATTACAAGTTCAATCACGCCACCTACCAGATATTTTAAGCTGTTTCAGTTTTCTTCGTCCTAAAACTTATGAAAATGTTATTGTAGTAAATAACAGAAGATCAAACAAAAAAAAAATGCAGTTCAGAGCAGCACCATTTGGAGTTCAGAACCATGATCAAGTCCCGGGTTTTCCTATTGGTAACAAATGATATGGTTGAAGAAATGTCGGATAGCATCATCTCAATGGCGTCAGAGGTATACTGCTGCAGCAGCAAGGGGGAAACTGACTGGACTTGGTGTTGCAAAGATTGATTCTCTCCGGTCTTCAACTCTGCCACTCATTGGCTCAAAAATGCTTTCACCTATCAAATTCGAAAAGCATACAATTAAGGTGGGAGCTTATAAAAAACTTTACTGGGAAATAAGAAAAGACCGGAAATGGGAAAACATGCCCAGAAGCTACTCAATGGGCATGAAATTCACAAGATCAACCTCATTCAAATCATCAAGAATTTTATTTCTGTATTCCGTCTCTAAGAGCTGACTCCTGTCTTCCCAGTTACCGTGTCAGCAGAGTAATCTGCAGCATATATCTGATGCCCCGCTCCCAAGTTGGAAGGATTATCATCATCTATGACATCAACCTCAGGCTTCTCCACACAAACATCCCAAGATATTTCTGATGCAGTCAAATTTGGATGTTGACCAGATTCTACATCTTCATTTCTTGAAGGATCCTGCAAGATTTCACTGGCATCTACTATTTCATAAGGACCCAAACCATTTCCACCATCATATGATGTCTCTTCAACAGTGCCAATATCCCAGTCAATCCGAGTACTGTCAACAGAAATATCCCAGTTAATGTTATCTGCAGCACCACCATCAATTTCTCCTTCTGAATCTGTCAGTCTATTAGCATTCAACTCAGGGTTTCCAGACAATAAGGTCTCATGGGAAGCAGAGACATGCAGGGAGGGAGGATTGTCACGGATATCCCTCAAGCTAGACAAGACAGCTGCTGAAGATTTCTGCAAGGAACATCTCCATGCTAAATTACTTTTTTTTAATTGAAGGCACTATCAAATTAAATTTTATTTGTATGCTACCAAATCAGCCTGAGAATCTACTAGATGAATCCCCATGCCATTCGAAAAAGAAACGAAGGGAGTTGCTTACATCCTTTTCGGTGTGAATAACCCTGACAAAATCAGAATAATAATCAATTGCTCTTGACATATTTTCACCATTTATAACTTCCAAAATCTTGCTGAATGTGCTTGGGAGAGATTTGCAGTCTCTAGGAGTTCAAACCTCACATTGTTTCCCTGCAGAATCAAAAGGTAACGATTGAGTCCATTGTGAATAAAAAATGGGGAACATTCAGGACTATATACTGCAAGACCTGCATTCCAAGCTCTTGACAAGACTCCACATATTTAGCTGCCGATAAAGCTGCACTCATAATAGTTTAGAGCAGAAGTAATCAGTCATTCAAATCACAAAGATGAAGAGTCTAAATATTCTTCTTCAGCAAATTGAGAGCAGAAGATTGTAGTCTGACATTTCGTAAGTCACATTTTGGATTATTGTTTGGGCTGCATCAGTATCACCATGGAATATATGGTCATTTTCAGCAATTGAGAAGGCTGACAAAGAAAAGAGAGCATCGGCAGAAAGATGAGTGCCTTACAGCAGGACCTGATAGCCGCCCAAATATATATCCGCTCTCTGGAGTGGACTTGGAGAGGATTTCGTAAATCTTTCTGACCTCCAAGTAACCAACCTCTGAAATGAGAATGTCAATGATAAGTGACCTCCAAGTATCCTCTTCCGATCAACCAGCCATTCTTCCATAATTCCAAGTGGAGAAACAAACAATCCAAGTCGACAATCATGGCAGCAAAAAAATCCCATCACTTGAGCACTCAAACAAACTGAATTAGCTGGGAAATGGAAGATGGCAACCTCCGAGACGAAAGAAGGTGATGTGGATAGGGAGATTCCGAATGTCGTTCTGATTCTGCATTTCTTTCGTCGGCGGGAGAATTTGGTCCGACACTGTGCGTTGGGGTTCGTTTCTGCGTTTTGTGCTGATTTCGGGTCGGGTTGAGCATTTCCCGGGTTCTGGACGTCAAATTACCAAAATGTATCTCAACGCTCACCTCTATATCGTGTTTTTCGTTGTAATATAGGCAAAACGACGAGGGTAATGAGGTCCACGCGTATGGAGGTAGTAGCTATAGCATCATCGACCATGGTGTTAATGGAAACAAGACGAACTTAGCTCCGATCAGGCAAACAAGTTAACTCTCGAATTTCCCCGCGACGTTGTAAAGTCTCCACCTTCTCCCCACCGCGGCTGCAAAAGGTAAATTTTCGCGTCGATTGATTCAAATTCGATGTAATTTTAGGCCCAGCTTCGTGGAATTATAGGTTTACCTAGGGTTTCTGAATCGTTTGAATCTCCCTCCATCTCTCTGCTACTGCCTCTGACTTGGATTCCTGTCTTGATTTCAAATCGCTAGGTATAATTTTGTGAACTTTTTTATCGATTGAGTTCGCAAATGGTGGGTGAAGTGAAATTTGTTCATCTCTTCTATCTTCTGATGCTGATTGATATGGTGGATTCTGCTCCCCCGCATCCAGTTTCCTCATTCCCTAGCCTAGCATCTAGAACGGAATTTATCTTCCATCAACAAAACTCATCTTTCGGAAATTTTTGCTCTGTTGGTCGATTGTGTTCTTTGAAGTCTTATGTCTTCCAGTCTTCCTTTAGTTTTGGGGAAATCAAGAGCATTTGAATACTCATGGCAAATGCTTGTCTGTCTTTATGATTCAAATCATGTTGCTGATCCTCCCCTTTGATCAAGCAAACAAATTTGCCATGGATAAAGTAATCCCATTTCAGAGGGGTTGATGACTCCTGTAAGGATGCTAATTTATTTTAATTTGCTCGCATTTGTGGTCGCCAGACAATAGTTAAAAGGAAGCGATGGATTCATCAGAGATGAGGTACTTGGAGGATGATGACACTCCAAAGATGAAAGTTGTAAAGGGTGCAACCACAGGATTGGTTACTGGGACTATTTTCGGTACCATTGTCGCCACTTGGCATGATGTGCCTCGTGTGGAGAAGCACGTCGCACTTCCAGGGCTAATAAGGACTCTGAAGATGATGGGAAATTATGGGATGACCTTTGCTGCCATTGGTGGTGTTTACATTGGTATTGAGCAGCTTCTACAGCATCAAAGAATGAAGAGAGATTTCGTTAATGGAGCTGTTGGTGGTTTTGTTGCTGGGGCTTCGGTCCTAGGCTTTAAAGGTAAATTATCCCTTTTCATGATCGCTTTCAGTAGGTTCTGTGGTCTTATCACCTTATACTAGGGATGAGCAAGCGTCTTGCCAACATTTTTGCATAAATAACTGGCTTGCATTCCTTCCCTCTGTACCACGTTTCCTCTTCTTTACTCCTCATAATCTTGGTGTTTTGGAAGCTTTGCTTTACTGTTTTGGCAAACATTTACTACTATTCTCTCACTGGGGGACGCCACTTTCTTTGTGCTATGCTACTGGTCACTCTCGTACGACACATGACATGATTTGAGGAAGACTTTTGGTCGATTTGATGAGCTCTCAAAACTACTCTGCACACCTGAACATATGATAGCCAAATGTGCTAGCATTATTCTTTTGTGAAAGATGAAAGCTATAAGCATTGTTTCTTTGGCACCTACGGCTCTTTGTTTGTGCCTGTGCTTGCTAGAAAACAAGAGAGGAGTGGAATTCTGCTTTGGTCTGACTGATGTCTAGAATCTTGCATTTTCTGCTTTGCATGATGTCCTCATTGGAGTACAAGATTATTGAAACTTGAATAAACAAGCTTTCCCTCCCATTTCCCTTTTACCTTCCCATTGACCCATGAGCATGTTCAATATGTCGGTAATCCATCCCTGTCTGTCACACTATTTTGTCTCCATAATCATTTGTCAAATTCCGGTAATAACTATTTCTTCAGCAAGCATAACTGTTCAATGACTCCATGGAATCACATTTCTCAAGACTTTCTGAACTCTGAGCTTATGCTGGCAACCAACTTTAGGCCCGTCATCAGCTGAGAATATCTCATTTTTGTGATTGAAAACAGCAAGGAGCATCCCAACGGCTATTTCTGCTGGAGCAGCTCTCGCCGTTACCTCATCGCTCATCGATGCTGGAGGCCAGACCACTAGAGTAGACAATGGCAAGGAGTATTACCCTTACACCACCAAGAAAAGATCCACCGTCGAAGCATGATTTCTTCTCTTCATCCAATGGTCAAATGCAGGGATGAGCTCTGAGCAAAATGTGGTTGAAATTTTCTTTGGTTTCTTGCCGTCTGGTCTCAGAACGTGTAATCAATAACTCTTCTTGCTGTTCATTTGGTTCTTCTTTGGGTTCAATAAATACTCTCTTATGGAATTTTGGTAAGAAACATTCGTTCAGTTTAAGCTTTCAGTTTGGGACAGCTAACGCTTCTGCGTTTAATCGGAATGAATTTAAGACAGAAATAACTTGACTGGAAGTGGTGATTGTGGAGAGATGAATTGGTGCATTGTAAACAGATAACGAGGGAAACTATACATTCCCAGCCAGGATAGAAAAATCTTACCAACGGTTCGACCAAAACTTCCCATCGGATGTAAACCGATATGTGGTAGTTAGTTGGAATTTATCGATAGAAAAAGGCGATACTCAACTCGGGGTCGAGTACATTCCCAAATATATCCAGTTCGAGATGCCACGTGTCGATAACCCATTGAGCATCTCAAATTTCATGCCCCTCGTTGAAATCAAGTGCATAATCTCCCTCCAAGGCCACGCCAGCAAGAGAAAGAGACAGCCAGACAAAAAAGAAGAGCTGCAAAGGTAGAGGGAAGGAGCAGCGACTGGACTCTAGCGCGCTTCTCTTTCAGATATTAATATTAATGGCTGGTTTGGCTACTTGTTGTTCCACTCTCTCTTCCACAAGGTAAACAGAAACCATTAGTTTCTACTCTCTCTATGTGCATGCTACTAATTCTGGAGCGTTCTGCTCTTTGCGATTACTTAGCTTACTGCCTGTGTGGACAAGTGGGATTCTTCCTGCACAGAAGCCTTTTTGCTGTTAAGAATCAATTTGGTGACAGGTTTCGATGTTTGTTGATCTGGGTTGCTGCTGTTTTATATCGGTTTTTGTACCTTTTTCCAGTTCCCAATTGCTCAGCTAACTGAAAACGAAGATCTATATACCAAACTCGAACTCTAATAGGCAATGGTGTTGTTTCACCTTCAGAAGCCAACGTAGCATCCATCTCCTTGTCATTTCGTGAATGCACAAATGCCAATGCCATTTGAGTGTGCTACCTTTGTCGATTTCATCTCCTTATATGATCTTCTTCACTGATCCATTTGTCACGAGTAGGGACAAAACATATTCCAGATCTCAACTCGTTGCTTAACCAAGAATTGGCTACAATGAAATGATGGTTTCTGTCCTAGTATGCCTTTGATTTCAACTTCCAACGACTAGTTACTTGGCTGAGCACTGGTTTTTCAGTTTAGCAATGCATATGTATATGGAGGCCTGGTGACTTTGAATTGGTGAAAAACTGAAAATCAATGAAGTAACCTCGTGTTTGTGGTTTCAGCCATGTTGCAGTGTCTTGGTTGGAATTCCAGGCTCATCACAGTGGAAGAAGAACGGCATGGAAACCGAGTCGATGGAGAAATGCTAACGGGATTAGAGCTGAGGTGAAGTTTGTGAAGCCAGATGAAGTTAAAAAGCTGGTAACAGAAGAAGGGTATGCGGTGGTCGATGTAAGGGACAGAACGCAGTTTGAGAGAGCTCGGATTAAGTCGTGTTACCACGTTCCTCTTTTCATAGAGAACAAAGATAATGACTTTGGTAAGTCTCGAATTTGTTCGAGATATCTCATTGGTAAAATGATAGGATCCTTAGTTAGCTTGTGGTTTTGCAGGTACCATCGTTTTAAGGACAGTGCACAACAACTTCTCGGGTTTGTTCTTTGGATTACCTTTCACTAAGCCTAACCCTGAGTTCACTGAGTCAGTGAAGAACCAGTTTTCAGCCGGAAGCAAACTGTTACTCGTGTGCCAAGAAGGACTGAGGTGAGCTATGTCAATCTCAAAACCCACCTTGTTATCTTGAATGCTTGTTGAGTGCCCAGAATGAATAGATAATATGGACTGATTATGAATTTGAGGATTATAGTTTCAATTGAAACAAATTAGAATCTAAGATTGACAAGTCACCATCGGTCAGGTTCATGGTGTAGTTGGTTATCACATCAGTCTAACACACTGAAGGTCTTTGGTTTAAACCTGGACGACGCCAGTTTTACTTTCGTCGATGTGTCGTATTCTTTTACACCGGTTCATTGTGTTCTTGGGCTCATCTCTATCTTCAGGCAATTTCACATAGCTTGATGCAGATCTGCGGCTGCAGCCAACAAATTAGAGAAAGCCGGTTTTGAGAACATAGCATGTATAACATCTGGTCTCCAATCTGTTCCACCAGGTTAGATTTTGATACACCAAGTACTTCCACTCTCCTCAGACCATTTATCTCACTATCTTCCATGCCCTGACAAACGCTTCTTCCAAACACAGGTACATTTGATTCTGAAGGCAAGACTGAGCTGCAAGATGCAGGTAAAGCCGGTTTGGTCACAGTTCAAGGCAAGATCTCAGCTGTTCTTGGAGCCGTACTCATCTGTAAGTCGCATACATACGCTGGCCAAACACCATCTACTTAGCTGCGTCGACTGAATAGTTAGCGTAGACCAAACACCATCTATTTCGTCGCATTGACTGAACTTTTAGCCTAATTAAAGTCTCGATATGCAGGTGCATTTCTGTTCATCACATTCTTCCCAGACCAAGCGGAGAAGCTGTTAGAACTGGCACCTACTAGCTAGACTGCTACAGTTTTGTACAGAATGTATGCTGTTGCCATACCTCAAAACATTTCCTTAATCTTAAACCAGCATCGTTTATTATCCATCCAAAGTAATGCACAGACGTAAAACCAACAGCAAATCAACAATCCTGCCCAAGTAAAAGAAAAATCAATGACCAACCAATGCATTGGCTTAAGTGAAAGGAAGGAAACGTGGAAGGAAAAAAAAAAAAAAAAGGAGACAGTTCCAATAGTAAAAAAAAAGCCAAACGTTGAAAATGGAGAGCTAAGAAAAGGAATTCACAAGAAAACTGGAAACCTAGCCAGGAGGGTGTAAACAAATATTACAGTAAGAACTTTTTCTTTCCTTTTTCGCTTTCGAAAAACAGAAGACCAAAAGACCAAAAAAATATTACAGTGAGATTAGAGTAGGGGGAGGCGCCATGGCATGTATATCCTGTGCACCATCATCAACCAGGGTAAACAACATCGTCGGTTGTACCGTTAGATTCAAATGAGCACACTTTTGAGCTTCTCCTTGCCTTTCGATGATGATCATAGGGAAAAAAACAGAAACAGAATCCCAGCATTGCTACAAAAACGCGTTCCTCCATTTCCCCAAGATGCTAGACTGGCCTTAGTCGCCTTGTAGGCAGTAAAGTTGGCGGACATTACCTGAAGCTGCAGTATCATCAACATGAAATTCATCATCTCATTTACGTCTTCAAAAGGAAAAAGCCGGAGAAAACAAACTGCAGTTTCCTATTTGAACGAAATACCAGAGTTTAAAATGATGCCCGTCATTACCATATAACCAATCTTTGAACAGCACATGGAGTGCAGATGACAGTTCCCGCTTCCGGCTGTCTTCAAGTGGAGTGTCTCTCAATAGCTGCTTCATCTCATCCAAGCTTTTTAGCTGGAGGAACAGAGAAAAAGAATTCTCATGAGTTGAACTCATAAAATTGAAAAACGCCTATGCAAAATGAATATTCCGCATGCTGAGATAATAGAATGGATCATATACATTTTTCTGACGGGATTCCATATAATTGTCGGGCAATGGGAAGGGGTTATCTTTTGTCATCCCCAATGATTCGCCTCCAAACCAGTTGGGAATCTGTATCAAGAAAGAACAAGTACACAACATACTGAGCAACTAAGACTTGGATTCTCCAGGCGTATATATACAGATTTAGGTACCACACTATACTGAAAAATATTACCGACAGATGACTATGAAAATTATTTACTTTACTGACACATAAAGATGATGCAATACCAGGAAGTTTGTGAAAAGGTCGGGATCTATCCGTGCGGCGGTCTCAGCTTGAACATCAGAGACACCCGCCGGATGTGATAATGAATCGTGAGGATCAACAACTCCCAAGGCCAGCGGCTCATCCCACTTGTTGATGTTTGCTTCAATACCAGCTTCAACCATGTGTGCTTCCAAATCAGCATAAAATGTATTGTATGGTGCCACCTGGATCAGATAGTCAAATACTCTCCGTGTTATTTCCTGTTGACTTGATGCTTAAAATCACAAGAAAAGAAATAGAGAACACTCTTGTAGAGATTGCTATAACTATCCCACTCAGAATGAAAATGCTTTTAAGTCTCCTTCAATAACCAGTTGTATGCTCTTAAGTCTTAACATCTTCCTTCCAAAACAATCGATCACAAATTGATACACACTTACCTGTAGCTTATGGTTATCACCAACCATGAGTGGCCGCTGATTTACACCAAGAAAGAATGCACACTCTCGACAATTGGCAATACATACTCTTTTTGCAGCTGTAATCACATGAACTCGCTCACAGTGTTCAATCCTTACAGCCTGAAAAAAAAAATGTATATATAAGAGGAATACAGCCTTCAATGTCATCCAAAAAGGACTACTGACAGATAACGTTCTGATTTTTAAACGCATGCAATGTTCAGGAACATATGGTAGCAGTAACACACATGATTCGGCCTTCCTAAGACAACATGTAAAAGTGATCAGTGCTGTAGCAAAACCTCACTCTTTCCAGGGGTAAAGTTATGAGGTTTGACTACCGGGGATGGAAGGTTAGAAGCACGAAAAGGAATTCAAGCTCAGGATTAGAACTAAGTCAAAATATAACCAGATGCAAGGTATTGAACCCAGGAAGAAATCATAAAATCCAATAGTTGGTCCAATGGACCTTACCTTTCCCACAGCTCCAAGAACTATAGTAGAGTCAGAGCATCCATAGACGGTGGCATATCTTAATGGTGCTAGGATGTAAATGACCGAATCGTGACAATTTAAAACCTGCAACCATCCGAACAGTGTGAAAAACCGGGTTAACTGAAACAAACTTCGATGATCACTCCCAATTCCTTCAATTCCACAAATAAGCAATGAAGGAAAGAGGTTGGTAGTGGTGATACATAGTTCAAAGTTAACAGTCTATAATGAGATGGCATAATAAAAAATATGAGCGGTCCCATGCATCACTTCAGGAAATGATAATGTAAAGACCAGACAACCCTGGAGCCATTGTGCGACCCTAATTTGTGACACGAATCATTCAAGTTTTCATGTTTCATACATTTAAAACATGAAATGTAGCATAGATGCTAGATCTGAATGAAGTAAACGCCTATAAATCTACATATTCAAATCTGGCAGAAAACACGTCTTTGAGTTCAAAAGAAGATTTGCAAGGGTAAAGGGCAATCTCATCTCCATAAACAAAATTTTAGGATGCATGCATTTTCCTTACCGAAGTATCTGAGTAACAGAATGTGGTTCAAATGATGAGAATGAGATAGCCAAATCAGTTAAGTTAGCTCATACCAATAAGGGATACAATGCTATTTCAGAAAGCCAGAATAAGGAAAATCAGCTCTATTTCTTCAGAATTATAGTTCAATCATTGTCCTTGATAAATTGGTTCAATTTCAACTATTCAGAGGGTACTCTAAGACCAAGTAACATCTATATCCATCCAACATACATTAGCTAGATCCAGAGCATACAAACCCCAAACTTGTAACTGCAGCATTACAAGAACATGAAATAGGCATAATAACGAAGAAATTATTAAAACTATCAGTAGGGCAGTACATGGCTTAAATTTCGGTCGCAAATACAAACTAATTGCAAGAGTGCTGGGCATCAAAATTTGGACAATATAGCCAGTATAACCAATAAGATTAGGCTCATAATTCACTGAAGCTAGAGCAGACTAGCTATTCAGACGCTCAGAACAAGTCCTAGAGCATGGCAAGCATAGAACTAAGTTCAATCTGAGTTGAACCAAAATCAAGGTATGCTAGCAAGAATTATTGCAGCTGCATCCCTTGAAAGAGGAAACAGAAGATTTTTGTACCAATTTTCCTACCTTTACTGAGGAGCCTTTAAGATCCGATGCCTGTTTTACATACGACGATTTGGAGATACCCTCAATAAAGCTTGTACCTCTGGAACTAGGAGAAGTCTTGCCAGAGTTATTGCAGCTATCAGCCATGGCAACATCTTGATCAGATGCACTCGATGGACCATTCTCTTTAGCAGATATTCTTTCAGTAATAGCCTCCAGCGCGGAGGTAATATTTTGTGATACCCAGTCAAGAACTTCGGAAGCAGGGACTGGAACAGCCGGCATGTCAGGATCTGAATTGGCAAAGAATGGAGCAGCTTGGCCTAATGAAACTCCTTCTGAACTCTTTTCACCAACTTGCATAAGAAATCCAAGGTGCTCAAATCCTTCCATGGTCAAAACCTGAGACAAAGTGGTTGCAACTCTCGGATTAGTAACGACGTAGCAATTTGCAGAATGCAGCAGAGAATCACACCAAAGCTTCGACCACTAAAAATGGAATGAATCGAGGACGATCTAGAAATATAGAAAAGTGAACGGAAAAGATAATCATGCTGGATAGTCTTGTCACACTCATAAGCCAGCAGTTACACATAAAAGTCATAAAAGTAGGCTGCATAAAACGCAGAGCAGTCTAATTTCACAAACCAGGGACTCTTCGCCTTCGCCTTCTCCTTCAACAGGTTCTGCCAGCAGAGAAAGAATGTTACCCATGTGCTTTTGTAAATAGGATAACTGATGAGCCTCTTCATCAGCCTGTGAAGGCATGAAACGGCGGCTGTTGCTGCGTACAAGCTGCAAGACAACACAGCCATTAGGAGAAGACATTGGAAAAATATCACATAACACAAGTAGAAGGATAAACATTTATCACTATGATATACACCAAATTTCAGAATCTTAGTTCATTTTACTTCTGGATGAATACATATGAACTTGATAACTCCTAAAATCAATGTTGGCAGAAGAGGAAGGTTAAGAAAGATTCTTCCATTCCAGCTCCTCAAATGATAGTATAAAAGAAACATGTAGATCCAAACGTAAACAAGGCTTGTGTACAGTAGCCAAACATTTCTTTGTGTTGTCCAGAACTAACATTATACCCACCGTAAGAACTTCATTCATAAAAAAAAAACAGAGCTCTTAAATCTAAAGACCAAATGGCCAATTAAAACGGCAGGAGGGTTCAAATCAGGTCATGAACAAGAACATGAAGAGTCAGAAAAATAAAAGAATGAATCAACTTGATATTAAGACAGATCGTATGCAGTCAAAATGTACATCACGCATCAACTTATTTGATTGACCAGTCATAACTTTCGTAGCCTTACAAATTTCCCCACCCATTAATGATGTTACCATACTGATTCTCTAAAAAGCATCTCATAGAGCCACGCAAGCTTCAGATATAATTTTGACCAACATTACGACCATGTAAGATGACCTCCACTGAAAGTGACCTTGACAGAATCCATCAACCAGCCAGCGTAAGTTAAGCTACATTTCTTCAACAGTTCAACACTCGCTCAGCTCACACTGATATTACTATAAACGCAAAATCCAGGCCTTCTCCCATGCTAATTGAACCCTACTCAACTCCAATAATAGTTTTCACTACAATTCATCAATATGCTACCTAGCTAATACCAAGTTCCCAATCACAACACTAGCAACTAGAAAGATCCGATATAACGGAGCAAATCACACGGTCAACAAGGAAGCCACAACCCTCTCGAAATCCTCAACAATTGCATAGACCACCATGGTAATTGACAACAACGCACTGAAAACTCACACATTTCAACGATGGCTAAGAGCATCTCCCAATTGAAACAACGCGCGTATCAATTCACAGAGTTATCCGCCTAAAGGATCCACCATTTGCACAACTAACCGACCTGAATACAGCACAATCAACAAGGGAATTCACCTGAAGCGGCGAGAGAGCGGACAAATAACCATCGAAAGCTGACGTGGAGGGCCAAACATCGGCAACCGCAGCGGAGTCCTTGTGCGTCCTGGGCAGCAGCTTCTTATACGATTGTATATACAGGAAGAGTATCAGATCACGCGAATCCGCCCCAACCGAATCAATCTCCCCAGGCGGAGCCTTGACGAGCGGGTCGGACTCGGAGTGAAGCACGGAGGCGAGGGTATCGAGCACGAGCCTCGCGTGGTCGGTCGAGATCTGCAGCGCCTCCGCGAGGGCGGCGGCGTCGACCCGCGGTTGGGACGCAAGCTTCTGTCTGAGTTGACCCAGAGTCTGCGTCGGGTCCGGGAAGATGAGCTTCGGGATTGGAAGGAGACCGTGCTCGAAGGGCTCGCGGCGCGGGTGGATTTGGGAGCTCGGTGACAAAGGGCTCGCCGAGGGATTCGGGTCGCTCGTCGACGTCGACGGTGGCTCAGCGGCGTCCGCCATGGCCAGACAGAGGAACAAGAGTGGGGTGGAATTTGATGCAGAAATGAGGGGGGGAGTCGCTTCTCCTTTCCACTTCTGGTATAGTTTTTTTTCTTGCAGATCTTCGAGAGACGATGAAATGGCGTTTTTGTCCGAGAGAAGAGAAGGGAGGGGAGGAGAGTTGAGTGAGGGAGATTGAGATCTGGTACGTGCAGGTGCACGGGATTAGCTGCCATGGCTGCACATCATTGCTTCTAGTATCAAACTACCAGCCAATTAATTGGTGACACGTTTTACTTTCTCACTGAGAGTGGGATCACTTCGTTAGAATCAGAGGTTTGGCTGTTGACAAATGGCATACGAAAGAGGACTCTTCTTTCTCCAAATGTCTGGCAAAATGCCTAAGATGCTACTAAACTTTTTGTTATGCTGCTAACATACCACTTTACTTGCTTTTATTGCTAGGAATACCATTTTAGTTTTAGTTTTTTTGGGTCGAATTTTCTATTTAAAATGTAACGGTTGGGTTACAATAATATTTTATGTTAAATAGTTTTGTTTCATTTCATTGGTTGAGTTATTTTTTATAATTATTAATTATTTAAAATTATAATTAAAATATATTTGGATGAGTTCATGATTTGGATAGATATAATAATAAAATTTATATTTATATCATAAGATCCCCTCTAAATTTTGATTAAATATTGATACGATTGATGACATGGTAGTCGCATTTTTTAATGATATTAATTAATGGAGGTAATGGAATTTGTCTGATTGGGTTTGCAATTGATATCATCAACTATAGTTTGTCCATGTGCCTCGTTCTTGCAGCGACAGGTAAGTTCTTCTTCTTTGTTGTTGCCACTATGTTGAATGGGGCTCTGATGCCACTTAATACAAACCTAAGAGGTTAATTTTTATCAAGGTAGCACAACCAAAGATCAATCCACAATGATTGAACTCAAACAAAGAAGAGATACCAAAACAAAGTTTGTTTTCGTGCTAGGGATGGACTTTCGTGCAACGTTCACGAAGGGAAAGAGCCTTGATAAGTATGGGTTGATGCTTGGCCACGATCAGAGTGAGTAGCTGATCGATACAAGCTCAACAACAATCTAGAAATCCACTAGATTGCTCTCTCAATTCACGAAGCAAGATGCTAGATGAATCAAACTAGGGTTTGTATTCAATTGGGCAAAAACTAAACTATTACAATGAAAAACTCGACTTAAATAGATCCTAACTATGCCTAACAACTCATAAGTAAGTTCTAAGTACAATACAACTCGAGTGGAACTCAAAACCAACAATTAAATGGAATCCGAATGCAACAAGGAAAAGCAGAATGTCTTGGGATGCAATTCAACTCTTAGGCTTAATACGATCTTTGGGTTAATTGTTCGAAGACTTCCAAGTATCAAATCGATCAGCCAATTCCTTGCCTTTGTAGTCGAAAACCTGTAGTTTGATGTGGCATAAAGCTCTGGACTCGACTCTCACCCATCTGTCTCGAATAGACCTTTAAAGTCGGGTTGTCAAATTGTCTCGAATAGGCCTTCCAATTCCAGGTATCAAATCGATCAGCCAATTTATTGCAGAGTTCTTGTGTTGAGGCAGCATTCTGGGATGCTTGGGAAATGGCTTTACTGGCTTCATTCTGACCTTTCAAACTTTCCATCATGTAGATAAACTCTTTATCTTCACTCCCAAGATCTCCTTTTGAATTTCCATCGAGCTATTGAGAGAACCATGCTTGCAAAGTTGTTTACCTAAAACAGTTAAAAGACTTAGCCAAAAATGAGTGTTCTTCTTTCCACTTGAGATAGCTTCTTGGTTAAGTAATTCTGAACTGTAGATTGAGCAATCTGGGATTGTATCAACCATTAATCGACAAAAGAAGAAGCATAAGAGTAGTAATCATAAAGAGTTCTTTCCCCTAGCTTTGAATTGAATGAAATTTGGGGGATTACCTACACGGAGACCAGAATGGGCAGAAAATAGGTAACCGGGAACGAGAACTCAGCGACGCGAAGATGAAGTTGCAAGAGTTGTCCTGTAATGAGAGAAAAGTGGAAGCCAGAACTCGGTGACGGGAAATGGATTCTCCCCAGCGATGGTTTTTGGAGGAGGGAGCTTTTGATGGAAGAAGGAGGGAGATGTTGACGTAGAATGCTGGAAATGAAGGCGAAAGGAAAAAGGTGGGAGAGAAACTCAGGTCTCGACTCTCGATCAACTCATGCGGGCTGCCCAATTCCAATTTCCAGCTAGGGTAAGCTCATTGAGGGTCCAAAAATGGCGATGTTTATCATAAGAGCCGAAAGTAAGTCAATCCGGCTAGACATCGAATTTTTTGGTTTTGAATGACTACCAGATAGCTCTAAAAATGCTTATTGGTTGTTGTTGGGGGTATGGCTCGGGTCTACTCGCGCCAAGGAAGCAGCCCGACGCCGTCCCAAGAAAGCCACGTGCGCTAGCACCATCGCGACCAAGGCGCGGAACAACTCGCGGAAAGATCATGGGCGCGGAGAAGGCTGCACTTACGGACGAAGTTCCGCGAGGCGAATCGCCACACAAATAACCAAGAGGCCGAACGACACCATTTTGCTCAGACTCAGACCGAGTCAAGAAGCCAGGAAACGACATCGTATTCCCCGAAGAGTGGTCACATCCTAGTCCTAGGTATAATCATGGGCAAATTGTCTAGTTCTAGGTAGAGGCATGGCCTAAACGCCTGATAAGTCAGTAGTCATGTCATATTAAATATTCACCCACCACAATATAGCCTATAAATACGGCATTTACTCCGGTGGGTGAGGGGATCGCATTTTTACTCTCTCATTCTATATACTAAGAAACTTTCTCTCTCTAAGAATTCCCTCTGTCATGAATACCCTATTGCTTACTCTTCTCACCCCTCTTTAACCTGAGTCTCCCTCCTACTCTCAGTTAGACTCAAACAATTGGCGCCCACCGTGGGGCTGGAGTAGAGAAACAGTAGGACAGCAAATCACAAATGGCGGAACAAAGTAGTAAAACTCCCAACAAAGCAACCCCGATCAAGTCAATTACAAACCCGAGGTTGTTCGCGGAAGCTAGCAACCTCAACGCGGTCTTGATCGAAGAGGAAGAGCCAGAGCTGACTGCCAAAGAAGTTCGCCAGCAAATGACCAAACAAAACGAGGTCATCGCGGAGATGCAAGCGAAAATGAATCAAGTGATCGCCCTGATGATGAACAAAGAAACCACTGCGACAACGTCAGAGCAACTAGCGATGACGCTCCCACAGCCCACAGATTGCCAAACAATCAGACAAGCGGTCCCACAATCCCGCGAGCATGACCTGCCAGCGAGAGCGAACCTGACTTTCTTAGAGCAGTACCTCTCCCATAGTACCGCGCTCCACCCAAAAGAACTCTGCACCAACCACTATACATGGAAATTATGGCGGAACACTTGAGCGGAATCCCACCCTCCCTGCCCACGTACAACGGGACAACAGATCCAGAAGACCACGTCAGCAGCTTCTGCCTCCGCATGCAGCTGCAAACAAACTCCAACGCGGCACTATGCAGGACCTTCCCATCCACATTTGCGGGCATATGCCTAGATTGGTACAACCGCCTCCCCAACGGAATTATTCGCACCTTCGAGGAATTCATACTACTGTCCACAACGAAGTTCGCCTCCCAAAAAAGAAGGCTGCTCCACCTCAAAGCTTTGATCGACTTAAAACAAAAGGACGGGAAAAGCCTGCGTGCATTCTACTCCAAATGGTCGAGGACCGCGATGGCGGTACGTGACCTAACTCCGGAAACTGCCGCCCACCACCTCATGGAAGCCACCACCAACGCGGAACTCAAGCGCGCACTGGCAAAAAGACCCATTACGCTGTCCTCGGAGTTAGAAGCGAAGATCGAGAAAGCTATCACCTTGGAAGAAACCCTAGGAGCGGGATCAGTCCACCGCTACGAACCAACCATGCCTCCTAGAGAGGAACAAAGACGACGGGAGCCACCACTGCTGCTCTCGCAGTACCATAGCAGATATGGAAAGCAGCCAGCCCCACAAAAACCCCCACAATGCAGGCGCTCCCCAGACAAGCGCCCGCCTATGAGCTTCACCCCTCTCAACGACTCAGTAAAGAACATATTCCACCTCATCAGAGAGAAGGGGTACCGCGTTAATTGGCCGGCGCCAATGAAAGCCCTGGCACACACATGCGGGATCACATAAAGCACTACGACTTTCACCGAGAATCAGGCCATATGATGGAAGATTGCTTCAACTTGCGCGTAGAAATAGAGACGCTCATAAGAAGAGGATACCAAGCGGAATGCATAAAGGGGACAGAGGAGCGAAAGACCATCAAAACATCCCACCATCGCCTCTCCAAGCAGACTATAACGAGGCAATGGGATCTTACATCATCCTCAAAGAAATAGGAGTCATCACAATAGAAGGTAACAGACCAAGGAAAAAGACAAAGCGTGACCGCGCGGTGGAATGTGCAACAACAAGCGCCACCACAAAGTGTGACTTGAGCTTCGGCAATTCAGAGCTCCCGCAAGGAATTGCATCAGAGGAACCCCTAACCATAACGATGTTGATCGCCGCATGGAAAGTACACCGCCTGCTAATAGACGGAGGAAGCGTAGTGGACGTCTTGTTCAAGCGCACACTAGATCAAATGAACATATATTCGCGACTAATCCAACGGGCGCAAAGCAACTTAGTGGGATTCTCCGATACGAGGGTCGCCGTCATTGGAGAAGTCACACTGCCAGTTGTAATCGGAGACGACGAGCCGCGCTTCTTAATGCAAGTCGAGTTTACTATTGTAGACTACGACTCACCACACAACGGCATATTGGGCCGCCCATTCCTGCCAAAATTCATGGCACTAGCATCCACATGCCACCAAAAACTCAAATTCCCCACCAAGGCTGGAACTGGGGAGTCGCGCGGCTAACCATAGTCTGAGAGCAAACAACAAATCCCGCACCCTGCCGCGGTACCACGACAGACCAACATCATCGACACCCACGCCGACGACCCCCGCCCAGAGTCAATGGACTCTGACTTCGAAGTCGCACTAAACCCGAAAGAGCCAAACAAAAAAGTTCGCATCTCGACTCACGTCCCGGGCGACATGATTGAGCCGCTGGTGAAACTGCTACAAGAGTACCAAGAACTCTTCGCCTGGTGCACAGAAGACATGCCAGGAGTGCCAAGGCATGTGGCGCAACATTGCCTCGCGGTGCCTAGTACCGCGAAACCTTGATAGCAGGCGCGGCGCACGTTCACGGGCAAGAAACTGAAGGCTATAGAAGAAGAAGTGGCGCGCCTACTCGCCGTCGGTCTCATTCGGGAAGTAAAATACCCAAGGTGGTTAGCAAACGTAGTCCTGGTAAAAAAAGCTTTAGGTGCATGGAGAATGTGCGTAGACTACACCACCATTAACAAAGTATGTCCAAGATACCCATACCCCCTACCGCGCATTGACCAAATGATCGACGCGACATCCAACCACGAAACATTATCGTTCCTCGATATGTTTTCAGGATATCACCAGATCCCAATGAGCCACGTAGACTACACCACCATTAACAAAGTATGTCCGGGAGACCCATACCCCCTACAGCGCATCGGCCAAATGATCGACGCGACATCCAACCACGAAACATTATCGTTCCTCGATATGTTTTCAGGATATCACCAGATCCCAACGAGCCACAAAGACGAGGAGAAAACCGCTTTCATGACGCCATTCGGCAATTTCTGTTTCATGGGAATGCCGTTTGGCCTAAAAAACGCGGGCGCCACATACCAGCGAATGATCGATACAGTCTTCGCACCCCATATGGGGTGCAACATTGAGGCCTACGTGGATGACCTCATCGTCAAGACAAAGGGCGGGGGCTCCCATTTGGAAGACCTCCACGAAACATTCGAGGCATTACGCAGAAACAACCTTCGACTCAACCCGCTGAAGTGCGCCTTCGGCGCGGAAGCAGGAAAGTTCCTCGGATTCATGATAACCAAGCGGGGAATCGAGGCCGACCCCAAACAAATCACAACAGTGCAACAACTCCGCGCCCCCAGAAGCGCCACTGAAGTCCAATCTCTGAACGACAAGCGAGCCGCTTTAGGGCGATTCATCCCAAAATCCGCCGACAAATGCGCTCCATTCTTCCAAACCTTAAAGAACGGCGCTCGATTCGAGTGGACCCCAGAATGTGAAGCCGCATTCAATGAGCTCAAACTGTACTTGGTATCACCCCTGTATTGATCGCCCCCGGGCTTAATGAAAAGTTATTTCTGTACTTGTCTGTGTCTGCAAGAGTAGTGAGCGCAGTGCTAATCTCGTGGAAAGACGCGCAAACAGAAAGGCGAATCTACTACACATCGTAAACATTGGCAACCGTGGAAACAATATACTCCCCAATCGAGAAAGCCGCCATAGCGCTAGTTAGCGCATCGCAGAAACTACGCCCCTACTTCCAATCACACGTGATCACAGTTCTCACAAACCTGCCGCTCAAAAGAATTTTAAGATCGATGGAAGTGTCAGGGCGGATGACAAAATGGGAAGTCGAGCTATCAGAATATGACATCCAATACGCGTCGAGGCCAGCAATCAAGGCTCAAATCCTCACCGATTTCATCACGGAAGGAGTAACATTGAGCGACAAATCCGACGGAGTGTGGGAGGTCTACGTCGACGGGGCCGCCAGCCAACATGGAGTTGGCGCAGGCGTTGTCAGAAAAATGCCCGCGGGAGCTATCCTCAAAATCGCCATCTGCTTCAAAATTCTAAAGACTAACAACGCATCTAAGTATGAAGTACTACTGGCAGGACTAACAGCCGCTAGACACCTAAGCGCAAGAGCGGTGCGAATTCTTTCTGATTCTGCCATCGCTGTCAACCAGCTGAACGGAATCTTCGATGCCGAAAAGGACAGGCTTGCCCTATACATCGAGCACGTTAAAGCGCGAGAGGCGCAATTCAAAATAGTAACATACATCCAAATACCGCGAGAAGAAAACATGCACGCGGACGCACTCTCCAAACTTGCCACGGCGACGGACTTTGACGCAACAAGGATGGTCTCCGTACAAAAAGAAGACCAAGACACGCCGCACATCGTGAATACAACACAAGGAGAAGAAGGCGACTGGCAAACGCCAATTATCACGTTCTTGATAAATGGAGCAGTACCGAAAGACGCGAAGGAAGCTTGGGCACTCAGACAGAAAGCCGCCCGATGCACCCTCATTGATGGCACACTCCACAGGCGCTCACACTCGGGCGCTTACCTAAAGTGCGTAGGACCAGACGAGGCGCAACTGATCGTGCGAGATATACATGAAGGCATTTGCGTAATGCATTGTGGCGCGCGGAGCATGGAACGCACCATCCTTCTTCAAGGATATTATTGGCCGTGAATAAAGAAAGACACAAAGAAATTCGTTGAGCAATGCCACAAGTGCCAACTAAACGCGCGTCAACATCACACACCATCCACCGAGCTCCAAGGAAATGTCAGCCCATGGCACTTTGCACAATGGGGCATAGATCTACTGGGACCATTTCCCACCGCGAAAGGCAAACGCAAATATATCATTGTCGCGGTAGACTACTTCACCAAATGGATCAAAAGGGAAGCGCTGGCATCGATTACCGCCCAACAAGTGGTTCGCTTCTTGAGGAACAATGTGTTCACCTGATTTGGGGTCCCAAATTCGTTCATATTCGACCACAGCAAGCAATTTGACTGCGCGTAAGTCATAGACTTCTGCGCTGAAGTAGGTGCCATAGCCCGGTTCGCGTCAGTCACGTACCCCCAAGCTAATGGACAAGCAGAAGCGGCAAACAAGTCAATCCTACACGGCTTGTATACGCGCCTCGGAGAAGCAACAAGCAACTGGGCGGAGGAGCTACACATAGTCCTGTGGGCACACCGCACAACGTTCAAGGCGGCAATGGACGAGACCCCATTCGTGCTAACCTACGGAAGTGACGCGGTCATCCCAATCGAAACGGTGATACCCACGTACCACATCACCATGTTCAATGAATAAAGCAACAATGAAGCGCGACTCACGGACCTCTAGCTAACTACCGAACGTCGGGAGATGGTCGCTATCAAACTGGCTGCGAGGTACTAAAACGCCAAGCTAGTCCCACACAATATTAAAATGGGAGACCAAGTGCTGAGGCGCAACTTCCGCCCTGACGCAAAACACGGGAAGTTAGCATCGACATGGGAGGGCCCATACTTAATCCGCTAGGTTGTTGGTGCCAACACATTCAAGCTAAGTGCGCTAAGCGGGGAACCAATCCCCCAGACATGGAACGCCCAAAATCTGAGGAAATATCACTGGAGTTCCTAACCACTACCCACGTGTAATCTTGATGTCATGTTTATGCAATGATAATTTCTTCTTTCCATATCACCGCACAATAAGGGGAGGCAGCGCAACGTTTTGTCAAACGCGACTGTAATTACAATGGCAACGTAACCGCGCAGTCACGAACTGCGCTAAACTGTTGAGCATGCATATAATTTGAAATATAATCGCGCAACCATGACTCGCAACAAAGAAAATAAATAAAGCTATAAAGTAGCAACGTAATCGTGCGATCAAGAATCACGCTAAGATAGTATAAAAGGCACACATTACGCAGTCATGAGCTGTGGGAAAACAAAGGGAGCGAAAGCAAAACAACTTAGAATAATATTTGGATTCGAAACAGGGAGACAACAAACGCCAAACGCCAAAACAACTACAAAAACTAAGTGAAACACAGCGGGACCACACTTAATCAACAACAACATTGCCGCCATCTTTAGTTGTGGTCGCCGCAACACCTTCTTCCTCAGCCACCCTCGCCGCGCCAACCTCTTCCTCCTCTGTCTCGGGCTCAGAATCCGGCGCAAGAGACTTTTTCTCGCCCAGCCACTGCTGCACATGGCGAACAATCGCGCGAGTATTCCAACGGATCCCGGAGTTACCCGGACGCACCTTCTTGCGGACTGCAATCACAGCCTTGGTCATGGCATCCGCCAACAACTTGCCGAAGGCATTCGAGGACTTGTATTGGCGGATCGCGTTAGCCCGTGTTGTGCGCACGGCTTCCGCCTTCGCCACATCATGAAGGTGGACTAGATCGGCCTTCTTCTTCTGAAACTTCTCACGGACCTGCCTCAGCTTCTCTGCATGATCAGTCTCCAGACGGCTCTTCTCCCGATCTCGCTCATCTTCCAACCGCTTTTGCTCCGCTTCAAACTCCCCCTCAGCTCCTCCCGAATAGAGGCCCGCTCCTCCTCCCGGACTTGCTCCTTTGCGGCCTCCACATTGGCCACCAGCTTGCTTTGCAGGATTCCTAGCTCCTCCAAAGCTTCGTTGGCCCGGTTGGTGGCCAACTCCGCGCGACTCTCTCTGCCAACAAGTTTTCCCTCTAACTGAACAACTCGGGATAGCTCGGCCTTCAAGGCCGCGGTGTCCCGAGCCCGCTCCCGTTGGGCGCGGAAAGTCGCCAACAAGCCCTACATCAAAATGGTGCACGACAACTTAGTAAAAATTGAAGCAAAAACTCACGAACCGTCGCCAACAAGCAAACCACACACACAAAATCCGCCTAACTCACCGCGAAATGAACCTGGGAGAGGTTTTGAAGTGGGTCTGACTTCTCCATCCGCGGTGGAATGCTAAGCATGGGCCCAAGAGCCCGCAAAGCAGTCTGTGCGGCCGAGCTGTTGCATGCAGCGCCTGAGTGGATCCGCACGTCACGGAAGTAGTTAATAGCGGGTGTCCCGAAGCCAGGCATCTCGGGCAACGTCTGCTGCACAGCCGCATTAGAAGAACTACCCGGGCCGTCTTCTTTGGCCGCGGGGACTTACTCGCCCGAGTCTCCCTTTCTACGAGATCCCTGCGGCGATCTCTCGGTGGTCCGCGGCGCCTCAGGCGCCCTCTCTATGGCAGCGGCTTGTTCCACCTCTTCAATCTCCACGACGGCGGGCCGCTCCGTCTCTTTCCTCTTCTTCTCCATATGCGGTGGTCGGGGAGCCTTCACTACGTCGTCCACCAACATCATGCTCACGAGTGACGAGAAGTCAACACCTACGCCAATAGATCGTAAGAAGCCCGTTAATACAACAGAATACAAAAGAAAAAGGAAATAACTAACCATCTGCAAAGAGTTCCGCCAAACAAGCCGCGCAAACACCACTGGAATATAAGTTGATCTTCTGCAACATGCACACCTTGTACTCTTCATCGAGCCCGTCGTACTTGCCCACTTCCGACTCAAAGTCGCGCGTACTTCCCTTCTTCCACACCGTCGGTTCCTCCACATACTCACTAGCCCACTCCCCCGGAACGGGCTTAACAAAGAAAAACCGCTCGAACCAATTCTTCTCTAGCTTTGGGGACCCATACACGTAACCATCAGGCCTCTTGTCCCGGCGCTTGATAAAGAGGCAATCGCTCTTCACCGTCTCCTCTTTTATCTTGTATATCTTCCGAAACCGTCCATAGGACAGTTGAATTTTGTGTGTTTCACACACGAGGCGGAGACACGACACGTGCATGACCACAGACGGAGACAGACGCGCGACCGAGCACTTGAGACTCCTGTACAGAGCGCACATCAATGGGTCAATGGGAACTTGAAGCCCATCTTCCAATACTCCGTGTATACCCCGAACCACCCTGGGGGGGGGGGGGGGCAAATTCCAATCCTGCTCCGCGCGGACGGAACCGCATACTGCCAATTAAGGGGCAAACCCAATCCGCGCACAAGCTCTGTCACTTCCCTCCGTCCGTAGATGGACACATGATCAGGCCCGCGCACAAGGTTGTCATGCGGCGCCGGCTCCGCTCCAAACATCTCCGCCCAGTCCAATATAGTGTAAGCCGCGCCCACTCCACGAACGCCGAGCCGGCTCATTGCCTCAGACACACGTGAAACGTAGACCGACTCCGATTGAGTGTCTGAGTCCTCTCGCGATTCGGCATTCGCATTCCCAGATCCACTAGCGGCGTCGCGACGGATTATCAACACCTCGCGAGCACGCGTTCTTGGTCACCTCCTGTATGCCCTAGCATACCCTAGAAACGATCATTATTTTTCTTAGAATATTTGATATTTATTGGACGATTCTATCGGGTTTAATGACAGAAATATTGTTTTTTTTTTAAATTCACCACCAATATGGCAGATTAAATTCACCTTCAATCTGAAAGGTCAGATGCTTGAGGCACAAGGATGACAATTGTCCTTGGATGGTGCGGTTTGGATGTCGAGATGTTGGAGGCGAATGGACTGTGAGAAAGGATGAGTTGGTGCATTCTTGTAGCAGTACGACTCAACCGACGGATCATTGTCATCTTGATGTCGACATGATATCTGAGGCCGTCAAATATTTGGTACATGCCCAACCAAATCTGAGTGTTCTAACTATACAGGCCGAGTTGAAAGATAAGTTTAATATGAAAGTTACTTACAAGAAGGCTTGGTATGGGAAACAAAGAGCATTGGAGAAGTTGCATGGAAATTGGGAAGAATCCTACGATTATTTGCAAACATTCTTGCAAGTGGTCAAGAGAAAAATGCAAAAATCGGTGATTGATTGGGTAAGAGTTCCTTCAGCTCAACTAGGGATTTTGATCTTTCAGCGAGTATTCTGGGCTTATGGACCTTGTATAGATGGATTCAAGAATTGTCCAGGATTCCTAGTTGTTGATGGAACATTTCTTACTGGATAGTATAAAGGAGTGCTACTCATGGCGAGATCATTTGATGGCTGGAAGAAGATTTTTCCAATAGCATTTGCCATCGTGAAGAGCGAGAATACTGAAAGTTGGCCATGGTTCATAAATCACGTTTAAAGTTTGAACGATCGAAATGATGTCTGCATCATCTCGGATAGACATGTGGGACTCTTTGAAGCCATGGGTGACATCGAAAGAGGTTGGGAGTGGAGGTGGTGCGTGCTACACTACGCCAAGCAAAGAAATATTAAGCAAACAAAGAACTAACCAATGCCTCTGTTGCAGTTCCTCTCCGTGTGCCTGAACGTCTGGTGACATCTCGATACCACTCCATATGCTCCGAGTGGTAGGCTAAGACCTCTTCACTGTATGGAGTCGTCGCTACAAACTCTTGTCGACGGTTATAGAAAGCAATCGACTCTCTGAAGTGGTGTACCAACTGTTGCCCACGCGATGGCCCAGGGGTAGTCTGACGAAGAAAAAACCTAACCTCAGCCTCAGAATGTAGGGGATGAGGCTCATGCTGCCTCATGCCAAACCGCCGGAGCACGCGATCAGGATGGTGCCACATCACCGATGAAAAGCAGATAAATGGCACTACTGCTCGAAACGTCTCAGACTGTATCACACTACCTCTGAGATGAAGTGCTCTCTCAACGTAAGGTTGCCACTACACAAAAAAATGGTCACGTTAGTATCCCTAAATCTAAAACAAACAAATGAAAACTATTCTATAAAATGAAATGTTATATACTAACCACCATGGTGTCCATCTCGTCAAACCACAGCTTGTACTGTAATAACTGGTCACCATACTGACGGGAAGCCATCGAAGACCACGTGGGGATGCATCCTCGAAATTTGCGCCCTCGTCTCTGAATGTCGCGGTGCCAGATGTGGGAATCGCTCCCACGCCCAGAGCTACAGTAGGGCGACCCATCCACCAAGGTCACCACCTAGAGAAGTGGAGGAATGCGTAATGTGAAAAGCCGACCTACCCATCTCACTGTACATTTAGGATAAAACAACTACTCCCCAGGCGAACCATCCAGCTCTATGCCAATCCTCAACCAGAAGTAGGTACTGTAGGTGCACCGTAGCTCCAGACCGATTCGGGAACAATACACCTCCCATTAGAGATAGAGCATAAGCTCGTGCAAACTGCTCTGTAACCTCCTGGGATGCATTTCCCGGTAGATGACTGAATTCATCCCTCAGCCAAACAGTCCTAATGACACCGACACCGCCTGAAACATCAGTCGGAACCCGTCCTAACAGTCTCAAACAGATCGTCGACCACTCCTCATCCGGTATGTCAACTACGACGGCATCAACGTCGATCGCCAGACTGGACAGTGTCACAACGTCCTCTAACGTGATCGTGAACTCACCAAAAGGTAAATGGAAGGTCGAGGACTCGGGTCGCCACCGCTCTACGAGCGCAGTAATCAAACTCGTGTCGGAGTTTATAGGGACCAGTGGCAAAAGACTAAACAAGCCAGCCGCTTCGAGATATGGCCGATAAAGCTCATGGTACGTCACTAAATTGGTCGTACCTCGAACATGGTACGATCGATCACCAGACTATAGTGCACAAAACTTATATTAATTCTAATTTCACCTAATAAATTCTAATCTATCTAATCGAATCTCAAATTATACTAATGTGAAATTTTTTGATACGTAATCCTATTCTAATTTCAGTACAGTTCAGTTCACCAACTAAAATAATCTAATTAGTTAATTAACTTTACATGAATAATTATCAAATACTTACCTCGTTTGCCCAAACTGAGTCGATACGATGTTGGCCATGTCCCCAAAGAAGTACCGGATCGACCGGAGCTGGATCAATTGTCTCCCGCGGTAGTCTCATCGAATAAGGGTCCATAAGCCTAGGAACTGCAAAAGCAAAGCAACTAAAACATTAATTAAAAAAACACTAAACATTAATTTAAAAAAAGAAACCAGCCATCGGCGAGACCCTCACCGCGAAAATGACCGCCAACTCCACGAGCTCGCCGGCCTCTCCCCCAGCCTCTGCCAGCGACAGATTCGTCTTCGTCGGATGACATCTCCATCGAACTCAGGCGGTGGCGCTTATGTTAGCTGCGGTGGCGCTTCTGTCTGCGGCGGCGGCGCTTCTGTCTGCGGCGGCGGCGCCTGGGTCTGCGGCGTCGGCGACTGAGAATGCGCCGGGTTGCTTGGTGGAGTGCTCTCTTGTTCGGGAGGAGACAGTGTGAAGGGGGGGGGGGGGGGAGGAAGAAGAAGATAAGAAGAAGGATATGGGCCCACGACGCTTTTTAAAATAAATTAGAGAGGTGAAGGCGGGGGCGCTGGAGACTAATGCGCCAACGCCTAAGACTGGTTCCAAACTTTCAAAACGCGGCCCCACCTTTGTCTCTAGCAGCCCCGCCTCTGAATCTCCAGCGGCCCCACCTTGTAATTGTTTAATTTTAACTAATGTTCATCATTCTAGTGATTTATTATCGTATTTTTTCACCTATGTAATGACATTATATGTGTATGTTAACATTTCAGTTGGAGTTATAAAGAGAAATTATACCCATAGATAATCGTGGATACCTTAAACCTAATCGATATGGGCATTGTTTTGATTTTGTACCTGATTCTTGTACGGGTATGGGTAAAACCGGAAATGTTTCGAGTTGGATACTGGATATGCAGTATTTGTCGCTGACTTGATCCATTGACATCCCTAATTTGAATCAACAGCCGGAGGTTATAGTGTTATTTTAAATGTTTATGGCATAATTATCTAAATGCTAAAAATGCAATTTCTTGATTGAAAATTAGAAGAATGTACTTCCATTTTCCCTTCTCCGTAGAACCCTCAATCAACATCTTTCTGGACCTTTTGTCGGTTCTGTTCTTGAACTCATAGTTGGTATGAATTCTACCATCTCGTTGGGAATGTTTTGGCGAGGTGCTAAAATAGGTTGGAAAGATATTAATCCATTTGCAGATCCAAGCAACATATTTACATTTATATCATCATACAATAAAAAAAATGCTCTCTTCGAATCCCTCTGATCTGACAGCTCCAACGACAACCGCAACCCCGCCGGGACGGCCACCGGACCTTGCTCAACCAGCAACAACGACAGCCAACGACGAGAAGAATCTAGGGACTATAGCTGACTCGCCGATGCAGGTGGATGGGGAGGGTTCTGCGACGTAATCAGCGACAACAGGGGCACCAGTTGTCACGTCACCGGCCACCAACGATTCTACCCCGATAGGCAAGGCGACCACATATTTGTTTCCACCAATCGGGAACACAACCGCGCTTCCTCTGATCTCTTATGCTAACGCGGTGTCAGGGAACCCGAGCTCACATCCATCTCCGAGGCAGCGGTGGATTCCTGTGGGTGAACATGACTTGGTTTCGGGGACCTTCAACAATGAACCTGAACTTAGAGTCTCTGATTCTCTGAGGAATAAGCTCAACGCCCTTTGGTAACGCACTCTCGTTGTTAGATTGCTAGGACGTTCGATTGGGTACTCAACCTTGTGCAATAAGCTTAAGGCTCTCTACAACCAACTAGCGCGATTGAAATATTTGCGCTAGATGACGATTGCTTTTTGGTCAAGCTCGAGAATGATAAGGATTATTTCAGCGCCTTGTCAGATGGTCACTGGGTTATTTTCGATCATTATTTGGTGGCACAGCAATGGACGCCTTCTTTCAGGGTGACGAACAAGCTCCCCAATACCATGGTCTTGTGGGTTCAATTTCCGGGTTTCCCAGTTCATTTTTATCATCAGGAGCTTCTCTTCACGCTTGGTAATATGATTGGGAGGGCTATAAAGCTTGACTATCGCACCCAACCCCAACAACGTGCCAAAATTTCCAGAATAGCTATGGAGGTAGACCTTTCGAAGCCTTTAGTTCCAACTTCCAAGGATTAGACTCGATGGCCGATGGCAAAAGGTGGAGTTTGAAAACATCCTTGTTGTGTGTTTCGAATGTGGGAAGGTCGGGCATACTAAGGTCACATGCCCCAAAATCTGCAAGGAACGGCCAATAGTGGAGTTTTAAGGTAAGTTGTCGGCATCGGCGCCGGTTTTCGTTGACGGAGAAGAAAGCTTCGAGTACGTTGCCGGGTTTGGGCCATGGATGCTAGTCACGCGGAAATCTCGGTGGAATCAAAGGGAGGTGGCGGGACAAGGAAAGTCTGACCCGAAATCCCCACCCACCAACGGCCACCATATCTGGAATTCGGGGAAAGGAGAGGAGGGGGGATAAGGAGAATATTGATAACCTGTTACACCCCGCTCTTTCTAAAATTCAAAATGACTATTGTACCCTTGGATTAATTCGTCGAGTTCCACCTTATTATTGACAGTGACTAAAAGTGTGGACTTATGGTTGAAACATTGTCGAATTTCGATATAAACGGGTAAGTTAGGGATGTAGGTTGGGTTTTGAATCAAGACCCAATCAAATATCTAGGTTGAGTGGACCTTGCTAATTGTTTTGCCCTTAATTGTGACTATTTCAATATTGGGTCCTTGTTTAAGCCGAGTTGGGCTGGTAACCTGATAGCGGAGGCCAGATGCCCTATACAATACAAGGACTGGACGAGGAAGAAAGAAGGGGAATCGTTTCCATCATTTCCTCTAGGTAAAGTTCGATCGGAAACAAAGTGGCAAAATGGCGCCCAAATGAATAACCGAGAAGCATCTCGCAACCGAAAGCAATAGTAAGGGGACTTTAATGTGATTAATTGCTTGTGATGGGGCTACAATTCGCTTAGGTTGCTCTCCATTAATAAGTGGGCAAAACCGAGACTAGTATGGGAAGGGGATCAACCTGCTCCATCGCAAGCTAGCAGGAGAAGAGTGGGGGAGGGAAAGCGCTGGACAAGTGCTCATTCTCACTTCGGTTCCAAACAGGTGCTTGCTTCCCTTCAGTTCGCTCAATTACGTTGCATCATCATCGTTCGCCGGAACCAGGAGCAACCATAACTACTCCACGTTGCCGCCTTCAGGCAGGTGCGTTGGCAGGCAACGACATGGACAACGGAGGAACGTAAGCAAATCGGTGCAAAGATGGGATAGAAAAAAAAAAGAAACGAGATTGGTTACTTCTGCTCTCTCGTGGCATTCAACTTAGGCGGGATTGGAATTATTTGGACCAGGACGATGAGAGGGTGAAACGTAGATGATGGCGTTCGAGGTTGATTGCAACCAAGGACCCAGTTCTGTGATAATGGGACAAAGGTAATTTTTGCCCCTGCTTTATGTGTTGAAGCCAATTCATTGCATGATAAAGGAAACCGGATCGTATCGGCCGGTTGAACTGGTAACACCGGAAACCGGAGCACGGACGATACGGTAACCTATTTATGGCTAGAATATCGCGCCTGCCGATTTAAACGACACAAACCAAAATACCGCCCAGTTTTGGTCTGACTGGGGGTAGGCTATTGAGAAGGGAACGTCGTCGTTTTGGCACCCAAAAAAAAAAGGCCGAAGATCAAAACTCAAAACCCTAATCTCCATCGAAACAAAAAAACACCCAGCCGCTCCTCCTCTTTCTTTCTTCCCAGCGAGTGTCAAGGTAGTAGGTACCCCCGTTGCTCCTCTTCTTCTCCAGTTCTCCTCTCGCAACCGGTGACCAGGAACCGCCGAGACCGTGACCAGCGACCGGCGGCGAGGCGACCCGCCGCGATCCCTGATCTGCTCTGCCGCTTCGCTGATCTGATCCGCTGCTCCTCTCTGCCGCTCCGTTGCTCTTCTCCGGCCTCCGCTCCTCCTTAGCTGGTGCGCCTCTCCCTCCGGCCTCCCCTGCTCAAGAACGCGATGGGCATAGGTAAGAACGCCTGTGAGATGAAACAATGGCAGCTAAATTAGTAAATTATGAGTGTGATGATATATTAAACTAATTAATTATAAGAGAACAGACTTAGAATTGGGACGTGAGGTGGATAAGGAAGAAGGTTTATCTCAATCAATCCTCTGCATGACTGCGACGATGGTGGGGGATTTTGAATTTAGAGTTATTAGTATGGTTTTGTGTTATCCCACTTTCCTCCCCACATGAATGTGACGATGGTGGGGGAGAAGGTTCTCACTTCTGATGATCACCACTTCTCATTTCACTTGCTCTCCTTCTTTCTTTCTTCCTTTTTGGTAGAATAGAATATAACTCGGCTTCTTCTTCAAAAGACACCACCTAATCTGAGCTCTGCCTCTTCCAATGTTCTGGCCTTTATAATTTATTCTAATGAGAATTTTGGCTGTTTTGGCAGCAATGGCTGGTGGAGAAGAAGCCCGATCGGTTGATAAAGGAGCAAATCCTAGTAATTCGAAGGTTACCGCAAAGGGTGTACGAGGCAAAAGTGATCCAACTTGGGCTCATTGTTCCTTCCATCTTGATGGAAATGTGGAGGTACTCACTTGTGTCTATTGTCAAAAAGAATTTAGAGGCGGAGGAATCACTAGAATGAAAAAACATCTAGCTGGTGTTAGTGGGGATAATGCAATATGCTCAATGGTTCGGAAGAGGTGAGCCAAAACATGCAGAAGCTAGCTATTGACTAATTATGAAACTAATAAGAAGAAATATGAAGGTGTCAAAGTTGGATTTAATGAACCTCGTTATACAAATTCTTCTAGTGCACAAGATGATAATAGTGCTAAAAGAGTTGCTCCTAATGTGTCTACGGGTTCGGTTGACACTCTCTTTGCTCCACGGTCATCTTTTGGTAGTCACCGGGAATAAAGAGTGCCTTAGCAACTAAAGAAGTTGTATTGTATGTGGATCGAGCATGGGCTAGATGGTTCTATGATGCATGTGTTCCTTTAGAAGCAATTAAATCTACAATTTAAAATAGCATTGGATTCTTCTATGACTCTTGGTCCTGGTTATGGAGGTCCTACATATTATGCTTTGAGGTTTACTTTGTTGGATAGCATTGTGAAAGAATGTCATCTATTGATTGAGAGTTTGAGGTCTAATTGGAAGGAATCTGGATGCACTATTATGGCGGATGGTTAGACGGATAATAGGCATAGATCCTTAATCAATTTTCTTGTGTATTCTCCTGCTGGAACATGCTTTGTGAAGTCCATTGATGCTTCTGGTTTGGTCAAGGGTGGAAGGAACGTGTTTAAGTTATTTTGTGAGGTCATTGATTGGGTTGGAGCGGAGAATGTTGTTCATGTGGTGACCGATAATGCATCCAACTATAAATTGGCAGGGACAATGATACATGAGCATTATGGTCATATATATTGGACTCCTTGTGTTCCTCATACCCTTAACTTGATCTTGAGTGAGAATAGATCTATTCCTCATGTTAAGAAGCTTGCCTATCGAGCTACCAAGGTCTCCAAATTTGTTTACAATCATGGTCCAATTTATTTCTGGTTGAAGACAATGGAGAAATGGAAAGAAATAGTGAGACCTGGTGCTACTAGATTTGCTACTACATTTCTGAGTTTGCAAAGTACTTTTGAGCACATACATGATTTGGAGGAACTGTGATTAGTAAGTTCTTTACAGAAAGTGATCTTTAAAGTACTAAGGATGGAAAGGATGTGAAGGCAATTGTACTCGATCAACAGTTTTGGGCTGATTGTGACTTCATTGTTAAGTTGACAGCTCCAATTGTTAAGTTTCTTCGAGTTGTGGATTCAGATAGTAAACCAGCAATGGGGTATGTGTATGATGGGATGACTAGGTTGTCAAATGCTATTATGACTGTTTTTGGAGATAAGGCGGAGATGTACAAGCCATACATGGATATCGTTAATAGAAGATGGGATAAGCACTTGAGCCGTGATTTGTTTATGGCAGCTCACTATCTTAATTCGACTATTAAGTATGCTGATGATTGGACAGAGGATAGGGCAGTTACATTTGGACTTCTTAATCTTCTTGAGAACTCGTCTTATGTCCTGATGATAGTGTGGTGGTGGCAGAGATGAATTTGTATGCTGAACGGTCATGAAATTTTGGGAGGAAGATGGCAATAGATTCTGCACAAAAACAACAACCAGGTAATTGATATCACTTGCATTGAAGTTCTTCTATTTATTACAATATTTAAGAAACTAACATGTATATTTTTTATGTAGATAAGTGGTGGAAATAGTTTGGCATTGATCCTCCAAATATTCAGAAGTTAGCTATTCGAATTCTTAGCCAAACTGCTGCTTCTTTGAACGTGTGCACACCAAAAGAAGAAACAGATTGCAGCATAAAGTTCTTAGTAACTTGGTGTTTGTGAATTACAACTTGCGATTGCATAATAGGTAATGATTTGAATTATAGAACTTGTGTGTTGAATTCATACTTTCTATGCTTACTATTGAATTGAATTATTTTTTCAACTTTTATTAAGGAGTATTACACCAAGAACAATAAAGAATCATATGATCCCATAAGTCTTGAAAGCATTGATTTTACTGTTACTAGCCACTGGTTGTCAGAAGGGGAAGAAAGTCTATCTTCTAGGGATAAAGAATTGGATATTGATGAGCTGAAACAAGCATTAGAAGAGGAAAGTTTGTTTGTAAATCAATTATGCATAATATGAATTCTAATACTAATAATTGATAATAATTCTTACTTGTTTTCTCTTGTATTGTAGTTGGTGATGAAGAAGATGAAGGGGACGACTTGCAGAATGTAGACCTCTCTACATTTGGTGTTGTTTGAAGATATGGAACGTTGTAGTGCTTGCGAGTTTGAGTTTGTGGTAGTTGTGAACTTGTGGTTTGAGAATGTTGTTTGGTTTTTTAATACTTTGAAGTTTGAACAAAAAGGAAATGTTGTTTGGTTTGAGAATGTTGTTTGAACTTGTGGTTTGAAAATGTTGTTTGGTTGTTTTATACTCGATCCTAAACATGCATTTGAACGATTATGTAGTTAATTCAGTAATGTTGCAGTTTGTTGATTGTTATATTACATGTGTCTATTTAGTTTATTCGGGTTTGTTATCCGGTATATTATGGTTTTATTCTGGTATTACTCCGAAATGGTATCACGAATCTGTCGGTACGGTTTTTTAACCAAAAAATATTTTTAATTACAAAAATGGTTTTTTACCGGTACACAACGATTGAACCACAGTCGTACCACAAAATACCCTACCACTGACGGATCCGGTATGACCTCTGGTATGGTTTCCTTTACCTTGATTCATTGAGATTTGATGTTGCTCGGTGGAATTGGACGGATGCAACAAGGATAACGTGGATAATTGATGACCGACTTGTTCAGCTTGAAGTGGTGCCTCAAAAAAAATAAGAAAGTTGAGGTCGGATGGGGTAAAATAAGGAATTAAATGGACCAAGTCCATTGTCTTCTTGTGATTTGGAGTAGCAATGGTCGCGGGGGTTCCTACAAGTGGCATGGCTGCTGGCTCGGCCCAGAACAAGCCATGAGGGACTGAAAGTCGAATACCGATAGTTGAGGCTAAACCGTATACTCCTCCTCCTCCGCGAGACGTCTATCCAGCAACCTCATCGACTAACAAACGAACCAAGCAAAAGAAAGGAAAAAAGAAAGGTGTCGGCGATGATAGAAAGACATCGCAACGTGGTACTCTGATCCGACACAAACCAGCTAAGGCGCTGCAAATTTGGTCCCCTCTCAAGGATCGGAAAGTAAGAGCAAAGAGCGACGAGTCCCGCTGACCCTCCAACAAATCCAGGAGTGGAAGAATGCGGTGAAACCGAACGGAGCATCAGACAGTTTTGCGATGGCCCCTTCCCCCATAACTCCTCTGGGAGACGAAGTGTCCATGGTGCCGATCTGCCTAGCTTGGCTGAGACCTCTTCTTCCCTTTATCCCCTCTTTTCTCTTTTCTCCTTTTACATTATATTACTATGTCTAGTTCTCATCATACCAATTTTAAAATTCTTTCTTGGAACGTGAGTGGTGCTGGGAGCAAGTCCTTCTTTCGCTCTCTTCGACTTGCAATCCAGCTCCACCGGCCTAATTTTGTTATTTTGTTGGAACCACAGGTCAGCAGTGCCATCGCAGACTTTGTGTGCGAGAAGGTCGGCTTCCCGAACGTTGCTCGAGTGGAAGCTACAGGGCATAGCGGGGGCATTTGGGTTTTCTGGAACGCACATCAGTTTGATGTTCAAGACTCTGCTGGCGCTCAACAGCCTACTCTCTCTATTTGCCACAATAGCCTGCCGAGTTGGTTCTTAATAGCCATCTATGCCTCTCCTCGACAGCAGCCTCAAAGCCTGCTCTGGCACAATCTTGTTGAAGAAAGCTATATTATTACTCGACCCTGGATTCTGACGGGCAATTTCAACACGATTTGATCCCCAGCAGAAAAGAGTGGACCTTGTACTGCAACCACCCTTTGCAGGTGTAGAAGGTTCAGCCAATGGATTAATCAGGCGGAGCTAGTGGATTTGGGATTCTCCGGCCCACGATTTACGTGGACGAGGGGGTCTTAAGCTTCCACTTTCAAAGCCAGTAGACTGGACCGCAGCCTCTGCAATTTGAGCTGGAATGAGGCTTTCCCAGACACCATAGTCCTCCATCTGGCTCGTGTGGGATCCGATCACCATCCAATTCTAACTTATGTTGCTGGCCAGGGAGTCTTGAATCCATCTTCTAAACCTTTTAAGTTTGAATCTGCTTAGATTACGCATGATAAATTCCACAGTTTTTTAGCAGAATCATGGAACTCATAAGCTGTGCTACCTCTTGCCTTGCAGGATTTGTCGACCAAGCTGCAAAATTGGAATTTAATGGTTTTTGGCAATATCATCCAAAGGAAAAAGAGGTTGCTAGCTCGCATTGGTGGAGTGGAGAGGCGGCTTATCGAGGACTTCTCTCCGGGTTTAGCTAAACTCCATTCTAAACTTTCGACAGAGCTAGACAAGGTTTTAGAGCAGGAAGAGTTACTGTGGTTCCAAAGGTCTCGAGAAAACTGGGTCAAGTTCGGAGAGAGGAACACCTCTTACTTTCACTAGCTTGCCAAAATCAGGAGAAAGGCCAACAGGATTACCAGCTTGAAAGATGATAATGGCGAGTGGGTGACTGATAGGCAACAGTTGGCTTCCATGTTTTTTCAGTACTATTCAGAGTTGTATCGGCAGGATGGTACGACCTATAGAGATCTGATGCCTAGAGGAGCCTTCCCCCACCTCAGTCTTATGGATCTAAATCAACTCCTCCACCCCTTCACCATTCAAGATGTTCACAGAGCTGTCTTCGAGATGAAATCCTTTCAGGCCCCGGGTCCTGATGGATTTCAAGTCGTATTTTACCAGCATGCTTGGAAGACTGTGGGGAAATCTTTGATGGACATGGCCATCTCGTTCTTTGAGGAAGGCAAACTGCCTGACAAGGTTTTTGCTTATACGTGGTTCTTATACCCAAAGTAGAGAATCCTGAGACCGTTGGGGAACTCCGGGCGATCTCTCTGAATAATGTCAATCTCAAGGCTATCACCAAAGCTATGACGAGTCGATTGAAAGCAGTTATGAACATTCTGGTCTCTCCGTGGCAGAGTAGTTTTATTCATGGCCGACAGACAACAAACAACATCATTATAGTCTAGGAATTTCTCCACTCTATGTTGAAGAAGCGTGGCAAGAAAGGGGGTTTGGTGATGAAAATCGACCTAGAGAAGGCTTATGATAGGCTCTGATGGGATTTCCTTCGGGACACTCTCATCAAAGTTGGTCTTCCAAGCTCTTGGATACGGTGCATCATGTACTGCGTCGAGATGAATGTTATGCGCGTCATGTGGAACGGAGAGCAGCTGGAGCCCATCTCCCCTACCCGGGGAGTCAGACAGGGAGACCTTCTTTCACCCTATCTCTTTGTCTTATGTATGGAGCGTCTTTCCCATAGAATAGACCGGGTCATACAGGAAAAGTTGTGGAAACCTATCAGGCTCTCGCCAGGGGCCCTGACACTTACTCACCTCTTTTTTGCAGATGATCTTATCCTTTTTGCAGAAGCTGAGAGCTCTCAAGTTAGGATCATCAAGAAATGTTTGGACGAGTTTTGTGCAAGCTCCGGCCAAAGAGTGAATTTTAGCAAATCCCTGCTTTATGTCTCTCCTAATGTCGGGAACACTCGAGCCCAACGACTAAGTGATAGAGCTGGCATTCCGTTGACTCTTAACCTTGGTCGCTATTTGGGACTACAAGCTATCTATGGGAGGATCACTAGGAGCAGATATCAGCCACTAGTTCTCCACATCCAGAAGAAGCTTGCTCCTCGGAAGGCTAGGCGTCTGTCTTTTGCTGTGAGACTAACTATGGCTTGATCTGTGTCTCTCGCCATTCCTACCTGTCATATGCAGACTGAACTAATCCCCATGAATGTTTGTAAATCTATTGATAAGATTAACAGGGACTTCATCTGGGGGAGGATGAGCAGCAAGGTAGGATTCATTTGGTGGCGTGGGAGAAGTTAAATGAGCCAAAGAGTCAGGGTGGAGCAGGTTTACGGCCCTTGAGGCAAGAGAATCTGGCTCTCTTGGCTAAAGGGGCCTGGCGGTTTATTAAGGAGAAGGACACCCTCTGGGCGCAGCTTCTTCGAGCCAAGTACGGGAGGCAACGAGAAGGATTGGATATTTTTCGCCAGTGTCAGGGAAGTTCTTTTTCTTGGAGAAGCTTTACCAAAGCTTCTAGCTTACTGCAGCAAGGCTGTGGGTGGAATATTCACAATGGGAAGGACACTAAGTTTTGGCGTGATATTTGGTTGATGTTGGTCCTGCTTATGGAGATTTCTCTTCGACCGATACAGAGTGAGATGTTGTTGGAGTCAGTAGCAAACTACCTTGGAGAGGACGGAAGCCGGGATGTTGAGTGTCTGGTCCCCTGGTGCTAGAGGATACCATTTAGAAAATAATGGTTGTCGTCGTTGATCCTCTCGCCACTGAGAAGGAAACAATCTTATGGACGGGCTCCTCCAATGGCGTTTTCTCAACAAAGAAATCTTACCAGTTGGCTAACCCTCCTCGGCAAGATCCCCAGCAGCAGCATTGGAAGAAAATTTGGTGACTACTAGGCCCGGAGTGGATTCAGTGTTTCGCCTAGTTGATTTCCTTGGGCAAGATTGCAACCAATCAACTGAGATTTTTAAGGAAGTGTGCTTCATCCCCTGCCTGCTACCGCTGTGAAGGTGTTGTTGAGTCCATAGGCCACGTCCTCCGAGACTACCCGCCAGCAAGCTTCTTTTGGAGCATACATGTGCCGGCTGCTGAGAAATAGACTTTCTTCTCCGCATCGAAAAGCGACTGGCTGCGCATGAATCTCCTTAAGGAGGAAGTTATGGAGACTGGAGTTAGCTGGAATGCCTTTTTTAGCATGGCAGTCTGGCTGTTTGGAAGATTAGATGCACGGGTTGCTTCAAAGGGCCAATGGCTACACTGACCGCGCCATCCTTGAGTCACTCGATGAATCACAAGGTCAAACTATTATATAAAGCATGGAACGCTCCCTCGGTATCTCCAGGAAAGCCTCGGCTGGTAACGATAAAAGGGTGGAGAGGATAAGGTGGCTCGCTCCCCCAAGGGGATGACTGAAACTCAATGTAGAAGGAGCTTGGGCTGGAAATTCGGACATTGCAGGGGTTGGAGGGCTGATCCGTGAAAAATAGGGATGAAGGGTCACGAGCTTTGTAGCCAAGATCAGGGAGGCCTCGGGGACACTGACGGAGCTGTGGGAAATTTTTCACGGATTGGATATTGCTTGGCGCCACAAGTGTGCTAATTTGATTGTGGAGTCAGATTCTCAGTTAGCAGTTCATTTGATTAAGGACTGGCAGGATCCTATCCATCCTTATGCGTGTTTACTAGCATTGATTCGTCGGCGTATGGCACAAAACTGGCTGGTCAATATTGTTCACACATACCGGGAAGGGAATAGAGCCGTAGACTGGCTCTCGAAGCATAGTCTCGTCTATCCCTACGTTATGCGAGAACTTGTTGATCCACCCAGTGTTCTATGTCATGTTCTGCAGGAGGATATCCATGGGATCTCTTTTGAGCGCCGAGTTGTGTTGCACTGTCCCCTTTGTCACTCTTTCTCTTTCTTGGATGCGGCCTCCTATTAATGCAAAAAAAAATGTGAGATACAATCTATTAATGGGCTCAACGATCATTAATGTGATTGTAGTATATTGCCAAGTAATAAATTCTAGAAATGCCTAGGGCCGTATTCCATGGGTCTTTTGATGACAACTACTTTCAAAAACTAATCACTTATGCTTGAATGGAAATGCAATAAAAAAATGAATGGGTTGAGGTTCCCGAATGATGGACGAAGTCCTATCTAATTAAGTAAATGAACATAGCAAAACCAAGTAAATTAAACAAGCAAGTAATTGAAATCATTGGTTCGGTGGTTTCATCTAAGTAATCATGTATGCTAATTCATTAATGACATACATGCATGCATCTCTTCTATTATGATGCCTTATTTATTTCACTAATGCATTCCTAATTGAGTTTTCGTCACATGCAAAAGGAAGTGCAACTAGTTAATGTGTGTTTTCTCTTCATTTCGCTAATTAATCAATCAATAACATGGAAGTAAGGATATCATGTTGATATTTAGGACCTCTATGAGCGCATAACATGGTTCATGGCTTTGGTAATATAATCTATCAAGCATTCATCATATACAAGCATGAAAGGTTGCACATTCAATCCAAACAAGCATAAGACAACAACATATCATCTCAGATGAGTTGGTTATGATGATATCATAAGCAAAATCAAGATAGCATATAATAGATGATACAGAGATGAAATAACATAGGCATCTCATTAAATTATTGCGAGCGATGCATGAAGCATCGTAGAAATCAAATCCCTAAATAACAAGGGCTTTAGCTAGACATAAGAGAGAGATGATATCGCCATTGATGATGAAGGCATCTCCATAGAACTCTGAAAGATCTCCAACATATCTTCGAAAGAACTTATTCACCATGATGGATGCTAACATGAAGAGTAGATTGAAAACCTTTCTTGAAAGGAAAGGGTAGAACTTCATATGAAGTTTTGTTAATTCCATAAGATAACTCTTGGATAACTTTGGCCCGATTGGTCTTGCGATGCTGGGACAGCGATTGGACTCACCGTGGTGGGCTTCCATCGTTTACTTTGATTTTTTTCTGGCAAACTTCTCTTGGGCTTAAACCACCCCAGTAGGATTTTTGCTCATTTGGACTCTATTTGATAAATGAAAACCTCCTTAATCTTATAGACTTCCTCTCATTTAGTCGTCCAAATTTATCCAATAGGTTATATCCTCGATTGTATTCTACGCTGAAAGAAAAAAGTAATACCAAAAAGGCATAAATGAATATTGAAACAGAATCAAGGTAAAAAAGAAGCACATTAATAAAGTAGTTACAATATTCATAGAAAATAGAACCAAAACTACTAAAGATGCATCGATAAAAGGTAATTGTATCAAATATAGGAAATTGAAGACACTATAATTTGAGTTTTATCAATCATCAAACAAAAAGCAATACTAGTTTGAGGTCCACTTTGGCATGGTCAGTGAGCACATCATCGACCGGTGGCTGCACAAGTGATGACTAGTTTTGAGATGGAGAGGAGATCAAGGTAGCAGCCCCACCTTGAAAGTCCAGCACCCACTCCTCCTTAGAATCATCCGTCAGCAGCTGCATTAAATGTGATCTTATACTCTCATCCTACTGGAGCATAACATGCCGGCCAAAGCTCGAGGAGGCAGTCGATTGATGGGCTATACCCGTCCTGCGAGTAGATCTTTGGATCCGAGATGATGGGGTCACTTTATGCCCATTCTACTCACCACAAACTGGGAGAGGGGCATCACTTTGTTTACCCTTACCCTTCTCCATTGCTGGAATATTGTGCGTGCCTCTCAAGACGCGACGTTGTGTCGCACGTCGTTCAGTGGAGTGCATGGGGAGAGGTTGTGGACGATCCACATCCTCTTCCTCCTCAGCCAACTCCAACTTGCGGCGTTGAACTGGAACCTCACTAGTACTCCTGACAACCGGCGCACATGGTTGCTGACAATCAGCCATCAAAGTCCTCGACTTCTGCCTGAATCTTTAATGATCCCTATCATCACGAGTCGGTCTTGTCGAAATAGTCCTAACTCGTCGTGGGACCTCGACAGCCCTCTCATATTGCAATTGACCCGGATAATCTTTTTTAATAAACACCCCAGCCCCATCTCACAAATGCATATGTTGTTGGCCCTGCAAGTTAGCGATTTTGGGTGCACGAGCAATCGAGAAGCCTCGAGGGCTCCTCTCACTGCGGGCTTTGCTTCTCCCAGCTAGAGAGGGAATATATGAATGCACAGCTAAATCAAAGTTACCCGTGCATCTAAAAGATCCGCACGCACCTCATTGTCAGGCTGGTGGGCGTTAGTAGTTGGAGCCACCTGTCGCGCACCCCGACCCTTATTCACCCAAACAAATTGTGGCATGCCTGGAAAAGATGGCCAATCATCAGCTTCATCATATATTTTAATCCCTAGTTTTTTCGTAGACATGTGTGGACCGAATTTCTCCTTACGAGTCGGAGGATCAAAATGACAAGTACGAAGCCTGTGTCCCACCCTTCCACAACGAAAGCAGAAAATCGGGAGGTATTCATACTTTAGTTTGACCTAGAAGCAGCTCGTATCCTCACTACCGACATTAGTTGCGATCTCAGTGGTTTGGTGAAGTCAATTAAAGCCTTCACCTTGACAAAAATACGACCCATGTCTTGGCAGGTAAACACACCTGCTTCAAGAACTTTCCCGATCATGTTAGTTGCCATTTTCCTTCCAAAATGATGAGTATAACAGTCATCTTTAATATACTGAAGGAAAAAATTGAAGAATAAAAGGTTTGGAAGAATAAAATTGAAGGAAAAAACAAGAAAAAGTGATGTTTTTGCAATCTTAGGATCATCCTCCTCTGGGCTGAACTCCACCAAATATACCGAAGCCCAGTCACTGTCTACATCTGACATAACTGTACTCTCTCTCTCTATGGAGTAATCCCCTTTATCACCTAGATTGTACGTTAGGAAGAGTTGTATGAACCCTTTACCATGGATGATTGATTTATATACAGTTGAAGTAATTATTCTGAATTGCTTGAGTCTTGATCAAATTCTAGTGATTCCTGCTTTGAACTAGAAAGATAATCTCTGCATAGGTCAACAGAGCCTCTTGAATTGGAAGTAGTGAATCGTCCACTTTAGTCGAGAAGTCGATTCACTGCTCTGTACTGGGACAAAACCCAGTAGAGGAAGTTTGATTCTTATTGCCTCCGTTAGCGCACGCCGGTGGACATTTGTCGCCCGCCTGGTATTCAAACCTAGAGGTTCTGGAGCAATTTAGTCAAGACTCCAGACTGTTTGAGAATTTTCCGCAGTTTAAACATCAATAACTTGACTTGGGTGAATTACACCTTGGCCTAACTGCAATCTAGAGTGACTCATACTTGAGTGAGCCTTCTTAATATGAATACAATCGTTTCCTGCTTTCTGTTTAATTTGATTTGAACACTGCACTCAACTTTTCCCGCTAGATAATAGATAAGCACAGAGTAGGCAGTACATCTAGGCCCAGGGTTGATAAGTAAAACCGAACCACTGTTATGAATTTCCATTCTACGATTACACTTGGCCGTAGTTTGGTGTTGTGTTTTAGCGAGTCAATTAGATAAAGAATTAATTGAGTCCTTTGGTTTGGCTCTTGGAGACTTCACTTTTGGGAAACATAATGGTTGCAACCGACGTAAGCTCTCTACACTAGGCTAGGACAAGTATACTCTAGCCTAGCAAAGTAGTATAAAGGCGACAAAAGTCATATTTCGCGAGTCTTCGGATGTATTTTGAATTTGATGCTATACTACTATTTAGTCAATCAATTAAGGGGTTCAATTTACACTAAGCTAGCAAGCAATGTTACTTCAAAGATTGAGAAGGTACTTGGGATCAAATTCCCTAAAAAACAAATGTGTGATAAAAATGAATGGAACTCTCATGGAATATCCCATATTCTCTTATGTTGTTAAGAATAAATAATATAACAATTAAGTTAATGATCATACACTCAATTACACTTCCAGACTTACTAATGGGCTCGATAAGCATGCACCCAATCGATAACCTAGAACATTAAGCCTACATTCTTCAAATGGGTTGTACCCCAAATGAAAATGAAACTGCAACTCAATGGGCATGCAATTGTAAGCTTATACTACTTGGTGTGATTTTAAACCTTGACCTAATTAGTTGAGTACCCTCACAAGCCAAAAACATAACAATTATTAACTTGATAAAGGCCAACAATTGGCAATATATAAAAATACAAATAGTCTAAACAGAATTAGGCTTCTTGCATAATTGATCTAAACAATCGCAATCACATACTAGAAGTTAGGGTTTATCTTCTCCAAGTACAAGATATTTTATCTCACGAAAGAGAGAAAGGGAAAATAAAGATGGAGAGAAGGAATTATTCACAACAGAGAATCTTGTTGTTCTTCTTCAAGAATCTTTCAACCAATAGAGAAAATTTCCTTTGTTGTCTGCCTTCGGCTATTGATGCGACAAAAGTGTATATGCACTTTATCAATCGAGTAATAAAGATAAGTAAATTATCATTCCACTGGGATTGGTACAAATCTATATTTGACGGTCAGAATTAAGGAGAACAAAAGTATTCAGGTGGTAACAAATTAAAAGAAATAACTAAACTAAAAAACAAGTCGGAGATTAACTTGGAGAAAAATCAATGGAGAGAAGCTCTGGGGGAAAGAAGAATTGGAATTCACTACCCAATTACCCGATTCAATTCATTTGTTAATAAATTTGATTCTCATTCAAATGACCGAAGTTATCTCTGAGGTGATAGCTATCTCTCTGAAGAATCACTACGTACTAGCTATCCAATCAATTGTTTACTTTCGTACAACCAATTAATTAACTAACTAGTCTGAAGTCAGATAACTTCTCTAATGATCACACAACTCTCGCTTTCCACTCTTGTGCTCAATTGGGTGTCAAGACGTATGTAAGAGTGTTCTATCCTAGATATCTCCTCATTGTCTCAACCTAGAACAAGAAATCAATATGTCAGTGGTCAGTCTACACAAACCATTATGGATCCACACACAATATGAATGAGAAAGACAAATAATCTGAATTAAATCATAAAAATCTGATAGCTAAATCCTACGGTCTTCCCCCATAAATTAGGGTTTAGTTCATCATCATTATAAACAAACTAACAAATAATTCTAGGTTCAACATCTTAGAATTCATGAAATAGGAAAAAGAATTACGAACAAAGTTATCCATTTCTCTAACTCTGATCTCCGAATGATCGTCTAGAATTATTGCCCAAAATAACAGTCGACGAACGAAGGGTTTCTCGCTTGTACTCCGCGCGAATGTTGCTGCTCTCCTCCGTCCAAGAATTCTCGTCCATGTCCTCTTGCCCGATGGATATCTCATCCTCCTCAATTTTGGCGTTTTTCAAATTATAATTACATCATTCTCTCCAAAAGAACCATAAGATATCACTAAATTTCTACAGTTTAGCTTCTGGAAAAAATTTAAACACATAGCAGAGCCAATCCAGACGGTTGAGGCCATCACCTCTCTCAAAACAGCCTCGTTCAAGGTTTCTTCTCCGAATATTGCTTACCCAACTGCAATCACAGCGGTCGTGGTACTGAATTTCAATCAATCCATAGGACGGCCACTCTGAATTTGCTTTTCTATATTTTTCTCCACTTGGCTTCCGATAAAGCCTACTTCAACAAGGCCGAAAACCTTAAACACTTATGAGGAATAGGTAGGTGGATAGAGGGTCCCTGCCTAAGTCCCCTAGAAGGATTAAAATCAATAGATCTTTGTCTATTGACTAATGTTGAGTAGGAGATCGCCATGTAATACATCTTCATAAGATCTATCCATCTTTCTTTAAAACACATTTTCCTCATTGCTTTCTCCAGAAAATCCCAATCAACTTTATCATATGATTTTGCCATATCTAGTTTGGCATCAAAGAAACCCTTCTTAATATTGCAGCACTTCTTCATGTGGGTGAAACTTTCAACTTTATAATATTATTTGTGATCTCTCGTCCAAGCACAAAGGCACTTTATGCCTAAAAAACGATGTTCGACATAATCACTTTGAGTCTAGTAGCTAATACCTTTGATACCAACTTGTACAAAAATCTACATAAGCTTGTCAGTCTAAATTCCTTCAGTACATTGGTTTTTAACCTTAGAAATTAGAATAATAAGCATATGATTAAGCTCGACAGGTAAGATTCCTTATCCCAGAAATCCTAGGATGACACTGGTGATTTTAGGGCCGATGACATTTCAATTCTTATGAAAGAAACATGTTGGATAACCATTAGACCCAGTCGCTTTTATTGGACCCATCTGGAATAGAGCTCTTGCAACTTTTGAGCCACCATACTCTCTTAACCAATCATTTTGGTGGTGGTGTCTTTTGTTGAGGGGACAAAACACTTGTTTTCTCTGATTTCTCTTTTCTTTATTTCCCTTTAAAAGTATCAAGAATGGACTACAAACTAGTCTAGTATGCATGGATTCTAACAACAATTGATGTACGCTCATTCTGATCTCCCATACTCCTTTGTCTGGGTCAATAAGGCTATTGTCCAATTTAAAGTGTGGGGTGGGGTTTATTAGATTTCTCTGCATGCTTCTACCTTCCATATGTTGGGGTGGTATATGCAAAATATTTCAATATATATTCAATAATGCCAGACTCTCTTTTATATTTCTATGCTCAGCTTGTTTTGAATTGCTAGTCTCTACATTGATGCATGATATAGGAGGTTAGTGCAGTGGCTATGAAGGATGTCATAGTCATGAGAGTAAAGAACCATTCAATATGTCTGGATATTGTGTCTGCCACTATCCTTTGTGAGCTTTTAAAATATGCCAATGAGCCCCAAATCCCAATGCTTTAAAAATTTTCAATGAGGTGAACTGTATCTTTATGCATGAATACCTGAAAAGTGGAATAAAGAAAGTTTCCATAACAAATAAAGTGGGGGTAAAATAAGGCCAACATGTGAGGAATCGCTCATTACACAAGGGGGCATAGGAATATTTCAAATGAGCATTGTTTTCGCAACTGTATGATGTTGTTGATCTAGTACAATCCCCAACCAAGTGAGACGCCATTTGAGAATTGTCCTTAAAGGGCACAAATATAGCTTACAACACCCCTCTATAGCATTTCCCATCCACATGGATCAAGGATAAAGAGTTAAACGAATCTCTTATGCGAGTGCTAAGGCATAACAATTGCTTTCACTTGATCACACTAGTAAGAAACAAAACTCACTTGATCACACTAGTAAGAAACAAAAGTGCAAAAATGGCAAGCAGTTCGAAAGAGAGTTTCATTGTTAAACAAAGGTAGAGATATGCTTAAAAGTAAAAACAATGTTTGCAAAAGCTTCACCCTGTATGTTCTTTCAAATTCTCGAGCATAAATAATTGTTCATGATTGATGGAGGTTGGCCAAAATTTCCTTATGAGATATATGCCTCACTACGTGGTTTAGTTATCAACAAGCGATGGTTGACCTTGTAAGCTACTTATGAACCACTACATATGATCAAAAGTTACGTGTATCGTGGAGCTCTATTGAGTTATACAATTTTTAGCATGGTTTGCTTGGGGACAAGAGTGGGTTTATTTGATGATACGTAAAATATGTTATTTTAGACGCCTAGTTTACGCCATGTTTTACATGGTTTTTGCGTACTTGTTGCCATGTTGACTTGGAATTGCTTGGTAATTGGTCAAATGTGTGTTTAGTAGTATCTATGAATGCTTTTATTCTTTTGATGCCCTTTGGGTAATTTTTGTGTATTTTGGATAAAGCATCCTAGTGGACCACCTTGTACTAGGGGTGAACAAACACGCCCGTAAACCGGCCCACCTGTCCAACCAGACCCAACCCACCCGTATTTATCGCTAAAATGAAGGTTTTGGGTTGAGTGAGGGTTTTCTTTTGTACAACCCGCCTATATTCGGTTGGGTTTGGATTTTGGATTACACAACCCGTAGAACCCGACCCAACCCGTGTTCCAACTATTGGTAGGAGTTCGTATCCAAAAATATTTATGGCATATATAGCCATACTGATGCGAAAAGTAAGATATTTCGCCATGTTTTTCTCTCATGGTCTCCCTAATCTAATGCATTCTTCGGCTTAAAGTTTAGACATAAATTTAATATAGCAATGATTCACGTAATTCTTTTTCTTGTGTACAATTTTAATAGAATAACATATTACGGGTGCGTTCGCTTATAACCTTTTTAGCCTATTTCAACAAATATCGTGAAAAAACTAGACATATGTTGAAGTAAATCACATTTTAATAAAACTGAAATAACATTTGTGAAATTTTATACCTTTCACCTCGGTTTATTAGTTTGAAATTTAGTTATTTATAAAATATTTTTTGTGGTGTATAATAATTATATATTTTGTGTTGGGTTGGATTGGATTTTTACTTAAAAATATAGTCGACCCGTCCCAACCCAATTAGAAACATACCGTAGGGTTAAAATTTTTTTGGGTGTGTTTGGGTTTAATATTTCTCAAACCGTAGTGCATAGGTCGGGTGATTAAAATGGTTAAACCCGAACCACCCAACTCATGTACACCCCTACCTTGTATGAGGTGGAGTCATAGTGACAGTAAAAAATCAGCTTCTCGAGAGATAGCTTTATGATTTCATGTCTTTTTTCTACACATATAAAATCATATATCATAGAATATCAATATGATAGTAAAATAGGTATAAGTAGTTGGGTTATGGCTGATAAGCCAGTCGCATGGGCCCTCGTGGTCTTCTTGCATCCAGAGGCTTGGCCTCTATTTCTTGTACATTCCAGAATTGATCTAAGTCCTAATTGTACTTGAAACTCACCAAAAATTAACCAAAAGGGATCAAATAGTATAAAAGCATACCAAGGTCTATTAATCGCACTTTAGACTTGCTTGTATATCATGAGTAGCATACTTCAATGAAGAACTCGAGTAATCCACCGTTTGGTGGTCAATTAATTGTCTATGTGCGATTAGTTTGTCATAGAGTAATCATCAATTATTATTCAGCTTACCTGTGCATGCACAATTCTTATCATGCCATGCATTGGGTCAAGGTCAGTTTCGAATATAGTGCAAGCTCAATTTCTGGTCATCCCATGCATGGATAGTCAAGGTAGTCAAGCAAGAGTGACAATCACAAGCATGAACTTAACTTCGACATATTATTACTAAACTACCATATGAATACACAAGGTTCCACTCCCTAAACATCGAGAGGGAGTGAGGAGTGAGCTGACAAGGCTTTTTTGACCTCTTATCTCGTGTGAGGCTAAACTACTAGAGTTTAGGATCATGAAATCCTCCGAGTCCACCACAAAGTATAGATACTTTTGAACCCTTGAGATTTTGCATGCCTTCACAATTAGTATTTTTTAGTGTATTTCTTAACTACTTTGAATTTATGGTTGATGTATGTTTTATTTTGAGTGAATTTCTTTGATTATTAATGTAACTAATTAGAGCACTACCTTAAGGAAAATACATTAATCAAACTTAGAAAAATACATAAATCAAAATATAAAAAATACGTAAAACTAACTTAGGACATGACTCAAATTCTCATCTATTTATTTGAATAAGAAGGGAGCATTCGATATCGTCTGGTAAAGAACCTGACACCATAGGTTGAAATAAATTTGCCTTGGACGTATATGAGTTTCTTCCTTATTACACATAATTATTGTTCATGATGATGAATGATGATGGGTTGATGTTGCTTTTTGTTGTTGTATGAAACCTCCATACATCACGAACATCTATGCAAGTTCATGCTCAAGTTAACACTCATACTCCCGTTCGTATCATCAGTTCCTCTACTAGGGTAATCCATCACGTTGAAGGAGCTATTGGTTTGTAGAGATTTACGAAGGTTGAATGGTGGGATGAGTAGAATGACCAAGTTTAAGGTCATTTATGGAAAGAAAAAAGATTATTTCTGCAATAATATGAATAAAGTAGGATGAACAATCGATGACACAACTCATGCGGTCAAACATGTGAAAAATGTATAATTGTTGTGTTCCTCATCAAATTCGCCAGACATCAATTCATCCCCCTAAATTAATAGGGGGTGTTGGCTTGTTACTCAAAAATGAATCCTTATATGAAGCTTTAACCTCGTATGTAATATTCATCGTTGAAGGAGGCTAATTTTCCGGCAGGAAGCTCCAACTATTCCCCTAGGGCATTGTGACAATTGCTACTTCTACTCCACCTCCCTCTACCATCCTTAAGTGGAGATGACTTTGGATTTCTTTCTCGGTTGGACTGTGAGTTTGAGGGCGATCCATCTGGTGACTTCAGATAGTGGTCTGCCTCCCCTTTGGAAGGTTTCAAGTCGCAACTCATCATAATTGTCGAAAACAGAGGAGAGAGGGCATATAGATTCTCTCTCTACATTGACCTTTCTCTCTCTCTCTCTCTCTCACGCACACTTTTTTCTTTTTTATCTTAGAGGTTCCAAACCACTTGTTTCCACTATGGTATTGTGGATGGTCTGAGGCAGATGATGGGTCCAATGGATTTACCCTCCCCTAACTAGTGATACTCCCGGTCGATGTTCTTTGGGCCAAATGTTAAGCAAGACCCAAGCCGATCGACGCTTTGAGAAGAAAAGGAATTGGACTTGGGTAGCTGACTGGACATGCTGAGGATGAGAAAACGGATTTGGGCCCTAGCCGAGTCTTTCAAGTCCAAACAACAACAAGTCAATGTTATTGTAGGACCAAGGTTGTCAAACCTGTTTATGCCGGTGTGTCAGTTTTACAAGTGAAATGGTTCAACCGTGATACAACCGGTATACATACCGGTTTATTCTGATTTGACAAAATATGTATAAAAAATTCATAAAAAATATAAATCATAATATATATCCTCAATCCGCCACCGCTCCAGAAACTTGCCGTCGTAGGCTCGCAGCAGCACCGCCAATCAACCCTTCCTCCTTTACCCTTTTACAAAGAATGGTCTGCCCCAACCAAACCCTCCTAATTACCATATATTTTTGGCTACCCTTAGCAAAGATTATATACAAATAGTTTGCAGAGGGACATGCTGGGAGGAAGTGGCGCCGGGAGGAAGACGACCTGAGATTGGAACAGTTTTTTGGAAGTGACGAATCGAGGCGCCACCGGAGGAAGAGGTGCTCGAGCAGGACCTCGTGGCAAAGCGAAGAAGATTGGGGATCAGGGATGGGAGCTCGCCTATTGAAACCCTAAGTGCATCCTCACCCATTTCGAAAAACGACGACGTATTGTTGATGAGGCCATAATTTTTCATTCTGGTTGAACCACCAACATTTCGGGTATTGTTCGACATTGACTAGAGGGTCATGCTTGTGGTATTCCAGCCGATTTTATTATCGACATCGGTTGAACCTGCGAGCATACTAATTGGCATGACAACTATGGTAAGGACCAATCGGTAGGTATTTTCACGAGAGAGAGAAAAATATCATATGTGACAAAAAAAAGTATGAGAGTAGAGTCATCACTCATTAGGGGTGGGCATTCAAGTCGATTCGGTTTCGACCGAACGAAATTATGAATACCGGGTCCCCGAATTCTCCCAAATCTCAAACCGAATTCGAACCAAATTATAATTCGGTTCGGTCGGTTTAAACCGAATTATAATTCAGTTCGGTTTTTAACACAAAACCGAATTTGTGAAGCTACTTGTATTTTCTCACTTTTAAATTATTTTTCACCCCTAATATAAACAATAAATATCAATTATATGCATCATCAATGATAAAATCAAACTTTTCAACACATAAGTCATAAAACATTTCAAATATTTAAGTCTAAAAACAACTACAAACATAAAATCCAACATTTGGAGATTGCAATTATAATATTTCCGTTTTTCGGTCGGAAATTCGGAAATTTGGTTCGGTTGAAAGAACCCTGATTTCTGAACTATCTATATTTTCTTCCAAATTCCGAACCGAATAGCATTAATTCGGTTTAATTCAGTTTCGATTTCGGTTCGATTTACCGAACCGTTTGTTCACCCCATCACTTATTAGTCATTAGTGTGTACTGTGTAGTGTAAATGTGTAATTCTCCCTCGCAGATTCATCGGATACCAAAACTAATTCCAAAAAGCAGCGCAAAAGAAACGACGACAGGCCTAATTCAATTAGTAATATAATTAAAAAACAAAAGTAAAAAGCGCAAAACACACATTCCCTCAACTCTCTCTCTCTCTCCTCTCCTCTCCTCTCTTCTTTCCTACCCTTTTCTTCTCCGACTCTCTGCGTCCCTCCCCTGTCTAGAATCCTCCTTTACCTTCCTGCTTCGCTCTCTCCTCCGTCTCTCTGCCTTGCACAGTTTCTGCTTGCCGAGCCGACGCAAGAGGGAGAGCATGGAGAAGCTCCTGCTCGCCCCCTACCTCTGATCTCGCTTGGTTCAGCAGGTGAGAGAAAGCTTCTCACTCTGTAAATCACTTCCGCCATTAATACGCTCTGGTTTCCTTTTTCTTTAGGGGTCTTTTTTGTTTGTTTCCTTGACCGATGTTTCTGCCTCCGTCGTTGAGTGTTTGGTCTTCTTCTTCTCCGTTTTCCATTTTCTCGCCCTCTTTTGTGTTGCTAGCTTGTCTGGAACCCCACCACTCATCAGAGGTTTGCTCGAAAATTTCCCGAGAAAATTAATCGAGGCCGAGAGGAAAATTGTCTCCCGTCTCCGTGGGCCCCGTTTTCCCATTATCACTCGTCGCCAGACTGGTTTGTGGCTTGTTTGGTTGCCAGGGAAAGTTGTGAAGGAGTTTTTCTTTTCCCCTGAGTGGTGTGTTTTCTTTTCCTCCTCTCTCCTCCCCCGGTTTAAAGAAAATGGGGTTGCTGTTGAAAAATCAATTTAACAACCGTCACTTTATTTGTTGAGAAGTCATTTTCTTTCTCTTCCCCCACCAAACTGTCCCACGCTCCGCTCCTCCATTTTCTCAGAGTCCAAACAGTGGGGAAAAAAAAAAAAAACTAGCCTCTGTGGTTCTTTCAGGGATTTCTGTAAAAGGGTTTCTGCTCTCCGCCATACCTGCCTTCTTGACCCCTGCTTAATTCATTACTAACTCCTTTTTGATTATTTCCACAGTGGAGGCGGTCAGATCCGAAAAGGTTCTTGAAGCCAGCCATAGCTCATCCCACAATAGAATTTGGTAAGTTTATTGATTCAAGATCTCTGAGACGAACATTGGGTTTGTGGTTGTGTGGGTCGTTGTTTGGTTTCCTATCATCTGCTTTTTTCCAATGGAAAATCCAAGTCTCCCTCTGTCTCATGTTTATCCGTTGACAGGCGTTAGTCTTTTTTTTAAATATTATTCTGACTGCTTTGAATGTTTGAATTTAGTAATTTACTCAATGAGCTGTTGAACTTCTCCCGAGCATTTAGGTCGTCTCTGTTAGGAGTTGGTGCTTTGAATAATACTAAACGGCTAATTGGGATTTCTTCTATCGTTTTTTCAGGCGTTTAAGATACCCACCAGCACAGCAGTCACACACCCCTTTGGAGTGTGCTGTTCGGTTATTACTGAAAAACTGTTCTCTCTGGGTTTAAGAGCAACGCTACCAAAATGCAAAGGCCACCGCCGGAGGATTTTCTCCTCAAGGAGACCAACCCACATTTGGGAGGTGGGAAGATCACGGGCGACAAGCTCACAAGCACCTATGACCTCGTCGAGCAGATGCAGTATCTTTACGTCCGGGTTGTCAAGGCCAGGGACTTGCCAGGGAAAGATGTCACTGGCAGCTGTGATCCTTATGTGGAGGTCAGGCTGGGAAACTACAAGGGTACTACTCGCCATTTCGAGAAGAAGTCCAACCCCGAGTGGACCCAGGTCTTTGCATTCTCCAAAGATCGGATTCAGGCCTCGGTTCTGGAGGTTACCGTCAAGGATAAGGACTTTGTGAAGGATGATTTCATTGGGCGGGTTCTGTTCGATTTGAATGAGGTCCCCAAACGTGTTCCTCCTGATAGTCCATTGGCGCCTCAGTGGTACAGGTTGGAAGACCGGAAGAGTGATAAAGTAAGAGGGGAGCTGATGTTGGCGGTTTGGATGGGGACTCAGGCTGACGAAGCCTTTCCTGAAGCGTGGCATTCTGATGCTGCAACCGTGAGTGGAATGGATGCTCTTGCTAACATTCGATCCAAGGTTTATCTCTCTCCAAAGCTGTGGTATTTGAGGGTAAATGTGATTGAAGCTCAGGACTTGATCCCGACTGACAAAAATCGTTATCCAGAAGTGTTTGTAAAGGCTAGGTTGGGGAATCAAACTCTAAGAACGAGGATCTCTCCTAGTCGAACGATTAACCCTATGTGGAATGAAGACCTTATGTTTGTAGCTGCGGAACCATTCGAGGAGCCTTTGATTTTGAGCGTGGAAGATAGAGTTGCTCCGAACAAAGATGATGAGTTGGGGAGATGTGCAATTCCTTTGCAGTATATGGACAAAAGGTACGACCACAAACCAGTCAACACCAGGTGGTTTAATCTCGAGAAACATATTGTTGTGGAAGGTGAAAAGAAGAAGGAAACCAAATTCTCTAGTAGGATTCACATGAGGGTCTGTTTGGAAGGTGGATATCATGTTCTTGATGAGTCTACACACTACAGTAGCGATCTTCGCCCCACTGCCAAACCACTGTGGAAATCAAGCATTGGGGTACTAGAGCTCGGTATACTAAATGCTACCGGACTCATGCCTATGAAGACTAAAGATGGCCGTGGAACAACTGATGCTTACTGTGTTGCTAAGTACGGTCAGAAGTGGGTTCGCACAAGAACCATCATTGACAGTTTTGGGCCCAAATGGAATGAGCAATACACTTGGGAGGTTTTCGATCCTTGTACTGTTGTCACAGTTGGAGTCTTTGATAACTGTCATCTCCATGGAGGTGGAGATAAAAATGGTGGAGGGGCAAGGGATGCTAGAATTGGCAAGGTTAGGATTCGCCTGTCCACTCTTGAAACTGATCGTGTGTACACACATTCCTATCCGCTTCTAGTATTGCATCCTAATGGGGTAAAGAAAATGGGGGAGATTCACTTGGCAGTCCGTTTCACATGCTCTTCTTTGCTCAACATGATGCACATGTACTCGCAACCTCTGCTGCCAAAGATGCATTATATTCACCCTCTAACAGTCAGCCAGCTGGACAGCTTGAGACATCAAGCTACTCAGATTGTTTCCATGAGGCTCAGTCGGGCAGAACCGCCTTTGAGAAAGGAAGTCGTTGAGTACATGCTGGATGTTGGGTCCCACATGTGGAGTATGAGAAGGAGCAAAGCTAACTTCTTTAGAATCATGGGTGTTCTCGGTGGGTTGATTGCTGTGGGAAAATGGTTTGACCAAATCTGCAATTGGAAGAATCCAATCACCACAGTGCTGATTCACATCCTTTTTGTCATCCTAGTCCTGTACCCGGAGCTCATCTTGCCCACGATCTTCCTGTATCTCTTCCTGATTGGTGTGTGGTACTACAGATGGAGGCCGAGGCATCCACCTCACATGGACACTCGTCTCTCTCATGCTGAGTCTGCACATCCCGATGAGCTGGATGAGGAGTTTGATACTTTCCCTACCTCTCGGGCTTCTGATATCGTGCGGATGAGGTACGATCGTTTGAGGAGCATTGCTGGAAGGATTCAGACTGTGGTGGGTGATTTGGCTACTCAGGGGGAGAGGCTGCAGTCGTTGCTGAGCTGGAGGGACCCGAGAGCTACTGCTCTGTTTGTGATCTTCTGTCTGATTGCGGCCATTGTTCTGTATGTTACTCCATTCCAAGTGGTGGCACTTCTTGCAGGGCTGTATGTGCTGAGGCACCCCAGGTTTCGTCATAAGCTCCCTTCTGTTCCTCTCAACTTCTTCCGCCGGCTGCCTGCTAGAACAGACTGCATGCTGTGATGAATGAAAGAAAGAATGGATGGAGCTTTTGCTGGTGATGCATGGAGTAGATGGATCAACCTTCCTCTTGAAGGTTTCCCGGGTTCTTTTGAAGTGGGGTATATTTCATGTTCTCCATCTTGTGGTTAAGTTAATGGTGGTTTGTAAGTTTGGTAGGGATGTGATTTGCAACTCTTTCGAGACTGTTCTGCTGGACCGTTTTCTTTTGTGTCGCTAGTCTTTAGTTGGTAGATATTTTTATGAAATGGGGATGCGTTCTTCTATCCTGCACCAAATGTGCTTCTTTCTTGGCATGCCTGTGTCGTGCTCCTGTCGCTTTGCAGGTTTATTATTCCTTTCTGATCATTCCTGGCATCACCTTGGCGTCCTTCTGAAATCGCATACCGTGGAGAGAATAGATCCGTCATTGTTTTTTGTTTATAGTTATACACTGTCGGATAATATGGCAAGTTGTTGTCCCGTCTCATGTCTGTCTAGCTGGTTTGCATCCAATGTGTTGTGGGTTATCTATATTTGTCGTATTTGTAAAACCATAATAGTGTATAGATGGTTCAAATCAATCGAGAAAATATCTTATAAGAGCCTAAATTAATAGACAATTTTTAGCAATGTGAAACAATTAAACCACAATTTTTTTTTTATATAAAATACTCTACCAAATGGCCTTGTTTGAGGGAGATGTCTGACAATGGAGTAGCAGGGTAGGTGTTTTCAGCCTTTTGAATGTTTTTTTTTTTTGGAAGAAAAGCCTTTTGAATGTTGCTGTGCGTGTTTTATAGTAGAGGGTAGGGGTTGGACGAGCCATTGGTTGTTGGAATTGAGAACGGCAATGCAACTGCAAGGGTAGGTTTCACTGGGTGAATTGTTTATTTTGTAGGGTATACTTGCGTGCGTGGGGTGGGGGACCTTATCCCCTCAGGACCCGTACCTATGTCACCTTCTTCTTTCTTTACTTTCCCCATAGACCCTTGCGTCTCTCTTTACAGCCTGTAAAATGGCACTTTGCTCTTTTCACATTTCTGCTTTTGATGGATATTGCCATCAGTTAGTCAGTGACTCATGCAGTTAAAAGCGCGATTCTATCTATAAACAGAAAAGGAGTAAAATTGTAAAGTGTAGAATTAAAGAGTAAAAACGTAAGTTTTTGACGCATACTGTAAAATAACTAAAAATATGTTAAGTACGACATATACTATGAAAAATATGAGCGCCCAAAATTTAGACAAGTTAATAAATACTTGCAATTCATTTCTAAAGTAGAGCAACTTATAGCCTCTTAATAATAAGTTCATAAACATAAATCTTATCAAGAAGCCTCCTTCCCCTCCATGCTAATGAATTTGAGAAGAGCCTAGACGGTCAATTAGATTACTTTATTGAAGTTCAGAATGCATCAAAGTATCTAGTATGTATCTTTTAATCTTAAACGTATCATATTGTCTGTGATTTATTTTTAAAATCTACTTTTTATAATTAATTTCATGAAAAGAATACCCATTCAGTGAAGTAAAAGCGTAAAAACGTAAAGCGTTTTAGTGAACTAGAAGCGTAAAAGAGTAAGTTTTTAAGTTTTAAAGCGCAATTTAGTATGATTTTATACACTAAAGTTTTTACATAGAAACGAAAGCGTTTTGGTGACCTAGAAGCATAAAACCGTAAGTTTTTAAGTTTTAAATCACGATTTTGACTACATTGCGTGGGGTAATGTGAGTCCAAGAGATGGTTACATGATTATAGGGTGTATAATCACCTTTTAGCTCTTAAGAACTAAGAAGCGTAAATTGTGAGATTAAAGAGTTCTTTTTTATGTTTTAATCAATTTTTATCTTCTTTGTTTTAATTTGTATTTTTTTCACAAATGAAATAGATTGGTTGTAATCCACAAAATTATATTTAATTATCAATCTATTTTGAGAATTTCTTTTTGTACCATCCATACCACTCTTCACCCTTGTATCACCTTAGTTTTTAACTCGAATTTTGAAAAAAATTGTTCAGATGGAGCGAGTTCATTGTGATTTATTTGCATTGTGGTAGTTACAGTTCCGTAATTTTATTTAAGGCAAGCGGTTGCTACCTCTCTTAACTGGTACCTTACCCAAACCGGCCGTGACAGCTATTGCCAAAGATGTTGATGATTGGGCGATTTGGCAATGCTCAGATCATCACCTAGCTCACTATCTCCGTTGGCCCTCTTGCTGCTCTTACTCTTCGTCGTTTTTCCACTGCATCTGAGATGTGGGCTCATATTTGCACGTCTCATGCTCAAGTTGATGCCTCTCACCAGTACGAGTTGAGACGACTCTTAGTATCACCATCGAGAAGCTCTAGTCAGCTATGCATTATCTATTAATTGGTGGGGAGGCGCTTCACTGACAGTTATGATAGTTGTACCAGAATCTAGGGATTTCCCTATACCACACGAGAGGACCTCTCTTCGAGGCTAGCCTGGGAGGCTATTGGGATGAAGCTCACATGAAGAGATGTTCACAGCTTTGTGGAGAAGGATTACAAAGAACTAGCATGTCGAGTTTACTTCTAGTTTACAACCATTCGATTACCATTTCTCATGTTCTTGCATTACTTTGACCAAACTGGTTTTCACATGAGGCAAAGAGGCGATGCATGCAAGGTCTCATCCAATGACATGATGCTCTATCATGCACTTGTGCATGATTGGTGGCTTCACCCAACTTGGTGAGTAGTGGATTGTCTCACTCGATCCACCTCCATCTCTTCTCATCGAGTACTTCCAGAAGGAGGCTATATTCATACCATTTCCCAATACATCGATGCCCACAAAGGTAAGTTTGGATTTTCTCTCTGGAATACCATGGCGACACACGGACATATATACAGACAACCAACTTTCATCTTCGGAGTTGAGAGGCTGACTGGAGTTGGAGTAGAACTCGACGTGGATGATTGTCCTAGCCCTGTTCCTTGGTCGGGGCATGGAATCCAGTTGAGCACCTTCAGAGAATTTATGAGCGGCAGAGATATAAAATTGACCCATCTTCCTCAGCACCACCACCATAGTATAAGGACTTTGGAGCTGAGATATCATCCTTGAGAGAAGTAGTGCAGAGACAAGAGAACTTTCTTGCATACTAGACAATGAGCAATACTTGGATGCCTTTGAGCAGGATCATAGAGAGGAGTTAGAGGAGACTCGAGCATGGAGACAACAAACAGAGGCACACCCGTAGTAGAGCCATGATTGGATGAGTGAGTTTGGTCAAAAGTTTGATAACTTCTTCTCAAGGAAAGGACCATAACGTGGTGGACATCAATAAGAGATCTCTATTTATTTGTTGATCTTAGCTATGTTATTTTTCTTTTATTTAGGATAATGATCTGTATCATAACCACCAGCTTTGATCCATTTTATATCTTTTGTTTTAAAACTGATGTCAAGTCTTCCTATGCAATTGAGGACTTGCACTAGCTATTCTCCATAATTCATTCGAAATTAGTATGACAAATGATGTAACCCGTTCCAACGTTTTTCATTTGTCACGATTATTTAGTCCATTGAGGAAAATGTCCATTTTAAAGTGTGAGGTGAAATTGTGAGTTATGTGCTACTTCAATTTGCTTACATCACTATACATTTAGTCAAAAAATTTCAAAAATTGATCCAAGATTAGTAGTTATGATATATATGTGAATTAATTTTGTTCGATAATTTCAAAGATTTCCTTTCCATCTAATGACTGTAGAGTTATCCCTATAAGCATGTTCACCGTTCATCTTACTTTGAATCAATGAGTCTAGAAAATATCACTTGAGCTAAGGAGGCTAGTGTAGTGTATAAAGGATGTGATAGTCAATGAGATATAATGATTATTTGATATATGCATGAATGTTGCGTTATTCGATTCATTCATAGATTTCTGATTATGTAAAAGATTATCACTTTCATATGTATTTTTCCACAGGGTGGACTGTATCTTCTAAAAATGCGAAAAATCTACCTATCAAGACATGATCTTCAAACATTTATCATGTTATGTTGAGAAAATAAAGTGTGGGGTATGCCCAACGTGTGAGACATCTCTTCATTGCACAAAATTGATTTTGGAAGAGATACTAATGGTTGTTCAGTGACCCTGTTCGAAGCTAGTTCCTATCTAGTACAAGTAAAATTTTCATCATCAAATGGATAACCAACTTGAGGATGTGTTTTTAAGGGAACGAGTAAATCTTCCGATACCACTTAATTTCATTGACCCTCCACACGCGTTGAGGCATAGGAGTTAAAAGAAGTACCCTGATAAATGCAAAGATACATAAATTACTCTTGCTCAACTAATAAAGGTTTAATGTTTCAGTAAAGCTCTCTCTAAAAGAAAAGGAAAAATATAGTGTTGATAAAAGTAAGAAAATCGAAACAAAGTGTTGGTATGTTAGAAGGCAAAAGTGCTTAAAGGGTATGTCAAATGATGGTAGAAGCATTCAAAAGCTCAAATAGTTTTCGAAAAACTTCACCCTATGTGTTTTGAGACTCTAATTCATAGTTAGTGGTTTAAGCTTTAGTTGGATTGCATGATGTTCTTGCATATTGATGTGGTTAGTATTCTCTCATGTTATTGTTGGTATTGTAAGTTCACTTTTGATCCACTACCTAAGATCAAATTCGAGTGATGCTCCCTAGTTTTCATTGAGTTGTATGATTGTGAGTAGTGTTTGTTTGGGGACAAGCAAAGTTCAAGTGTGGCGTATTTTTTATATCACTCAAATTATAGTGTTTATCACTCTTATATTTGATACATTTTCCCAATTTACCAATACATCTTTAATAATTTTTTTACAATACGATAACTATTTAATCAATGAGCTACTATTAGACCTAGATTGTGTTTTTTTATTACCCTATGCTTGAGTGGAGAGCTTCGCATCCATAGGAGGGGGCACAGTCAAGTACATGTTTTCGTTATCGATGGTGTTACCCTCCTTTTCTTCTATGCATAGCTAGTTTGAATTGATTGTGTAGGAATTGGAACTCGTTATAACATGAATATTTCATTCAATGATTTTGTGTTATGCTTGTCTATGGTGCTTGAGTATTTGATATTTATGCTATGTCATGGATGCTTATATTTCAATGTTCATGATTCTATTGTATGCTAGTATATGTATAGTCTATAATATCATTGTTATGTTAGGGAACTATTTTCTTTTGATATCCCATTGTCTAATGCGTGTATAAGAGGATTGACACCCATCCATACAAGTATAGGATCAATGCTTGATAGTTTAGATCACCATTTCTTTAGACCTTATGTTAGCTCGAGAGACTCACACTTGACTAAGTTCTATCCTTAATTCTCTGTTCTTTATTAGTTAGTTGATGGCATGAAGTGAAAGCACGCATTAGCTAGCTATTGTTCCTCTCGCATGTGGCGAAAGCTCTGTTAGGAATGCTCTAGTAGAAGGGAAATGGTGATACAATAGATGAATTGTTGAAATGCATGATATGAATAAGAATTAAGATGCATGTTTATGTAGAGTGATCTTTCTACTCAATAATGGAACTTTACTCTTCTGCTTTACTCTACCTTGCCTATATGAACTCGAAAATCACCTAGAGGTCGTTTGAATTAGTGTTTTGTTTGAGGGATTTGTTCACAATCCCTCACAACGAGGGATTCTAATTAAAATCACTCGTTTGGGAAACATTTTTTTGATGAGAGATTTTAACCATCCCAGATTTCAGAAACCCACATTTGTGGGATTGTGAAATAGCTGATGACCATAAGCTATTTTGAAATTCCTCAATATTTTGCCAATAAATTCCAAATATGCCCAAGCTTTTTTTATGAAAGTCCAACTTCAACCCTCTTCTTTTAAACCTTTGTTACTTTATGTCATTCAATTTATCTTTATCGCATTCATGGAACCCGTCGTTTTGTTCTTCTCCCACCCATACGAAGCAGCTCGAAAACGAACCAACGGTTGTCGCTGTGTGCTGACCGGCAGTGACTCAACTTCGGAGAGTAGGGAATCTGCAGCAAAAACTCAGCTCCGGATAGCATTTGACAGTGAGCAGCAAAAACCCCTTCTTCGTTCTTTCTCCTTCGCTTTTCTGGTGGGATGAGCCTTCATCTCAATAAAAATCTTTTGTGTTCTGGGTTTTATAGCTTGCTTTGTGGTTGTTTGGCAAAGGAGAGCAAAGGTACCAACTCGTTTATAGGTTTTTGTTCAAACTTTGGGTGCTGGATTATTGGAATCGATCGGCCAATTCTCTTGCAGAGATTGCCACTGGAGAAATTGAGATCACGTAGAACCAGAGAAGAGAGAGATGAGTGTTGTGGTATTGATTGATTTGAAGCTGTAGATCCCAGCACCGTCCACCATCAATAGAATTTCTTTGTTGATTAAACATAGATGCCCACCATCGTCTTGCTCTGATGTGTTCATGGTGGCAATGGTAGTGGTCGTGTTTTGGTTTTATTTCAAGGACAACGGAAACTGACGAATGACAGAATGAAATTTTGTGCGGTGAGAGTGAGGGGAGGAATGGTGGAGAAGAGAGCTCGACACGATTAGGAACCCCCTCTATTTATCCTTTATCTTCCCTCGTGTACAGATAAGGAGATTTAATGTGTAAAAATTTGATTTTCCATTTTCATTTTAAAATTCCTTATTAGTTGCCAAACGAGTGATTTGGCAAAAATCCCACACAAATCTCTCGAATTAAAAACCTGGGTCTTAAAACGAGTAATTTGATCCCAAATCCCTCTCAAATCTCTCAAATTAAAAACCTACATCTAAATGACACCCTAAATATATCTATCTTTTATTGATTTGTGTGTGGAGATGTGAGTAGCTAGTTAGATGTGAGTAGTTATACGTTAGAAGACTTTGCGGAATACGAACCTAGAGATTTCTAGGATTTATAACTTGCTTGTATTTGATATGTATTGATATAACTACTACACGAAATGCACATCAATATCTCGGCCAAGGCATAAGAATTGGAGGATCAACTAGAACAAGTACAATTGGAAGTGCTGAAAAAATCTAACAGAAGAGTTAGTTGAAAAAGGAGTATTAGTTCAACAGTGTAAGGATATCCAATGGAACGAAGAGGCTTATTATAAGTACAAATATCGTACACAATGGATTCAAGAAGGTGAAATGAATACATCATTTTTCTTAAGACAATTAGAATTTAGACTCATAGGCAGCATATTACAAAACTTAAAGATGCAGAAGACTGTGAAGTAACTAATGTCAAGGACATGGTGGCAGTGGTTGTAGATTTTTACCAAAAACTCATTGGTGAAGTGACCCATAGAGATTCAGGATATGCCCGTTGATTTCTATTGAAGCTTACTGAAGAATAAACCTCTCGTTGAGGATTGTCTTTTTCTGGATGGAACTGTGACTAAGGAAGAGATACAAAACGTTAGCAAGAATCTGAGTAGAGATGTCCTGATGGATTCCCTTCAATAAGTAGCATTGGGATCTAATTGGAAAGACAGTGGAAGATGTGGCTCTTCTGTTTTTAGAACTTGAATAATGCCAAAGGTCATCAATGCTACAGTATTCACCTTTGTGGCTAAGGTACCCAATGTGGAGGATAGGAGAGGTTTTTGACCCATATCCTATTGAAATACGCTCTACAATGGGATCTAAAAAATCCGTGTTAACAGGTTAGCTTATGTTCTTCCTACACTCATCTCTTTATCTCAATAATCTATTATAAAAGGGCGTTTCATTATGATAACATTTGTTAGCTTCTAACTAAGTTAGAGATTATCATAAGAAGTTAATTAGCTCTCGTTGAACTATAAAGATTGATATTATGAAGGTGTTTGATTATGCTCATTGGTCCTTCCTTTTCTCTACTTTACAAGTTATGGGGTTCCCTAATAAATATCTAGACTGGTTGAGAGCTTGGATATGTACTCTTTGAATAGTGTTGAGCTTAATAGAGAGATGTGTGGATTTTTGGTAATGAAAAAGGAGTTAAGACAATGAGACCTCATGTCCCTCTATTTATTCACTGTGGTTGTGGAGGTATTTGATGCAATGATGAAGAAGGTAGTGATATAAAATCAAATTCCTTTCCATCCCATGTTTAATGCGTTGGACATTACTCATTAATGTTTTTCAAATGACTTGCTTGTGTTTTCTAATGGTTCTTTACGTGGAGTTGCTATAATGTTTAGGTTGCATGATTCTTTTATGCAATTTCAGGCTTAAAATGCAACCCTACTAATGTTTAGGTTGTTTTTCAATCAATCTCATATTACTCAAAGTTTGCAATAGGCTACCTCCATGTTAGGTACCTTGGTGTAACATTGATACTTGAAAGCTTACAAGGGCGGATTGGCATGTCTAGATAGACAAAATCACGCAAAGGATTGTAGTTGGAAGGTGAAAACATTGAGTTTTGCAGGCAAGTTGTAGCTAGTCTCTTCTGTGCATATGGGTGTGTTACAATATTGGATAAACCTTTTTTTGATGCCTCAATTTTTTATCAAAGAAGTAGATATGATCTGTAATACGTTCCTGTGGGATATCAATGAAATGAATATGAGAACCCGAGCTGTTGCATCCTGACAGTTTATTGCGAGGCCAAAAAAAGAAGGAATATTAGGTATTCAACAAGGCCTTTGTAGTTTGTCATCTCTGGGAAATCCTAGCAAAAGGCAGATCTCTATATAGTGGCGTAGCCGAAAATTTATTTAAGGTAGGTCAAACGTGAAAAATATATATATATAATGTAAGTTCCAGGATATGTTCATGTTCTAAGAATTTTCTAAAATACATTCATTATAAAAAATTCTAAAATACATTAATTATGCAAAATTTTCTAAAATACAATCATTACCACAACGAAAAATCATTCATGATTTCAGAACTCATCTTATTTTGAAGTGTTTCTTCACTTTGTTGATTGCACTAAGTGCTCTTTCAACACTTGCAATAACAACTTATACCAACAACCACCCCTAAGTTTCGAGCTTTTGTTTATATTAAACTAATTTTACATAAAATATGAATTAAAAGTTAAATGTAGATCACAAAAACATTACTTTTTCATAAAACTACCTACAATAATATGGATATTTTGTATTCAATCTACAATCATGCATAATAATTTACTTTGTAACTTTTAGTCTCAGGTGGTTCAAATGACCCACCTTGGCCTTAAGTGGCTCCGCCACTATCTCTATGGGTATCTTGGATGCTTTGCTATCGTCTTGAACTCTGCTATATATGGGATATTAAGTCAACGACAGTAGACTCAAGGATATGCAAGTGTATTTTAATATGGAGAGATGTTGCCTTCAGAAGTAGGGTTGTCCCTCAAACGAGATGGGATAGAAATGCAGTGGTACTTAGTTAAAAGAGTCAAGGAATATCTTCAACCGCACAATGCAGAAGTGAAGTGGTATTCTCTAGTCCGGAGTAATAATATTGTACCTCGCCAGCAAGTGGTTTGTGTTTTTTATGGCCTGGTGGAATGGAGAGTCGTTATTATTTGTTTGTGGGGTGTCCTTGTAATCAATACATGGTGCATGGTGCATTGAAGAATCACAGACCACCTGATTTGGGGGTTGGAGTGGTGTGCTAGCAAGTGGAGTTGTAGTTCTACTGCTGCATTGGTGAGCAGAGTAGTGTGGTGTGTTGCTATTAGCTTGGTATGGAGGGAACATTGTTCCAAAATGTATGGTGATGCAACTGCCAATAGTCAAATTCTGTTGGTGTTTGAATTGAAGAGAACCGTAAGTCAAGCCAAAATGATCATGAATATCTAATAGCTTGGATGCTTTGTGTTTGGGGAGGTAAATAGCTTATACGTACACTTGCAGTAGATAGAGTTTTCTTCTTTTCTTGTTGTTGTTTGTAGCAGCTTTTGATGGTCTGTACAAAAAATGTTTGTTCTTGAGAAGCACCAAAGTGCTTTGCTTAGGATGCCCAAGTTTAATGTAACTTTGATCTAACCATAAATAAGACCACCGTGAATGGTTAATTGAAATTATAATATTTCCACATAAAATAATTGATTCTTAAATGATATCATGTGAAAAATAGTTTATGTGCATTAATACAAGTATCCTTGTTTGAATGTCTGACACAATTGTGGAATAATATAAATATTGCATGTAAATAAATGCTAGGATGGACAATGATTCTTTTCGTATTTTGATACAATTGAATGGAACTAAATGTATTTCGAGATGGCTTCGCTTTTATAAATTAACTTAAAAGTAAAGAAAAAGTGGACCAACAATAAATTGGAATGAGATCAAATCAAACCAAACTTGTTTTTTATTTGATTCTAAACCTGCTTTTTTATTCGTAACCGTATTTTTATAATAATGACGGACACATGATCGAGAAAGATGGATTAGTTTGATACCCACTAATACCCAACAAGTTCACACTAATTTTTCTTCTAGTATATATGTGGAAATTCATAGTGTATTTATTTTTATGTGAAGAATGTTTCAATACAAAGGTTAATTTTGATGAAAGTGAAGGCTATCATCATCTAATTTTTCCAGTGTGTTTGGTTTTGTCATTGTTGTTTGAATGTTCTGGCTTAACTTAAAGATTAGTGTGCTAACGAGTTCCTACACTAAAGAACAATGTTTTCTTGAAGCCAAGGAACCGAGTAGAAGCATAGCTCATTAAACCTAATTGCGTAAGTAAGGACATAAACGGGGAAAAGAAAAATACTCACCCAACACAAAAACAACATTAGCCTTCTTCTCATCTAAACTTCCATGGGTGCTCTACAAACAGACACGTGAGATTAACATAGCAAATAACCAGGTAAGCAGTCCATCAACTTGCTTTAAACAACCAATCAATTGAGCCTCAAATCCTTATCTAACAAGGATAACCTTTTGGGAACTTTTCAAAAAATACCACCATTAAACAATTAAATTCCAAAAATACCACCATTTCACGAAAACAGCCGCATGGAAAGGAGGTTTGTTGATGAACTGCGTGGTAAATAGAGTTTCTATTTTCAGCACAAACCGCACCCTCTAAGGGCGGTTCTACGGATGACCTAGATGAAGACCGATTCTTAACACGACGGTCTTGGTCAGCAATAGAAACCACTCCAATACCAGGCGGTTTGAGTTGACGACACACAAACCGTTTGGGGGGACGACGATTCGTATGTAGTCCCCATCTCCCCGACAGCCGATATGTCGACATGCCGGCAGGAATGACAATGGGGCAGGTCCGGGGCGGGTATCTCGATACCCATACCCGCTCCGTGGCAGATCGGGTAATTTATCATGGGTTGTGGGTCGGGGCAAGTCGACCCAATGGGTACGTAATTTATATGGAAAGTATTAGAAATATTCGTTATTTTCATTGTAAGACCAAGAAACAAATCATAATATGATTAAATGTAGTTAAATTATTGAAAAATTTGTGGTTTCCCGAATTTACAACTATATTATAGCTAAAATATAATGTAATAAAAGAATAATCTTAAGTAATTTGACTAAGATTACATGTAATTTAGGCAAGAACGGGCCGAGAACGGGGCGAGTCAGGGCAGGTCGGGTCAAAGAGAATACCCATGCCCGCTCTGCCCCGCCCCAAAACAGGTCAAATAGGTCGGGTAAAACGGGTCAAGTCGAGATTGTCATCCCTACATGCAGGGGGTGTAGACGGGGGGTTGCATGTCAAGTGAACCCCCCCCCCCCCACACACACAGCAGTTTTCAGTGGAACGCAGTATGGGGGAGCGGTTTTCACTTTACATTTTTACATTTTGCCTATAAAAGACAGCCCCGAAAACCTCAGCTCTTCACCCCTCTCCTTATTCTTCAAATTTCTGTTTAGCACCCTACTTTTTTGAGTTTTTGCGATTAACGTTACTTCATAAGTTTGTTCTGTATTAAATTTTAGGGTAATGTCTATTTTGTATCCAAACCTATTTCAAATTCTTTTGTATTACCCAAACCTATTAAAATGATTTTAAATAACCAAATCTTTCGTATTGTATCAAAATGTTAGCCAATTTTATGTTATCCTTAATAATTTTCTAACTCTTTTCCTAGTTGAAATACTAAAATTTTGGAATGTTGACCTTCATGTGTCTCTTCCAAGTCAGTATCATGTTGCCAAGTCAAAATTACTAACAAAATTGCTAACTAAAAGTTAACATTTGTCTAATTCATTGTTTTACAATAGGTTTGGCTAATAAAAAAATCCGAAAAGGTTTGGATACAAAATAGACATTACCCTACTTTTTATTGTGATTTGTGATTTTTATGGTATTAATTTAGTTATGGTTTTATTGCAGATGGCATTCCAAAAGTTCGCGCTTGGTTTGTGGTGGAATGATTACACGGAAGAGACCAGAAATGAGGTACGTTACGTCGGTGGTAATTTTCAGAAAGGGAAGGTCGCTACGAGACCGAACCTTAAATAGCTCTGTCAAATGTGTACTACGATTACTTGCATGATGGCACGAGGAGAGTTGATCGTATGGTGTATCGATATCCAAACAGGGGTCGTTCTGGCATGAAGAATTGCTCATAACCACTCAGGAGGAAGTTGATGCCATGCTCGGATTTGTGATCGCCAATAACATTTACAAAGCATAGATGTTTGTTTACACCTACAAAGTTGAAGGCGGTGGAGGTCATTCTGAAGATGGCCAAACTTCTGGTATCTACGGTGGGGGTGGAGTATATGAAGATCATCCCTACCAAGGTTACCAGGATCATCATTCCTACCATAAGTACCAAAAAGGAGGTGAAGCTCATCATCATCAATCCTTCCCATCATATGAAGAAGAAGACCAATGGTACCATGACAACAAACAAGAAGGATACTAGTACCAACCTGTGTACAACTTTTATGTAGGCAATGCAGTCAAAATCGGGATTTTGATCATAAAATCGTAGGATTTTAATTAGCGATTTCGATCCTGATTTTACTATAAAATCAGTGAACCTTAAAATCGTACAAAATCTGGATTAGAATCGTAAAATCGTACCAAAATCTGGATTTTGATCCTATGTGAACAAAATAGGCAGTTTGAGCCAATTCAAAAGAAGCAAAACTTTTTTGGTGGAAAGGACAATGACGGGGATCTTCTCAGATATTTTTCCTATTAAAAGAACATTTGAGAAGAAAAAAACCTAATTAGGGTTCGGTCAACCCCTTTCCCTTCCCCTTGTTTAACTCATCGGTAAAATAGTTGTCATAATATTGTAAGTACGAAAGAATTAACATTATAATTAACATTTATTCTTAGTTTTAAATCATGGTTAGTAGACGATGTCGGAATACTACTTTGAGTTAAACTACATATACACAACATGAAAAACAACAGCCAAACCCCATGAGCTATATCCCTTTCTCATAAATTATTTTGAGTTACGCATTAAATAACAATTAAAATGATGATTTTGGAACATTAATCTTGAAAATTATCACTTTAAATTTTATATGTCTTTGTGTTATTAATGATTTAACTTATTAATATTATTATATAATAATTTCTATGTGGTACTTAAAATCCTACGATTTTACGATTCGATTTTAAGATTCCGATTTTATCTCAGTTTTTTATTTTAGGTAAAATCTCGATTTTGACTGCTTTGCATGCAGGTAGAAATAGTTATCACAACTACCATTACGGAGCTGATGAAGGTGCCTTTCAAGATCTAGATGAAATGGAAGATGCGCTGCCAGGTCCAATTAGTGACCCTGAAGATGAACAAGAGGAAGGCAGCGTCAATGCAGACAACTTCGACCCTCTTGAAGGTGCTCAAGATTTAGGCTCAGATTCAGACTCAGCTGATGAGGAGGTGCCCCGTGAACGTGTGCCTATCACGTACTACATGGACATTCCAGATGAAAACTGGTATGTTGATGCCGACATGAAGCTACCAGATGTGCTAATATGGGGTCCAACCACTTATTGATCGTTCACACAACCACATCGCCATCGATGGGCAAATTAGTTAGGATGGCAATGTTCTTTAGTGTGATGGTGCACTCTCCTTCACAAAAGTTGAAGTTGTGTGTCTCTTTTCTCCATCTCTCCACCAATGTTGTGATGAGTTGACGGTCGATCTTTATGTTGATAAAGTGCCTCATTGAATGCAACATTGCCCTTTTGAGATAGGGCAAGATAGCGGGGTTATATGGGAGCACATTGCTCGCACCCCTATATCTGACAATATGGATGCATCCCAGCAAAGAAAATTACAACCATAAGTTTATGATTTATAAATACATAAATCTATTATAACAAACAATTGAAATTAACAAAATAAATACCATTTTCAATATATATACATAATTTCGTAAAACAAATATATTCAATTAAGTAAAATGTTTAGCATTTGAAAGATATACACATAAATCAATTAAACCAAATAATAGAAATTAACAAAATTAATTTTGTACACATGCACATAAATCCATTATATTATTTTGTAAATCGTATTGGTTGTTTTCAATAATTTAATCCAATACAAGTACACTCGTTAGACTCTTAGGAGAGGTATACATCTATTTAGAAACACAGCCTTTTTGACAGAACAAGGGGGATCCGAGGTTCGCTTAAAAATCCGATTTTCCCAGGAAATGGGAGGATCTTGATGATCTCTTAAGAACTCATTTCCTTAGGCATGCATCTCTTTATAAAGAGTCTAAGTAAGTGACAAATTGTATTAGCCCAAATCATTGACAGTAATCAATAAGATTAACAATTAACAAATTTATTGTATGTAGAATTATATGTACCTCGTGATCGTTCCAAACATCCCTTGAAGGATGGTTAGGTTGGTCGTATAGCACGCTTGCATCAATCGGTCCTTGATCAAGATAATATCTTTGATTGTATATATCCACGTCCTCCCCAACCTACGATAGCATAACAACAACATAAATTAATTAGTATATAGATTAAATAAAAAGAATTATAACAACACAAAAAAATTGGTAAAATGAGTACATACCGTTTGATACTCATCATAATAAATACCCTCTTCTTGGAACCAAGTATCCATTTTTCAGGAATGCAGACAGAGTTTCGAAGCGTTTTCAAGAAAAACCCTAAGAAATGTTTTCTTATGGCAGTTCGGATTTCGCCACAACCAACAAACCATTATTTCTTAGGTTTTGGGTGGAGAGGGGGATGGATAGAGAGATAATCTTACAGAGAGAAGAATGAGTTTTGTCGTTTTAGTTGAAGAAATAAAGGAGGGGGTTTATATAGCATTCGAACCGCTTGGTGGATGGCGGTTTGGTAAGTTTACACCAAACGAAACCCCCCTTCCCCCCCCCCCCCCCACCAACGGTTTTTGCAATTGAAACAGAAACCGCGCTTCGGGGGAGCAATTCTGGCTTCCTCGACATGGACCGCTGGTCTAGCGCACGGTCCGCCTTCGGATCGCATCTTTATCCGACGTCCATAGACCGCCACATGGACAAGCGGTTTGCTGGCCGCCAAATCGTCCCCCCCCCCCCCCACCCCCATGCGGTTCTCCTTAAAACCGTGCCTTCTCCATGCGGTTTCTATAAAATGATAGTATTTTTGACAATTTTAAAAAAAAAGTGATATTTTTGGAATTTTATAGTTTAGTGGTGGTATTTCACTATTTCTAGAAAAATTCCCAAGTTTTGCCTCTAGCTGATGAGCGAGCTAAAACAATGGAACGAATTATACCGCCATGTTTTCTAATTATTCAGTTTGTTTGATTTATAAATTGAGCGAGCTGTTTCTCTATTCTTCCTTCAACTATTGGTTTGTTCAGAGGTAAGAGTGCTAATGTTATACTTAGATGATACGATCAAGAGAAAACATCCAGTTCCATCATCTGGTTCTTATGGAAGGAGAGGTGCAAGCATCTTTTCATTAACAAGAGAACAGAGGAACAAGACACCCTTCCCAGAGCTCTCATATGGCTATATGATTATCTTGATACTCCAAAACCATATGAGGAACCACTTGTCTAGATCCGCCATGAGCCGAGTTGGATCGCAGTCTTCAAGATCAACACAGATGTTGGCCTTCTGAAACCAGATAGGATAGGTTTGGCCTGTGTTTTTTGAGAGTGTTGCCATGGAATGTTCAGTGTCAGTGGAGCTTTAGCAAGGAAGGAGAAAGGAATTTGTAGAGTGATTGAAGCAGAGGCAAATGGTGATGGGAATCCGCGGAGAAAGCCAACCGGCAGTCAACGTTGACTCAAATTGCTGCAATGTTATGATCACCAAAATGGACAAGGAAAGTGAAGATAGAATTGAGCTGTACATCTGGTGCAGAGAAACAAAATACCTGGCTGATGTTAATGCTCAAATTTCATGCTCAAAGGTTCAGGTGGAGTAACGTTTCTTAACTGATTGATTGATAAGCTTCACATACTAGCATGCCATTCATTCTTCAGCTGATAACAGGGCATTACAGGTACTTTTTTGAAAAGAAATACAGCAAAGGGGAAGAGGAGGAGGAGAAGAAGATAACATAACTATATATCCAAATCCCCCATTTTTATTCATTACAATAAAACCAGCCACAGTTCTAACTAGCGAAAACAATATGGAGAAAGTGCCACCACCTCACGTTCGTTCTTTCTTTCTCTCTTCTTTTCTCTTCAATGGTTAAATGGCATCTTTACTCGATACATAAAACTATATAACCTGCTGTAATAACACAAGTCACAATATGCAACTCGAACAAAAAACAAAAAAATGTAGCTTCCTCGTCCAGTATAGTAGTACAAATACCCCCTGCAACGTAGAAACACCACATTTCATTACAGCCCATTAACAATACACATTCATATGAATTAATTCCAGTCTATGAAACATAGATATGGCTCAAGTACTGATGAACCCTTGTGCTGTCACGAGTCGCTTTACAAAATGCGTGCTGGAGACAAGGTACTTACCTCAGAAGTAGTAGGGTTTGATAAATTCTGCTGCTTGACGAGAGACTCTTAGACAGTTTTAGGCTGCAGAAACAAGATTCCAGAATCAGGACAGAAGTGTGTACAGAAAATTTGTCAAAAGAACTCCAATCTATTTTTGTCTAGACATTACCCAACTATATATTTTGCATTAAAGACTCGCAAACAGGTACACCGTGCCCAAATCTCAACTCAAATTTGACCTAAATGCCTACCCAGCTAAGTTAAGGTTGTGCTGCTGCTGCACGGAGCATCCCAGGCCAAACAATGAAATACTTAAGGAAAGTCTTATTGGTCCAGAGCACTATACCCATTCAGCCCCCAATTTCTACTTCGAAGTACTTCAACTTAGTCATGTAGCAATGTCGAGCCAAAGTCAAACTAATTTGCAACAGAAAAAATCATCAACTGAGAAATGAGGCTAACTGGTACAATAATTATAGACTTTTCAAGGCCACTCAATAATTCATTGTTAAGCTTCTGTTGGAATTGAGCATCCAATTCCTAATAGGCCAGACCTTTAAAGATATTGAAACCATTAGAAAGTCATCCAAGACGAAGAATACTAGTAAAATAACACATAAAGCTCAAAGCTTGATCTATATTTCTTATGCCTGGGTTTAGGTAACAAATATGTTTAGTGAATTATAAGATAGCACATCTGTGGTGCTTTACCTTATCATCTTTTGGGGTAAAAATGGTTTTAACTGCATCAAAAACCTCTTGGACCGGTTTGGCAGCATCAATCTGAAAGCCAAACACGAAAGATCGATGGTTTAACTTGAAAAGAAAAAAGGTCCAATAAATTTAATGTATAAGCATTAAGCCAATACATCAGGAAGTGATTTACCTTCTTAACTTTGCCCTTGGCAGCATAGTACTCAACCACCGGAAGACTAGAATCCAGAAAGACCTTGAACCGCTTCCTTATGGTTTCAATATTATCATCTTCTCTTCCCTTCATTGTTAAAAAATGGAAGGAAATCAGGAGTAGTTGAAAAGGAGAGCAAAGGGCTAATAACGTATTAGTCTATTCGCCTGTTCAGGAGAAAAGGATGTCACATTAACTCAACCTGGTTCCTGCTCAAAAGTCGCCTTTCCATCTCTTCTTCTGGACAATCAAAAAAGAGGACAAATTCTGGCTCGATTTTTGTCTGCATAATAATAACATTCTGCTGGTCAATATGATATCAATCTACTTGGATCAGAGAGAAACGAGTTTCTGCAAGAGTCTTACAACAGCTTCAAATGCAGCCCGGTTTTCCTCATTCCTAGGGAAACCATCAATTAGGAATTTGTCGTTGTCAATACCCAGTATTGCTTTCTCGAGGAGCTTTATTGTAACCTCTGAGGGCACAATCTTTCCCTCTTTAATCATTATCTGAATCATGGTTCTGCAAATCAAAAGTGGCAATCTTAATATTACTGCACCAATTCTAGCATCACGAGTAACAAGAAATAGAGCTCTATTCGTAATGGCAGAAGAAGAATCCCAACAAGACAGGGAAACGGCTCTTTTTTCCAGTGTTAAAAGTGATCCTCTTAGACAGTTCCAATAGAAAACTCTGAGTAGGCCTCCCAAATAATACATGTACTAGTTATGAGATTATGATGGCAAGAGATAATTAAGACAAAAGGACAAGCCAAATATATGAACTTGGGCAAGCTTCCACAGATTACATAGATAAACATATTTAAAATAGATTCATCGGACAAAAGAAAAGCTGAATATCTAGCAGAGAGTCCCTAGAACACGGCCCCTAAGGAAAGGCATCTGAACAGGCTATAGCCACTACGAATCCAGTCACCATTACAAAACATTACACGGATAACAACTCGTGGGTACATAATGGGCAAACAACATGGGAAAACACAGAAATTAGATATTGAGCTTCTTAAATAGCGAAATTAGTGCACGACATACCCATTCTCTGACCCAGACTTGATTTCTGCCCGAAGAAGATCGCCTGCACTAAGATGTGTATAACCAAAGTGCTCAACAATATTTGCACATTGTGTACCATTTCCGCTGCCCGGGCCACCTAATAAGCCAGATGGAAATTCCATGAGATAGATATCCAAGGGTTATAAGAATGCAGATTGAGGAGGCAAACAAAGAATGACCAGGTATTTCTTATTCAATCCAAAGACAAAGTCTGCATCAAGAACATTACTGGCCAGCTATTTCTTATTCAATGCAACTGTGCAGATGAGCAGGGAAGACAATAACTAGAGCATAGATGAAGGTAGGCCCGTACAAGACAGCATCGAATTCATCATAAGAGGAACCAGGTCTTGGCATAAAATTGTCCACTTTCAGAAGCCGAAGAACTGAGTAGAACCATAGCTCATTAAACCTAACTCCTAAGGAAATAAACAGGGATAAGAAAAATACTCACCCAATACAAAAACAACGGTAGGCTTCTTCTCGGCTAAACTTCCATGGGTGCTCTACAATCAGACACATGAGATCAATGAGATTAACATAGCACTTGCCAGCATCCACAGGCATTAGAAGACCATGAATGGAGAAAATGGAGAAGGAAAAATATGTTTTGGCATTGCATTTGAGTTGTGAATCGCTTGCTGGTAAGAGAGCTCCTTTTCCAGAAGCTTAAACTCTGAGACTACCATGATCATTCTTTGCCATAGAACAGAAGATTGACGCCCAATGCAATAAGGTAAGAAGCGACCCACACGACTAAACCAAAGTGGGGGAAACCAAAATTAGGGGAAACAACAAGAAAAGAAGAGCCTCACCATGGTCGCAGCTTCAGCAGCAGATCCCATTCGCTGTCAACTAAAGCTGCGGTGATGAGTAATGAGCTAGCTGCAAGTCAATGAATCAGTGAGAAGCACTGCAATTCGCATCAAATATCCAATGCAAACAGATCACATCAGTGAAGTTGAAATCAGACTGTAAGAAATGCAAGCGAGATCACGGTTCTGCCAAAACAGCCCTGATCCCACAATGAGAGGCCAGGGGAGGAAAAAGGGAGAGAATTTATCCATGGATCTCGACAGCTGATTGAAAGAAAAGAAGAAAAAAAGATAGAATGGATTCGCTAAAGCCGAGCAGCAAGTGTCATCGCGGGATCTGAAATCTATATTCAGAGAACCAATTTCACTGTTTAGCCATTTCAGGGGATGTGGGAGAAGGATCAGGGGCAACAGCACATGACAATGGTAACAGTAACAAACCCAAATACAGATCTTGAAATTGAAAGAAGAAGAGTGATGGGTTGGGTTGGATTGCCTTACGGGGAGAATCTGATCCAGTCCGCGGCGGGAATTGAGAAAAGATGTCTAAGCCGTTTCTTCCTTGCTCTGCAGACCTTTGATTTCGTGGGGTGTGTATATATATAGAAGCAGAGAGAAGATGACGGGGGAAGAAGAAAGCAACCAAGAGAATGTGGGAGGACAGCGAGGGAATCGTATGCGCTAAGTTGGGGCCTTCTTTTTTGAATCTGGGAGGAATTGAGAATTGAGAGTTTGAAAAAGGAGAGGTGGGGATGATTGTTTGGGGAAGAAGATGCAGAAGAGGGAAGGAGAGGTCTGCTTCGGGCCAGGCCCAATATATCTTAAGGCCAGAGGTCGTTATGAAAGCCCAACTAAATTCTGGCGGTGGCGGGAACGAAACAAACAATGGCCGCCGATGGAATCCCAGGAAATGGGATCTCCTCGCCTTTTCCCTCCCTTCGATTCTACGAGTTGCAGTTCAGAAATGTCAAACCCTGTAGTCCGATGCAGGGAACTAGATTACGAAGAAGAAGCGAAAGTCCATCGCTATCTGTTGACTTCTTAAAATTATTTTGGGTTAATTAAATGTCGCATTAATTAGTCTCGTTATTTAATTCGATACCGCGTAGTAAAAAATGGTATCGTTTGGAGTCGAGCAACGTTGCGGATAGTTTAAACGAAATCACAAGGAAGCTTGACGGCACCGCGGTACTTGAAACGACATTGTTTGCTAAAAAACAATGTGCGAGTTATGGGTCGCAGGACTTGTGTTGTTGTTGGACAAGGAGTGCTCTTTTTTTCTTCTCCTTGTCAGAGGAGGAGAGAAACAACACCGTTTGAAGTCAAGCAATGTCGTGAAGAGATAAAACGGTGTCGCGAATCTCAAAGCTCAACGGCATCGTGAGATTGGGAAACTGTGTTGTTTGGCTAAAAATGACACCGTTGCGATACAAGCAACGTCGCGGAGGGTTAAACGGCACCGCGAGTAAGCCCAACAACGCCGCGGTACTCGAAACGATGTTGTTTAGTGGAAAAGCGGCAGCAAGATTGGTGTTGGGGTTGGAAAAAGAGTGTTCTTTATCCCGTACCGGGGGAGGAGAAGATCCATTCGTGAGAGAGTAAAAACGGTATTGTTTAGTAAACCAAAGAACGCCGAGAAGTCAAAGCCCAACGGCACCGCAAGACTAGAAAATGACGTGGTGTGGAGGTATGTGATTTGGCTCGGTGTCGATTTGCTTTAGCCAAGATTACACATAGCTGAGCGGTTTCGTGGGCACGTGAGTATCACGCAACAAGGTGGAAGTTTACCTGCACGGTTGAAAATTGGATAACGTGGGAGACAAAGACGCGAAGATGGTTACTGCGACTACGGAGAGAAGATTGAGTATAAACATCGGGATGAGAGAGAAGCTCGGGACGGTAAAATCAAATCTTAAATTGCACCATCGCAGACTTATCCTTTTTCCCTCTAGTTCGTAGAACCGCTCTGTCAAAGATCACCTTTGCAGAGTCATAGATCGCAGACGTATTCGTAGTTGCGGAGCTCTCTAGAGGAACCTCCATAGGAGTAGAGGTAACTTAATTTAGAAATCCTCCTTATTTACTCGTTGCTCGTCGAATACCCTCGTTCGAACATTGTTTGGAGAGGTGTGAACCGAGTAACGATCGTTCTTGGTTAGAAGTCAGAGGTGTATCAATCGAATCAACATCGCCCGAAGACCGGCGGTGGATATTTGATAGTCCTTCTTTGATTTGTGTTCTTGTTTTCCTTGAGAACATAGCGCACTAAACACAAGCGTGTTTCGCCATCGAAACACTATCTGATCGTCTGCTGAGTGCTCAGCTCGTTTCTCAGGGAAGCTTACCTGAAGCTCCCTAAGAATATCCAATCCATGATCCTCGACGATACTCTCACCGTGTTTCGTCTCCTTCGCCCACGTAAGTTGCTTCTCCTTTTTCGGTGAATTGAGTTGATATAATTGAACCTGAATCGTGCAACCCCTTTAATAATTCAGCTTCAATTGCATGGATTATCGGGGGGTTTGTGAATTATGAACAAGAGAATTAGAGCTTTCCTTGGTGGCAAATGGAGTGTTTGATAGTCTAGAGGTATTGTTTACGTGGGAAGTAGCATGAGATTGCGAAGCTGGGAGATGGTGGTTGAATTTCTTGGGGGTTTGATGTTTGAGCTGGTTGAATGTGATGTTAAAATGCTTCCATATATAGGTTTTGATCATATTTCCTTTTCAAGTTTTCCAACATGAAATGAGGTGGTTATTTGAATATCCAAGATGGATATGCATATTACTGTTTCGCCAACCCATCTTCTCTGCCAGAGTGCTGAGGCCGCACTCCCCAAGCAGAAGGAAGAACTTGGCAGTCTCGGAATTCAGACATGGCAAGGTTGCTCAGAAGAGGCGGTGGAAAGTTTATCATAGGGAAGAAAGTATGTTTATGTTTTTGTTCACCAGGAGTTCAGTGATTTTTTTGCCTCGCCAGTTCGATTGAAACCTTTACCTCTCCTTGCTTTCCAACTAATGCAGAACTGCCACAATACTTATTAGCCCACGTCTTCAGCTTCCTCTACATAGTCTTTCGCTTTAGTGGGGAAAGTGTGCTGGTAATGGTTCGTTCTCTCAGTGTTTTCTTAGATTGTTTGAGGTAAACCTATGGCAGTTCTAACGGTCTTATGGTTGATTTGTGAAGGTCGTGGAACATTGCAGCTAACAACAACCTCCTCTGGCAAGCTCACTATGCTGAAGTATTTGGTAGTAGCAGAAACTATATAGGGCCGAAAATAAAGAAGAGTATATGCCCTATTCAGGAAAATGTGGCTAGTGGAGGAACCGGTGTTGATTGGAAAGTGGCCTTCCAAAGAGCGTACAGTGGTAATGGTTTGTCAGTGCATGTTATGTATCCGAGTTTCCATCCTATTTAATAACTTCTGCAGATTTCCTATCTTTTATTTCTTTTTCTTAATCAGGCAATTGCTCCAAGCGACCAGCATCTAAAAGGGGATACTGCAACCATTACAAAGCAGCAGTTTGGCTTGATGGTATGAAAAATTTCGTCACTGTAATGAAGCCCAATGCGAATCCTAACAATCACAAATCACACACATTACATCTGATCAGGTTACAATTTCCCCAGTCCACTGTATCTTCACTGCACTGAAGAAGACACGAGAAGCTGTCCGCCATTAACTTGGATTTGCTCTCTCTTTCATGGAGTTTTCCTCTTTTAGCTAAGCTGTCCGAACCTTTCCCCTTTCAGGCTGTTGCCTATTTATTGCATGGTTTTTTTGTCTCTGTTATCCTCTTCGGAATGTGATAGTGACTCAGATGACAAATGCATTGTGAGCGACACGGAGGCAGAGGCCGAGTCGGCCTAAAGAGGGATATTCGGGTCATTATTTATTGTTGGGGGGAGAACTATTTAAACAGCAGAATGTTTGCTATTTTGGATTAAAGAATAATCATATCAGAATTCCCAAATCCCTAATTCCTCTTCAATCTCTCAATTCTCATCCTAATTCCCAATTCTCAACCCTAATCTTTCGATTCTCATCCCCAATTCTTGTTCGTAACATCCGTGTTCCTCGCAATGGTATTAGAGTTGTGTTCGACATGAGTTCTTCAAGGCTCTCTGACAGCGACCAGATGACGCGGACTGATACCCGCCTGTTGAGCTTACTCCCACGGCTTGAGCGAGTGGCAGAGGACATACGGATGGCGATTGGCGAGGTGAAGGCAATGGCAGAGGTCGGGTTCCTCTGGTCTCAACAACAGCAGTGCGGGAGCAGGCGAAGGCGACGAAAAGGAGGAGGCGGGCAGCGCAGGCCAGGAAACCATCTCCGTCATCGTTGCAGGCGAGTCCGCCGGGTCGGTGACCATGCGATTCAAGGCGCAGGTCGCGGAGGAGTGGGGAGTGGCTCTCGTGGATAGCGGGGCTTCCCTGAACTTTTTGGGAGAGGAGTTTGTGAAGCGGTTGAACCTCTCGCGATCACCCATCGATCCCTTTGACGTGAAGGTCGCCAATGGCGCACCACTGCGATGTGCAGGGAAGCTGGAAGGGGTTCGCGTGAGGATTCAAGGGTTGCATGTTCCTCTCGATCTGTACGTACTGCCGTTGCACGGTTTTGACATGATCCTGGGAATGTCGTGGCTCAAGAGCTTGGGACCGATGACTAGCGACTGGGTGAAGATGATCATGAAGATTAAGTGGAGAGACAAGGACTAGGAGCTGCAAGGCATGATTCTGGTGGATGGGCCGATTGGATGGGGTGATCCACAGCTCGAGGAAGACCTAGAGCTGGCCGTGCTCTGCTGGCCAGTGGAGCTCGACGGCAGGAAGCCCCTAACACCGAACCTACTGGTATTGTTGGACCGGTATGCGGGTCTATCTGCACACCCGAACCAGCTTCCGCCGAAATGCCAGGTTGACCATCGGATTCGGCTCAAGGAGGACACTGAAGCGGTTAACGTATGACCGTATAGGTATGTTGATGCCCAGAAGGCAGAGATCGAATGTCAGGTGGCAGAGATGATGACTACCGGGTTGATTCAGGCCAGCTCTAGTTCGTTCTCATCGCTGATATTGTTGGTGAAGAAGAAGGACAACACATGGAGATTCTGCACTGACTATCGTGCCCTGAATGCAGTAACAGTACGTGATCTATTCCCGATTGTAGATGATATGCTAGATGAGTTACGGGACGCGCAGTACTTTACGAAGCTCAATTCGCGAGCAATTAGATACGCATGCATGAGGAGGACATTCTGAAGACCGCTTTCCGGACACATAGTGGCCATTACAAGTACCTCGTGATGCCCTTTGGACTCTGCAATGCGCCCTCGACATTTCAGGCGGCCATGTACAACATCTTTTGGCCTCTATTACGCAGGTCAGTATTGGTGTTCTTCGATGACATACTGGTTTTCAGTAAATCGTGGGAGGAGCACCTACAACAGTTACAGGAGGTGTTTGAGATATTGCAGGCGAACCAGTTCTATGTGAAGGCATCCAAATGTTCCTTTCGCTTTCAGGAAGTGGACTATCTGGGACTTGTGATTTCGGATGACCTAGTGCGAGTAGATCCGCTGAAGATCCAGTCCAAAATGGACTGGCAAGTGCTGAAGACTGCGACGGTGTTAAGGGGCTTCCTCGGTCTGATGGGGTATTATCAGCGGTTTGTTCAGGGTTACAGTTCAGTAGCAGGAATGCTGAACACATTGTTGAAGAAAGGAGGCTTCAGTTGGACCCCGGAGGCCGAGAGAGCTTTCGGCGAGATCAAGGCTGCCCTATCGACGACCCCAGTATTGGCATTACCGGATTTCTCCCAGCCATTTGACATCGAGACAGACACGTCAGGCCGGGGCATCGGTGTCGTACTGTCGCAGGAGAAGCATCTCATTGCCTTCATGAGCCGCACTCTTCCTCCGTCCAAAGAGGCTTGGTCGACGTACCAGAAGGAGATGCATGCTATCACAGAAGCAGTATAGATGTGGTGACCCTATTTGATTGGCCAGAAGATTCACATCTACACCGATCACCAGAGCTTCAAACATTTGATGGATCAGCGGGTGTCTACTCTAGACCAGCACAAGTGGGTGGTGAAGTTGATGGAGTACAACTAAGAACTCCACTATCGACTGGGGCCGATGAACAAGGAGGCAGTGACTGGACCAGTGGTGCAGTTCTGGAGATTCGCAAGGCGGTGGAGACAATCCCATACCTACGAGAGCGGCACGACGTGGCTCTTAACGAGACACCATGAGGGTACACGTTCTGACACAGGCTGGTCTACTTTGAGGGACGTGTGGTCCTTCCGGCTACCACTTCTCTGACGTCGACCGTGATGAGGGAATTCCATGATTCCCCTGTTGGAGGCCATTCTGAGCATGAGAGGACCTTGAGGAAAATATGCAGTCAGTTCTACTGGCCGCAAATGACCCGCGAGGTCAAAGATTATGTGGCCTCCTATGATACTTGTCAGCGGGTCAAGGCGTCGTTGCTACGAGCGGTCAAGTTGTTGCAGCCACTACCAGTACCAGAGCGAGTGTTGGAGGATTTAGCATGGATTTTAGAGTGGGACTACCACCGTCCGGAGGGAAAACAGTTTTGCTAGTGTTGGTGGACCGACTCACAAAGTATGTTCACTTTATGGCTTTAACACACACATACACCGCCAGGAGTGTAGCGGAGCAGTTTGTCTGGGGTGTAATACGACATCACGGGTTTCCTCGGTCGATCGTGAGTGATCGGGATGCTCTTTTTTTGGGAAGGTTCTGGAAGGGGGTGTTCTCTATGTCTAAGACGGAGCTGAAGATGAGTTCGTCCTATCACCCGTAGACGGATGGCCAAACGGAGGCGGTTAATAAGATACTGGAGCAATACTTGAGGTGCTTTGCACACCCGCAGCCTCGACGTTGGCTTCCCATGTTGCCTTGGGCCGAGCTGTGGTACAATACCACCTATCATCGGTCGGTCCAGATGTCTCCATTCGAGGCTCTGTATGCGCGGACGCCGCCTATGCTGGCGCGCTACCAGTCCTGAACGAGTGTGGTGGATGTGGTAGACATGTGGCTGCCTCCAATAATCGGATGAAGCAACAAGCCGATTCTGGGCGGCGAGCTGAGGAGTTCGCAGTGGGGGATTGGGTCTTGCTTCGATTACACCCGTATCGACAAACATCAGTGTTCTGCGGAGCATATCAGAAGCTCGATGACGGTTATTTTGGTCCATATTAGGTGCTGGAGCGGATTGGGGCTATGGCATATCGTCTACAGCTTCTAGACACTGGTCGGGTTCATTTTACAGCTTCCAGACACTGCTCGGATTCATTCTACAATTTATGTGTCCCTCCTACGTAGGTATCATGGAGCGGAGCCACCCGTTGACGGAGATGGCAGTCTAGAGCTGGAGCCTGAAGCGGTGCTCGACACGCGTTGGCCGAAGCGGAGCAAGCGTCGCGTGGCGGAGAGCCTCATCCAATGGAAGCATCACGGACCAGAGGAGGCTACTTGGGACGACACGGAGACCATCCGTCAGAACTACCCTACATTCAATCTTGAGGACAAGCTTGGTTCTGAAGGGGAAGGGAGTGTGAGCGACACAGAGGCAGGGGCCGAGTCGGCCTAGGGAGGGGGTATTCGGGTCATTATTTATTGTTGGGGAGAGAACTATTTAAAGAGCAGAACTTTTGCTATTTTGGATTAACGAATAATCATATCAAAATTCCCAAATCCCTAATTCCTCTTCAATCTCTCAATTCTCATCCTAATTCCAATTCTCAACCCTAATCTTTCTATTCTCATCCCCAATTCTTGTTCGTAACATCTGTGTTCCTCATATGCATGTCCAACTTATGGTTTTACCCGAAGCACATCACTGGTTGAAATCTGGCTAAGGAGTAGCAGAGGTTTCCCATTGTTCTATATTCATTTGCTCTCCGGGAAATGCCGAGTGAAGTTGTTCATTTTGTCATATGGGTCTTCAAGGGAGTCCCACAAGTACGGTTTGTGTTGCAACTCAAACAAGGAGAGCTCTGCAGGCTGTGGTGGAGAAAGAGTTTAACGACACTTAGATACTGAAATTAGCTTCAATCCTCCTCTTTCTCGGTACGAGATAAATAGAAAGCAACAATCTAAAGCTTTGGTTCCGCCATTGGAACGCCTCTTTCTCACAAGGCGAAGTTTTGCCTCTTGCTTTACAAAGATTGTTATGAACTGACTCTATGACTAGATTTTCCTGGAACGTACGCTAACATTTTTTTTTTCTTCCTTTTTCTTTGTAGTCGTGAAATTCCTGTAACCTCTTTTCTTGTAAGAGATGAGTATTTGTCCCACTTCCTGTAACCTCTTTTCTTGTAAGAGATGAGTATTTGTCCCACTTCGCGTTAGTGTTATTGACTGCGTAAGAAGTGGTTTGCAATGCCACAACAAAGGAGACATGATGCAATAGCCTACTATAAGCAAAAATGCGTTTCTAGGCTAAAAGGAGAAATAATAAAACTTTTTAATGCAAGTACTTTACTACAAAGCAAGAATATACTGTCACAAAACTATCAGTACCAGTGTCTTTCTATTGAATCTCTCTAATGCAAACGCTATCAATTTATTTCTGCACTATAAAACGTAATCTAGAGCTCACCACCGTATCTTTAACGGATTACGATATTCCATCTAAATTCTTCGGAGCATTCATACGATGCAGTGGATATAAGGTCGAAAGTTAACACACACTTCTCAGAATATGAAGTCAGAACGAACACTAGAGCTTGGGCCATAACAGAACTAAGCCACTCAAAAATGGGAACCCTGAAAGTACACAATCAATTAAAAGAACCATAGTCAATCATCTCTAAACCTTCTTCTTATCCTTCAATGGCCCTTTAGGAATTTTACTCAACACCTTCTCTTCGAACACTGCATACTGCTTCGTCAGCTCGATCATCGCCTTCTCAGCAAATGCATCAACCTTGTCGTCATATTTCTCGTACAGCACGGGTAGAGTGTGTAGCAACACAAACACTGTTTCATTCATTGAGAAAAGGAACGTGAATCAGCAAATGGTGCCAATGAAAGCTTCTAGCACAGAAGAAGAAAGTGATTGGGTGGTTAATTTTGCTTACCAATGTAGAACAAGGTCAAGAAGTTGCAGCAACCCCCGATGATGGAGATAAACCACAAGCCAGCAATCACCTGAGGAAGCAATGAAGCCAAAATGAATAGAGGGCACAATAAGACGTATAATCCAAGAATTGTAACCCGAGGAAACAAAGCTACTTACAATCACAAACTTCTTGAGATCTCTCCCGGATGCAATCTCACGCAGAACAGTGCACCCACGGTTGAACTCGATTCTCAATGCAGATGCAACTTCAAGGATGCACTTCTCAGGGATCACAACTTCGGGAATTTTGGGCGGTGATCTATGCAAAGAAGGACAGCTCCAAATCAGTAAATGAAAACAAGAAGCAGAGGAAACAGAAACAACGATACAAAAGATACAAGTAAGCAACACCACGCACTTGTTAATGAAGGTAGAGGCATTGGACCACAGGAAGAGGATAGCCAGGGAGAGTATCGACAAATGGCAAACTAGAGTGATGAGATGATACTCAAGCAATTCAAACAGAACCCAGATCACAGTTGCAACACCAAGCACTGCTCCTGAAATCTTCTTGTTCCTCCACAGGAGAACATCAGCAGCTGTGTTTAACCAAGCAAACAATTAGGAAGCAGAACAAAGCATTGAATCACACCTTCCCGTTCCATTCTAGCTCCAGCAAGCATTCATTCTACGTACTATCTAGCAATCCAATAACATCTGTGCACTAAATCACCTGGTGCGCATTTGAGATTATCAATGGAATGAACACGATCCAGAGTAATTTTCGAGCAAAACAAAAAAAAAAACTTATAACAAGTTAAGCTAAACGAAGTCGGTCAATCCTTGCCACATCCATTACAGATGAAACATACAGTACAATTCTACCTACTTCTAAAGATCGTTCGATCGCAATCGGATCAAGGTAAGCCACAAACACTAGGCAAGCACACATACAGAGGCGATTCGTTTGGAAATCGCCATAACAAAAGAAACGCCGATCAATCCGATGCAAGAAAACATAGACAACGTAATCGGAGCCGACAAATTGGAAAGGAAACGGGGAGAGAGGAGAGTACGTTTGCCGCCGCCGAAGACCTTGTGGACGGGCTTGTCTCTGCCGAAGAGGCGGTAAATCTTGGATTTGACGGCGTCGACCTTGGAAGGCTTGCTGTCATCATCGGAATCGGAGGAGGAGGAGGAAGAGGATCCGTCGTGGCCGTGGATCTTCTCGGTGATCTTATCGACCAGGGAATCGTGGTGGCCGACGTGGTCCGCCATGGATCGAAGAGATGAGGAGCGAAGGAAGTGGGGAGGAGAGCGAGAGCGAGAGCGAGAGAGTAATTGAAGGGAATTATAGCTGATGGTGGGAGAGGGACGAGATGGGAGCGCTCAAATGGTGAGAGCTAGCGTGCAGTCTGCAGACAGCAGTGGGAAGGACAGGAAATTGGTGTGAAAAAAATAAAAACTAATAATATAGTACGCGCCCGAGTCCGAGTCCGAGGACGGACGGGGCACGGGGCACCCGACCCGGCTAGATTTTGAAATAACGGATAACCAAGACACTTTTGGCAATGTGAGTCAGTATTAAGTAATATTTTATCAATATTATAACCTTTAAAATCAACACATTCCATCAACATTCAGGCCCCTATTGTTTAGTTTAATTAATTAAGCGTGTTCAGTGGTCACGTTACACTAGCGGCGGATCCAGAATACAGAAGTGCACTTGCCGCATTTTATTAAAAAATTAGAATAGTAAAAAAAATTATGATTATAATTTTTTTACAAAGTAAATTGTACACGACACTATTTTAATTTTCCGAATGCATTAATAATAGAGTCCACATCCATACCAATAGTATACACTGAATACTTGAGCAATCGACTAGAAATCCATCGCTCATTTTGTTGCGCAAATCAATTTTCACATGTTTCGTTGTTGAAAAAGTTCTATTCGTATTAGCTGTTGAAACGAGCAGCATCAACACTAGACAAATCAATCTACTAATCAATTTGCATTGTGTTTTCATCCCTATATCCACCAGCTGCTCTAGTAAATTTTCCAAGGTAACAAACCTCATATATGTTTTAGTCTTTTACATTTTAAACTTTTTGAATTTTTAGGTTTCATTGTTTTTTAGACGAATAACCTTTGGGGCTAGAATTTATAAGCTAAATTTAAAGTAGTGGTTTTGAATATGTTCATCTGAATTATTTTTCTAATTATACTCATTCTTATTTTAAAATAACAACGACCCATATATCTAAAATCGAAAAATTCATAAAACATATACTAACTATGGATCCAGAAGAGGGCTGGGCCGGGGCCCGGGGTGGCCACCCCTGGATCCGCCACAGCGTTACACACAAATGTCCCACCTACTAGCTACCCTCATTTTATTTGCAACTTGCAAGAGATCACATTTTGTGATGAATTTATTACGACAATCGCACTTTTGATTGTAATCAGTAAATGACAGCTCGTTACTTTGGCCAATGAAAACGCATCCCCAGTTGGCGAAATCTCAGATTTTGAGGGGCTGGAGACGAGAGAGAACAATTACCAACTATCTCTTTCCGTTTCGGACTCGCTCGGGTTGGTTGCTAACTCCGTCCTCTCCTTTCCCCGCATCGGTTTGCCGTCCGTTTTGGATCATTCTTCTTTCTGTGGGCCGGAACAAGGGTCCACCCACAAAGCAAACTTGGCCCATTAGGCTCATGGGCAGGCTCAATCATCATGCCTAAAAGAGAAAATTCCTAAACTGGTTAGCTGACCAACGATTCCCAACTTAAGATCGGTACAAGGAGATCCGAACCACAAGATGGCTCCAACAATTAATTTCTGGGAGCAAACTTAGCCGACAGAAAAGAACAAAGCTCGTCGGAAGGATGGAGCGCCGGCTCTTAATAGTTTGAAACGATCGAGTTAAGGGCAGCGACTTACCAGGTGTGCAGAGCTGGAGAAAGGAGACGCCTGCCTGCTGGAAAGGCCCTCTGTTCTTCAGAGAGATGAGAGTACACACTACAGCTTATTTATTTCTCTCTCGTCTCTGGGCGGAGAAGAATCAGAAGGTCCAGACCGTATGGAAAATTGGAAGCGAATATCCGCCTTCGTTTTCAACCTTGGTTGGGAATCACAACGCTCAACAGAACAAACGCTGGGAATATGCTCAAGTTCCTCAATGGGCCTTATATGCACCAAATGGCCCAAGCCCAGATGGTCTCTTTCTTCATGTGGCGCGCGGGGGACTGGTAGATATTGTTGGGCTATGTATGTGTAGCAGGTGGACCAAATCTAGTGTTTATAGTGATGGGCCGACCTTCCATCTTAATCGTGCTCATCTTAAATTTGGATTTGAGCCTCGTTAACGGACCCACAAAGCCCAAATCCAGTGTTCTTACGGATTCCCAAGAAAAGCCATCATAATCTTTTTTTTTTCCTTCTTTTAATCGGATACAGATTTTTTTATTATTAATAACACTTTATGGCCCTCTACTACTGAATCGCTATTCGTAGCCCTAAAATTTAAATTTTATCGCCCTAAAACACACTGAATTGACACATTTATCCCTAACTCTAATTTCATTTCAACACTCTGCGTAGCCGCCCATACACCATCATCACCTTCCTAGCATCTGCGGAAGCAAAAAACAAGTTCCTGCTTCACTTCATCTTCTTGGACGTGGTAAGTAGTAAATAGTAACTAACTAATTTACCGAAAAAACCATTAACTCCCTCTGATCCCCTGCTTTGCAGCTGACGCTAGCAATAGTTTCCACGGCCATCACGACGGCTGGCGATGTGGCCTACGTCGGCCTGAAGAGCAACAAGCACGCTGGGGTGGGCAAAGGTGTGCAGTGTTTCCGACAAGTACTACAAGCACTTGGGAAGCTCCATCTCCATCTCCCTCTTCGCCTCTGTTCTGCTCGTTCTCCTAGTTTTTCTCTCTGTACTGTCCCTCCACAGCAAGATCCCACCGCCTACAACGACAGTTGCCTAGTTATTAGCGTGTGTCTAAGTTGCTACGTAGGGTGATGATGGGGCTGAGGCTGACTACGACGATTGAGCCTCCGGTGACGTGGTCTGCTCTAGTAACGATTGGATGGATGTATTTGTTTAAGGGTTTAAGTGATTAAAAGATAAAAACTAAACTAAGGGCATTAGAGTAAATTTAATATAATTAGGGCGACGAATAAGGATTTTTAGGGCGACGAATAGCAATCCACCTCTACTATTACGGATTAACAAACGTGCCCTTGTACTATTTTTTTTTTTGCACAAACATGCCCTTCTAATATTAGAACGTAACAAAAATACCATTTTGTTGAAAATTCCATTTTCTCACTGTTAACTGGGATCCGAAATGACCTAACTACACCTATCTAATTAAGAAATTCCGTTTTAATTAAAAAGCATTTACCGCCGAATTAAAAAACTAAAAGAAGTTAATCCCTTCACCTTCTCCCTTCTTCTGTAGAGCAACCGGCGATCATCAACGCTGTCGACCCTAACACGGGTATGTTTGTTAATTCACAATAGTAGAGGGGCACAAAATGCTATTATCCCTTTTTTTTTCTTTGAATAGGATACGGATACAATTATCCTAATTGTCATTCATAAGTTCATAACCAACCTTTACCTCTACACATCTTCCTCTATAACATATATATAGTAAAGCTTTGTTTATTCCATAAGGAGAGTGAAAGTACAAATGACACTATTATCTTTACAATTATTTCTTTTATTTCATAAAAAAATATAAGCTCTAGAATTAGAACTAGGATCTTTTCGGACAAAGACAAGAATTATAATCAATTACCCTAAACATATTTGTTGTATTGTTTTGAATAAAAAACATATACAGAGTTAAATATCAAAAGCAGATGACATTTTCATTGGGCTTAGCTAGCCCACTAAGTATCCTGCAGGTATTTTTATGGTGCTTGATGCTTCGATTTTCATATTTTGATTAATTTATTTGGATTTTAATAAGTAATATAATTTTTTTTGTCTAACGCATAATTTTAAAATCACAAACCAAATATTATTAATTGCAATATTGTATATCGAATTGTTGTATTGAATATGCAAAAATGATGTAAAACTCTCATATTTACATTGATTTTTATAGGTTGGATGCAACACATAATCATTTTCTCTTCATAAGAACAATGTTACTATACATTTCAGAAAAAACAAACATGAAAAACAAAGAGAAAGAATAGAAATGAATACTGAAAAGGAAACTACTATTTTTCTTGATTGGTGAGCATTAACCTTAACCAATGCATTGTGGACTAAATATCTCTCCTCAGCTCTCGTATTGTCATGTGACCTGAATCAGTGCCAACAAAACCATTTGGATTGATAACAAGTTAACAACCCACTCGACCGAGAGGGGTATCTTCCACTAAAGGCTAAAGCCGTCAAAGCCAAGCAGGAGTATGACCCGGTAACGTGAACGGCTCGGTCATTAGTGGTCCAACCGACATTAGACCGTTTAAAAATCGTTTGAGAACCGGTACCTAATAAACAAAACTTCTAAATAACTCAATCAAGTAAACAAAAATTGCTAAATGGAATAGGAAACCTCACGGGTCACAGCAGCAACACAAACAAACCATTACAAACAATCAAGTAAATTTATTAATTTAGTAATTTACCTGAAGAGGCCGACGTTCCGCTGAAGAAGATTGAGCCTGGATTCTCCCGGGTTCTGGCGGGCGCCGGCGGTGACAATGCAGAGGTCAGATCCGGTGGTGATGGAGTAATCGGTCGAGGAGAGGATCTGGGTGCGCGGGAGGAAAGCAGCGGCGTGCTGATGGCGAACGGAGACAGTGACGGGGACCCGCGAACGGCGACGGGGACGGGGACCCGCGAACGGCGACGGGGACGGGGACCCGCGAACGGAGACGGCGACTGGCTCTTCTTCCGTTCTTCGTGTCTGGCTGCTGCGCGAAGGGGGAGAAGAAATGAATGTCTCAATGTCAATTAGGGTTACGTTTACAGCAGCCTCCCCTTTCATTTTTTATTTTTGATATTTTTTTTTAATTAAAGCAACCGGCCCAAATGGAAAAAGCCGGCCGAGCGGCTCGAGCGGTTCGAGCGGTTAACCGCTTCGGCCGCTCGCCGACCGCCCCAAAGAACCACTCCGGCTAAATAACTTAGTCGAGCCGGTTTTATGGTCGGGTGGCGGTTTTGACGGCTCGGCCGGCTCGGCTCGGCTTTGACAGCATTGCTAAAGCCACCAAAATCTTCAATAGCCTACTGTAAACCAATAAATATCCTACTCAACAATATGTCAACCGATAATTTAAGGCAAGTCAACAACGCAGCTCATAAGACATGATTTAAGCAACGAGTTCGGCGAGGAAATGTAGCTGAGGTCCCAACGAAAAACTTCCCATGGATATATTTGGTTTACTCAAACGTGCTTACCACATTGGAAGAGAAAAAGACAACAACTAATAAAAAGTAATGACTAAGGCAGTTGTGATTGGTACGAAGTAGCCATTTGAGCACTCCCGATTGGTTTAGCCGACCATTGTTGAAGGAATTTCAACAAGAACATAGAATGAATGAAAGAGATCGATCCTACACCAAGTCAAGAGCAGAAAAGAGATTTATATGAGATATTAAAACTACCCATAATATTTTATTTCGTTAGGAATGACATAATGACTGGTCAGCCAAAGCATTGGGTACAAACTTTGTTCATAGATTAACCATAGCTCAGTTTGGCCCTGTTGTAGTTTTTGCAAAAGCAGCTTCTGACAGGAGTTTTTAGAGAAGTACTTTTCAAAAAAAGCAGTTGAGTGTTTAGCTGAAAAACTATTAGAAATACTTTTTAATATGAGAGGTTATGTAAAATGACTATAAAGGATTTAGAATATAAAATATGAATAAAAATTCTAAACAATAAAAAGTAGTCAATATGAATCTTGTTAGATTTCTTTTATATTAAATAATATGATTTTATAATTTATAATATCTTTAAAATGATTGAAATGAAATAAAATTATATCTTCTGAAGTAAGATTAAAATATGGTAAGGATAATCTTGTATTTTTAAAACAACTTTTCGCACAAGCTCCAAATCGGAGTTTCTGCTTTTATGTTATACAAAAGTGCTTTTCAGCTTCTCAAAAGCCGAGCTTTTAGAGGTGTTTGGCCCGACTTCAACTTTTGAAGCCGAAAAGCACTTCGAAAAGCCGGACCAAAAATAGGACATATTTTGTGATTAAATTTACGAGCACTTCTACTATGCTATATAGCATTGGTGCTTTAATGTACAACTCAAAGTTGTACCATGACATTAAATGTATAAGTTTAGGTTGTATAAAGCAATTCGTACCATTATGTTATGGTACAACTTTACAACTTGAAGTTGTACCATCACATAAAGGTACAAGTTCAAGTTGTACCGTAAAATAATTTGCACAAAAAGTATAGGTACAATCTGAAGTTGTACTATAACGTAAATATACAATTTTAAGTTGTACCATAAAGACAAAAACCTATAGCACCAATACTATATAGCATTGTAAAATTTCTCTTAAATTGACGGTTATCACTTTCGTAACAAAAGTTTATCCAAAAGGATAGGGTTCAAACTTATTATTTTCCGGTAATTTGTATCTCTAGCATCAGGGCCGGTCCGAGATTTTGGAGTCCCTTTTCTATTAAAAAAAATGTGGTCCAAATTGTTTTTTCTAAAAATATAATAAAATATGAACAAACTATCAATCAATAAATAAAAATCCTAACATTATTTAAAAATAATACCTATCTAATTTGATTCAAGATAAAGAGTGACAATGGTTTAAACAGAAAGATCTAAGTAAAAAATGATTATTTGAGAAATTGAATTAAAAAATCCAAATAATATTAAAATAGATAATGAATCAACTAACTAGACTCACGTGAATATGTCATGAGAATATTTTTTTATCGGATGTCCCCGAAGGGGCTTACGTCATGAGAATTAATTGAGTAGAAGATGAAAATAATTTTAGAAGAATCAAATAGTATAAATAAATAATAGAGTAACTAAATTAGATAAGAGAAACTTATAAATTTTTAATCTAAAGCTAAGCAAGGTACAAAATTTTTATAATTGATTTATTTATTTATTTTTCCTTTTCTACTATTGGTAGCTTGTGCCTAATTATTTTGGTTAGCGTTTAATAATCAATCCATATTATTTAATTCATTTAGCATTACTCCTTTGCTAGTACAAGCATATTAATCTTTCACCCCCTTGAAAAGCTGAAAATGAAAACATTTAAAACAAAAAAAAATTTAAGAATGTTAATAATAAAGCATCAACAATCTTACCACTTTTATTTTATTTAGGAAACACACAACAAAGAATGAATTATGTCATATGCTATAAAACAAAGTCTAATAAGAAAGCAAGTATTCCCCTCATGTGATCTATTTGTTCATTTAGTATTCGGACTTAAATTTTTTAATATTATTTTTTAGACTCATAATCAAAAACCAAATTCGTAAATTTTCTATCGTTTTAAATTCATAATCAAAACCCACAAGTCCATAATAGTAATTAGTAATATAAATGGTAGAGGTCCGGAGGACTGCGATGGATGGCCTGCCGGTACCCCCTCAAGGCCAACCCCTTCTAGCATCGCGTGTAAGATGTGACTTTGAACTCTTACTTGAATTTCAATGAGAACGCAGAATTTAATGTGCCTCTTAAGACCGTTTTAAGTTCTAACCATTGTGCAGTACCAGTTGGTTTCAATAACTTGAATGGTTGGATGGATAATGATTCAGTTCATGCTAGACTGAATCGTAGCGAGCTGATATTTGGATTGAATCACATTAGATCGAATATAGTTTAATTCAAATTTTTAGTTCCAATAGGGGTTGGATGGGCAACAATTCCATTACATACCAGACTGTATCATACTGACCATTATTTGAATTGAATCACATTAGAACCAATATAATTTGATTCGGTTTTGATTTCCTTACTTGTTAAAGTATAAAAAGAAAAGTAGACTGCAATGGAACCGACTCAAATATAATAAAAGAAATTACTTTCGCTTTTGATCTGATTCAGGTCCTCAAATTTTCCACTATTTCCATTCGATCCCATTCGAATTTGGTTCGGTTTTACACCAGACCAATCGATGTTCTTACCGAACCTGTAGAGATCCAAAAATGGATATTGTTTACAACTATGGTGGTTCCTAGCCCCCTTATAGCCCTTAAGGGTATGCAAATGAAAGAAAAGGGTCCACAACAATAATTCAGCAAGCAAAGGGCAAGGCTCTCCATAAATGAACACAAGACCAACGAAATGAAAGCTGATGAAAAATGGAGTGCAAGTACTCTCAGGCAGAAGGTCATGCATATAGACCATGAACCCATATCTTTGCCCTCTGAATTATTACTCCTACAGCAAGCAAGCTATCGGCTGTAATTGAATTCAAAGGCGAGGCATTCATGGAAAGTTTTAACTTAGGGCAGAGAGGAGCTGCCTTGCCTTTGCCTAGGGCCACAAAACCCATAAATATATTCATTTCCATAGTCTGGAGTTTTAGGTTTTTCCTACTGTATGCCCTCCATAACCCATCTGTATTTTTATAATGCATAGCAGTCAGCCAGTCAGATAAGGATTAAGGGACGGCCCATTGTTAATACTTAAACCTCAAAATCAGGCAAAAGCGCATTCCTAGGAATCAAAAAAGTCAGGGCTCATTTGGTTAAGAGATAAAGTGAGAGGGAAACTGATTAGTTTTTGGGTATCATTGTGATGAAGTGGTTACAATTACTCGACTTCTTGCAAGAAGAATAATTACAGGTCTTATATCGTTCGAAAGAAAGCAAGCTCACGGGTTTGAAATTTGCATATGTCCACAATACCTTGTGTACTAATAACCTTATAATATTTGGGATTGTAAAAATTCGAATACACGGCCACTTTGTCAAACTAGTTGTGATACCTTTTGATTAAAATATTTTACACGATAATTTCGTACAAAATGTCAACTTCACGAGTCAATCTTCATTTGAGAAGATGCGCGCAATACAATACTTTTAGTTTCTAGTTTTGTTTTTAAATTTCTCTCAGCAAGTCAAGGCACGGTACGATTTCTCGTATTAGCCCCTCCTTATTCTCAAGGCACAACCCTTGCCTGAATACCACGTCCAAACAAGCCCTAATTAGTCAAAGTTAAAAGGCATAATATGCTTCCTCTAAACGTGTCCTCTCCCTTTAATCCCTTTCAAGAGCAGAGATGCCATTGGCCCCCATCTGCGCTGTACAAGTCAAACCTTTGTTTTTCCCTTTGAACAAAGACGGCCTACTTGGACCTTAGCCAGATGCCCGAGCACAAAACTTTTGTCATTTAGTAAAGGAAGTTTGGACTCTGTTAAAGCCAAAGCCAAAGGCAAAACCAAAGCAGAGCAAAGCTTATTAAGCCAAAGGGCAAACAATGGACATGCGTGCCCCAAGCTAAATGGCTTTGCTCTTTGCGAAAAGAACCCCTTAAACTTCTGACTTTGCATATCTTTCGAGAGAGAAAGAGAGAGCGTATTTCAAAGTACTCTTTCTTCCCCTCCAAAAAAACCTTCACATAGAGATTCCAATGGAGGGAGCTCTTCTTCCTTTGCTTGGCCCTTTTCTTTTGCACCTCTGGTGTAACATGACCTTATACGTTTCCTTTGTTCTTTTTTCCTCCTTTTCTTTTCTTTTCTTTTCGGTCCTTTTCCTTTTGTTCTATCGTTTGTGTTCTCTTTTCTCCCCTCTTTTTGGAACCTTGCGGTCACACCCAAATTACCCTTTTTTCTCCTCATCCAATTCCATACCCTGTTTGTTCTTTCGCGCCCACCATTTAGAATACAAGATTGAGTTTCATTGGGCTTTGAGATAAAGAGAATGGGCCGTATGCATTCGAGATTGCTAATGGTTATTAATATGATATCTCGTTCTTTGGTCTTATGTACCATACGCAAACGGACGATTCAAGTATACAGTGTTGTTGGTGACCATAAATAAATAAAATATTGTATTTTTTAGAATTGTGAATTGTAATAATAGAATACAAGAATACATTGTGTCGATCTCGTGCTTTATCATCTAAAGTTCGATCTTAATTGTTGATTAGATTAGTATTGTTCTTCCGTAATCCACAAAACGAACTCAACAGACCAAACCAAGGGTCCCCTATCATATACAATTCTCTTAGTGACCAAGGACAAGGATGTTTCACAATTGTAATGTGATAATATAACACAAGTCACAACATTACACCTTGTCAACACTACTTCTCATCACCTGAGCTAATCCCATTTGATGATTAGTTGGATCAGCATTGCTCTTGGTGGACCACTTGTAAACTTCATGGTTAAAGTAATATAATTATTTAGTGGGGAAATAATTCTGCTATTGTGTTTGACCAAATGAAACAAATAACCAATGTTTCTTAGCATAACTAAGGATGACATAGCTTGTCAATTTGTCATAGCATTGAAAACATGGGGTGTTTGTGTGCAAGCAAACAGCATAAAGTGTGACCATCTGGACTTTGGTATGGTCTTACAATTTTTGGTTACGCCAAATATGGTTAGCTGCTAACTTGCCTCTGGTACGAAGTCGTTTGGATGAGGAATTGTAACGGATCAATTTGACACAATTGTCTCGTTTTGAGACAATTGTACCAAATTGCCTCGTTTTCCAGCAAAAAATTTGGATGGGTCAATCTGCCTGAGGTATTTTGAATTGATCCATGTGGAGACAGGTAATTCGAATTGACTCGTTTTAATTGCCTCGTTTATAAAACGAGACAATTGATCAAATTGACTCATTTATAGATTGATTCATCCAAACGACCGCTAAAAATCAACCATTGTAAAATCGTATCGAAGGTTGGACCAGAAAATTCAGTGGTTTCATAAAGTTAAAACCAACCATCTATTGGTGTGGACTCTATCAACATATTTTTCTCATTGCACCGTCGATACGATGCAGTTTTACTAAATTTTGAGGTCATTAACCCTAAACTAATATAAGTATTAAGCCTCCCCGGCCGTCTAGATCTATAGCAGAGGAGCAGACTACTACGAAACTTCTTCCATTTTATGGTCCAACCCAACGACTGGAAAAGCTTTTTCTGGTTCTGGCCTTTTTTTACTTCTGGGCGCGCGCGAGAGGGGAATGAAAGGAAAATTGAAATGTGAAAATGAAGTGAGACTGCTACGAACAATTTCTCCCCTGCCCTGCTCTGCCCTGTACTCTCTCTGCAGTGCTCAGACGCGACCTGGGAAATTTATATGTTGTTTATTTTAAAGAATAGGGTTATGGCACAGTCTACGCTACAGCAACAGCACCCTGTCTCTGCAAGGAATCAACAATTGATAAATATTAAATAGTCTATGACGCCAGAAAATTTGAATCTTGCTCTTTTGCTAATAAGTTGTGTGGAAGCTGTTATTTGTTTTGATAAGAAGATTACTCTCATTCTCACGTTGACATCGAGTAACATGTTGCTTTTTTGATGAGGACTATTGAGCTGAAGATTTCACAATAGAAGCAAAGTCTCATGGAGAGAGTTTAACAAGCACCTAGTGATTGAATAACGTACCACGCATTATACCGTGCACTTGTATTCCCGCTTCAATCAATGAAGTACAAGAGTATTCACGTATCTCTATGTGAATATCGAATACATTATCATAAGCTAGTTGATAGTGATGATATTTGTTTTTATTAATATGTCATCTTGCCAATTTGATAACCAAGAACACACATGAAAATTACGACGGATACATGCACGAACGATCCAACAACATCGACATGAATAGTCGGATGGTAATTGTGAGTGAAAAGTAGATTATTAATCAAGTTAATGCAGAAATTGGTGCCAACTTGTAGAAATTAACCAAGGTAGTAAAATCAGCCAAAGTACAATTCATAAGCATACAGAAAGCTCCAAAGCCCCAAACTAAAAACCACCATTGATGATCATTCACCCCATCTCACACTCTCTCTGTACACAGTATAGCTTTGCAGAAAAAGCAGAGAGAAAAAGCTTGCATCACTAGTCCTCTGGTTTTTCCCCTCTTTCTTTCTCTGCCATCGAAACACCATTTTCAATACACAGTTCCAGGAGACCCCGGTGGAAAAACAAAAAGTAAAAATAAAAGCGAGGGGAAGGGAAGACCCTCAAACGAAGTGCAAAAGCTTTCTTTCTCTTCTCCCCCTCTCCACGTTCGTTCCCTTTCTTTCTTCCCTCTTGCGGCCTCCATTTCCCTCCCTATATAAAAACCCCTTTCCCCCGCTGAAAAAAAACCCTACTATCAGAAACCAAACCAAACCCAATCTCCATTTCCCTCTCTCTCTCTCTTTTGCTCCGCCCTCCTTTCCCATACGTTGAAAATGGATGTTCTCTACTTTCTCAGGCTCCTGAGACCCACCACTACCCACCTGAAATCGCAAAACAAAGTCGAGTGTGTGAATGCGAGGTTGAACAATGGTGAAGCTTATGATGATTCCGAAGAAGAAGAGGAGGAAGACTCTTTCTTTGAATTGGAGCTCACTGTTCCTCCTGATTTTGACTACCCAAGGAGCATTAATGGCGACAGATGTAAAAGCCCCAATAAATTGGCCGACAGAGCCGAGCCCAAGGTTCAGCAGCATCAGTCCCCTCCTGCAACCGAGCCTCTGTTTTCAAAGCGGAAGATACTCCCAATCGAACCCGTCTCCTCTCCCAAGCCTCACCAGTCTCCGATTTCTAAACTCAAACAGGGTCCCAAATTTCGGGTCCTCGCGTTCAGGAAGTCCAAGTCGATGCCGGTTCAGAAAACAGGGGAGAAACATGAAAAGGGGTTGAATCAGGAAGAGAAGCAGCGGTTCGTCACTGTGAAAGTGAAGCTCGACGAGATGGGTGGAGGTTCCTACAACAATGGCCGTTCGAAATTGGCGAGGAACAACAGCTTGAGGAAGCAGATCTTGGACGACACGTCGTCGGAGAATTCCTCGAGGAGATTCCCCAAGGAGATCGTGCAGAAGTACTTGAAGCTCATCAATCCGCTCTACATCAAGGTCGCTAAGAAGGAATGCGACAGGATGAAGTTTTCAGGAGAGCTCTCGTCGCCGTTTACGACTCCGTCAGCGTCGCCGGCGGTGACGGCTCCGGTAAGCTCCCCTAAAAAGGAGAAACAGGGAAGTTTCCCGGCGGGAATTCGGGAGGTCTGCAAGCATCTAAGGAAGAGCAAGTCAGCATCTTCCGGCACCGGAGTATCGCCGCCGGCCACCTTGCAGCGGAGGGATGACTCCCTTCTACTGCAGAATGACGGGATCCAGAGCGCCATTCTTCACTGCAAGAGATCTTTCAACTCTTCCAGAGGTAAAGAACCCATCTTTTCTTTCAGATTGGTCTCTGTTCTTGCTTCATTCTTTCCCCGTCACCTAAACATTTTGACTTCTTGTTTCAGATTCGTCTTTGCTATCACGATTCTCAAGTGACCGCTCGATGGACTCGCCTAGGGTTTCCAGCGACGAGTTCTGATTGGAAAATATTGAAGCCAGTAGGAGGAAAGCGGGAGAGTTTGAACCTCCCCTGAAATTGAAAACTTGAAAAGACAATACAAAACAGGACAAGAGAAAAACAGGGGACTCTGTTTTTTCCTTGTTTGTTTTCTTTTTTTGGGTTCTTGCTGTAAAGTTAAGCAAAGGAGAGATAGGGAGATGAAACAAGTAGGGTAGTTTCGTGGTTTCGATGGTTTTCTTTTTGGATGCATTGTAGTAGGACGAATCCATCATCCATCCATGGAGGGAGGGGATGATGACGATGATTGCAGACTGTAGGGAAAATGTAATCAATCCAAAAGCAGTAGTAGCAGTTGTTTATCTGTCTATAAAGTAAAAATGTTGGTTACTACTACTCATCATTAGTCATTAGCCTGTATGCTGTTGGGTAAATTATTATTACCAGTGACCATAGAACAGGGTTCTGAGTTCGGTTAAGCAGAGATGAATTATGTGTTGCATACACGATACTGACATCATGAGATTATGCGGGGTTTTGAATTGTAACAACTCGATACAATCCAACGGTGTTAGCATGTGCTTAACGAAGGCAACTCCGTTTAGTTAGCACCGTAATAAAACTCTGTAGAAGGAGCAGTGGAGCTACAGGACAGAGCCTGGTGGGTTCTTTTCTTTTCGTCAAAGCTTGGGATGATGAGGATATGAAGGAATTTCTTGCTGGAATGGGCAGTTTCTGTTTCTGCAATATGTTCAAATTATATGATTCCCCTCCACCAATGGCTTTTGCTAACGTAAATCAGAATTCGAAGTTTGTGTGTGGTACTTTTTGTTCGTTTCTTCCACGACCTAATGGAGTAGAGTAGCAGTTTTACCCACCTACCCTAAGTAACTTTTTCTTGGACAGTGATTTTGTTTTCCTATTCGCATTAGCTTTTTAATTCAGAACTCATATGAAGTAAGCTTTGTCGATATCAAAATTGTAGGGTGATAATGAATTTCACCAACTTAGACTACAGCGGTAGGCCGAATTCGTGAGATCCAAATCAAAGCTTTTTTTATTGTTGTTCGTGAACAGACGAAACCAAAACCCTAATCTCGTGTCCGAAAAACGAATTTTCACCCACTTCAAACAAATGACATTACAATGAGTGATGACATGTTTATACTCTCGCTCTCAGGTCATCCAATTTTTAAAGCAAATCATCATCATTGGACAGAATCCAGCAAATGAATACAAAACTTTACCATTTTTTACTGTTCTATCCTAAACGTCCTACTGTCGTGAACGGTGAACATGATCCTCGCAATTAATCATCTCCTCTTGTTGATTCTTCCTTATCTACTTACGCCGACTAGAATGAGACTAAGAAACTTCAATGACAACTAAGTCAACCATCGACGTGGCTTTCCACAACCAATGTACATTTCACGTTTGCTACAACAACTGACCTTAAATCGAAAATGGCTCATCTGCTTTTTTAGGAAGCTTCAGAGCCAGCCAGCCAGCCAGCCAGTCACCTCAAATCCCAGCTTAGTTAGGCAGCCTAACAGCAGTCTCGAGTTGATTCAAGAGGAAGCATCCTTTCCTTTCCCAAAAGCACATATATCATATTAACCGTGGTGCTATGCTACCCATGGGAACTACCTTTGGCTTCTTTCGTTCCTTTTTCCCTCTCCAAAAGACAACAAAAGCAGTATAAAAGTAAAGCTACCATTGATGATGGAAGGCAGACTGGAAAAACCATCAAGTCGGTGAAGTAAAGATATCAATACCCATCAAATCTATCTATCTTTCTCTCTCTCTCTCTCTCTATCCGCTGGTTAATGGAGTCGAGAGTTGAGAGGCTCTGTTTCGAATTGCTCTGTTTTCTCTGCAGCTGGCTCTGTTACTTCCACTGAATATCCGTGGTTTCTAAAGAAAGGCCCTGGTCTTTAAGCATGCCTCTATCAACTTTTTCCTTGGTCCAATCGCCATAATGGCGATTTCTTTCCTTGAACCAAAGTCCAAAACGTCGCCGTTGGGGAAGCAACTAGTATCTAGTAGTGATCTTCGTAGCGCATTTGCATCCAATGAACTCTTTCCTTTCGTCCATTTGTAACGAAAACAATGGCCACCCAACAGGGCCAACATGATTTCTCTGTATTGTGTGGTGTTAATTAGGATGAGGTAGCAAAGCTTTTTAGCCATGACTTTTTAGCACCCTCCATGATACATGGCCTATAACCTTATTCTCAAATCTTCCAAAACCAATTTAACCTGAAACTCGATTTTTAAGTTTCGGAGAAATGTACGCACTCGATAGTCAACTTTGTCAAGTGAGTTAAACCTCACAATCCACATTTTAGTGCGTATGTGCAGGCTAGGCCTGCTAATATGTGTGTAATTAGGGACAATTATGACCCTCCATCGAAGCATGTTCATTGTTGGTCGAGGGTCCAATACCTTTTTCATCTCTTCCTCGTATGTATATACATATCGATATATGTAAATATACATATAGGATGATTGCTGAATAATAGCAATAACCTCATCCCTTATAAACATAAAGACATTCAAAAGCGAACCATTTAATTCTCGTTTCATCTATTGCCTGATCAGGTTTAAATTGTCAAGAACCAGTTGCTCCCAATAACTCGAGTTGTTGGGAGATGTTTAATCGTGGATCATATACCACAACACTAATACGCCCCCCTTAAACGAAGCCGCTCACAAGGGCTTGAAGTTTGCACAGGTCTGAAGACAAGAATATCATGTGCTTAACAAATGGGGGTCACCAGGTATCAAACACACGACCTCTCGGTCACAGAAGGCTCTGATACCATGTCAAGAACCAGTTGCTCCCAATAACTCGAGTTATTGGGAGCAACTGGTTCTTGACATGGTATTAGAGCACTTGCTTAACAGCTAATCGATCCAACAACTCTAAAAGCTTCCATTTTTTCCCCCCCGCTGGCGGGATGAGTTCTCATTCTCCAGGCTTCCAAGCCTTCACCCATCATCCACACAACTAAACCCCTATCTTTCAAGCACATGGTATGGTGGGCCTGTGCAAACTTCAAGCCCATGGGTTGGTTTTCGTTTGAGGGGGCGTGTTAGAATGTGGTATAAGATCCAGCAGAACCTTCTCCCAACAACTCGAGTTATTGGGATCAACTGGTTCTTGACATAAATAACATAACAAACTCATCTACCACTTTTCACTAACACTTATAGGAGTTGTGAAAGTGGTTAGTCCCGTAAATTTTATAAATACTGAAAAATCATGAATCGAATTGACATTTGGATCTAGCCAGAATCATACAAAAACAAACCAAATACAATAATGATCTGATCCTTCGTCCTAATGTATCTTTCATTATTAGACCGTAATTCTCATAAACTCGGAACCAAACAATTGCACACCCACGCTTCTATTTACCTTCTCCTTTCTCCCTTTTCTTAAATTTATGAAAGAACCCTGTTTGTGAGCTGTGACCTTACATGAACTCAACAGATCATATTTTTCTCCCCTTGGGATCCTGAGCTTGCAAAGGCAAAGCCATTCAGGCCTACGGTCCCTCACCCAGAAGAAACAAGAGCTTTCAATTTGGGGCTCCTCTGCCCTACAAGTCTCAAAATCACATCGATTTCAACACTACCATCAATGGAAGTAAAGCCCAGAGACGAAGCAATATCCCTTTCCCTCCTCGAGCTACCACCATAACTACTACTACCACACATCTTTATCAGTTGTGGACTCAACTTTCTGCACCATATTCCTTTTTTTACTGTGGTGCGGTCCCAATGCCCGGCAGTGAATTAGGGTTTTTTTTTTACTGCCTTGAGCTATCGCAGTCTTTGTCTTTGACAACAACATATATGTTAGTAATTCTTTATTCACTGTACGTATCTCCTGAGACATCGCCCTTTGCTCCCCGGCCACGCACCTAACTAAGCGACCGTTTGGATTTGGTTGGATTTGCAGACAAGAACGCTCAAAGAAAGGTTCACTGAACAAGCGGAAGGAGTACCAAAATTGATGACTTACAGAGTGTTGACATTAGAGTCATGGTTATTAGGGCACTTGTAAGGAAAGAGAAGGCTGACTTTTAGCCTTCGATTATATTAGAACCTCCGATTCTAAACTTACGTTGTATTTTGTGCATACATGTATGATGTTGTATGATGTACCCTGCAGAATAAATCATTTATTTTATTTGATTTAAGCTTGGAATGCATGTATTGAGAATACATGATGTATTCTTAGTACATAGAAAATTATGAATATTGAATCAAACATTTCCGGTGAGATTTAGTATGCATATATAGTTCATTATTGCTCCTTGCCTGTTTAATGTTTTTCACAAGATGAATTTTTAAAACACACATACTTGGTATACAACATAATCTTAATGCACATATTCTTGTAATACACCAGTTTCGTAATCAAACATTCCAAACGAACTCTTTCGTGTTATTTATGGGTTTCTATTTCTAGTAGGCAAAGACAAAAAAAAACTATTTTTTTATAGTAATTAATAAGGGACTTAGGCCATTCCGATTTTACTCTTAAAAAAGGACAACACTTTTCGTAATCTTATCGTAAATAATCAAAATATCGAATTCACACAAGGGTATTAACCTTTTGTATGCACCCGAAACTCAAGTACACATACTACGAGTATGTAATCAATTATCATTGCCTCATCAGTAACCCATAAATCATAATCATAAAGCAAAACGATCATATTTATATACGTGGGTTCGGGAACCAAATCTCTACGTGGGAGAGGATCAAAATATTTGCCCTATACTTGTTTGTTTTAATTGGCATGCATGCATGCATGTAGCGAATGAAGTTAGTGGCTGTTAATTGGACAAAGCCGATGTTGGAAATGTATTGTTCTACTTCTGTTACCAACAGCCGATAGATAGGAGTTAGGTAAAGGGTTTTGTGTTCCTCATGTCACGTGAGTCCATTTCCCGACGTTGGAGCTTTCTGTTTTATGTTCCACAAAGAGTTAGGTCCTAATGAGGAAACAGAGCAGAGCAAATAATGGTTTTTGCTAGTTGAGGACATTGTACCTGGAACTACATAATCATGAGGATGATGGGCTCTTCCGACCGCGGGACAAAATTTCCAAGCTCCTTGGGAATTCTGCCACGGTCGAGGATTGTTTAGTTGAAAAACAACGTAACTCGGTAAGTAACGGGGAGACATTTAATTTATAATGAAACTAGGTGGTGATGCCGCGCCGTGTCGCGCGACAGACATGGCCTATGGACATGTATTATGTTGCTCATCATAATACTTTGTTAGTATTATTAGTATAAAATTAACTTTTTGTTAGCAGTTTTGTTAGTAATATTGTCTGAGAATGGACATGTATTATATGACGGTCATAAATGAGTTTGGGTAAAGTATGAATATTTGCTTCCATAATCTAAATGTTTATGAGTTGGCTGTGGATACCCATTTATTTGAGTGTGTTTTAATTACACATACAAAAATTAGACCTATTTGGAGAACTTCAAAATTTTAGGTACCAAAATGTAATACACAAAAAATTAGGGACTAAAATGTAATGTTCCATCAATATGTAAGGACTTATATGCCAAAAAAATAAATTCACTTTTTCAAACCTGCTCCCATTTCGAGTCATCGAGTCAAGAGATAGATAAATAGACACAAGATAGATAAATAGAAAATCCGCCGTCTGGGGGCTTTACCAGGACTAACTAGTAAAAGACCTAGAGCAGGGAGCGATCTTAGAAATCGGCCGCGCTCCGGTAAAAAATCTCAATATCGCACCCTCTTCTCTTATTCCTGTGATGCCACTGTAAAGCTTCCTGACTTCCGGACTTGAGCTTTTAAGTTTAGATAGAGAACTGTAATTTGCATAGTTGAGACTTAATTCATTTTACGGCGATGTATTTAAGATGATAAATATTTACTTTTTATAGAAAATGAAAACTATTTATTTGATATGTGCAGATATCTAGTTAAACATTCCATGTATAATTGTCAAAAATTCTAGCACGGGTGAAAAAGAAAAACTCTAGACGGAAGCAAAAGGAATACAAACTAGAACTTGCTTAAAATTGCACGCCTTCAAATCTCATAGTAGAAAATGATGACTTTCTAATAAATAATAACCATATATATTTATTTTTAATTGGACCCGATATTGAGCTGAAAAAGTTAGTGGTTCATGGTTCAATTATTTTTTCTCTAGACTGTTGGTGAGTCGTGTATGGACCCGTTCATTTATTTTAGAGTAGTTTCTCTTTTATCATTTATTTAATATTTCACATTAATATTATACTTTTATGTTATGGTGGATCGGATTCCCGAATTGGTGGATTGGATTCATGGATTCAAGTGAAATCTAAATGGACCAATATGTAAATTTTAAAAAAACTATACGTATGAAAATCTCATAAATGTAAATACCAAAACATAATTTTTTAATTATTTTACATTAAAATTAAATTTGGGAAATCAAAATATAAAATGTACATTATAGTGACTAAGTTATGATTTAATTAAATTTGGGGTATCAAAATATAAATTTTTATGCAACAGTGAGTCGCTGACCAAACTTCAGCTTAAAATTAAATTTCGGGTATGAAAATGTAAAATATACATTATAATGACTAAGTTGTGCTTTAATTAAATTTTGGTTGTCAAAATGTGAATATTTATACAACAGAAACACTACTTTAGGTTTACGTATAATAATAATGATTTTACTTTAAAATAAAATTTGGGGTATCTAAATGTAAAATGTATATTATAGCGACTAAGTTGTGATTTAATTAAATTTGGTATCAAAATTTAAATTTATATGCAACTGTAACCAAACTTTAGCTTAAAATTAAATTTCAGGTATCAAAATGTAAGATATATATTATAATGACTTAGTTGTGATTTAATTAAATTTGGGGTATCAAA